GATTGGTTTTATTGATTAAATCGTAAGGTTCTATATGCAAGTAGCCCCCCGACTAATCCACTATTAATTCTGTTGTATGGCTTGCATGTCTCCCTGTTTTCACTCAAACAAAATGTCTCTAGGAGCATAAGATAAGCTGTGACTGTCATTTACTGTATAAAGGTGACGAAATCATTAGTGACTAAATGACTGGATCTTTTAAAATTGTCATTTATATGACCATCGTTCCTAAATGACTACATAGTAGTCGTTTAGAGTCAAATATATGACCCTTTTTTCTACCTATCACCCCACCCCCAAACCACGCCACCCACTATGGGTACGGGATATCTACATGTCCGTCGACGTTATTTATCTCGTATCTGCTGCTACTACTGCTGCTAGCTGCGCTGCCACTACATGTATTCTGCTGCCATCACTGCTACTGTAGTATACCGCTGCTGCTGCTGCTGCTGCTGCCCCCGCTATGAGTAGCTAGTGGCTATACCAATTGGCACGATGGATCTGACTTACCTACCTTACCCTTGGGTGATGATGGTGGTAGTGATGGCGATGATGATGATGATGATCGACTATGACGAGGTTTTAGAGAGAAGAAAAAGTGAAGAGAGGTACCTTTATATAGCTGGGGGGGTCAGAAATAAGGCCCCACTAGCGTAAAGCTAAAAGTCCCAACCAAAATCTACGAATTGGTGAAAAATGACGAAGTAGTTTTGCTCAACGACTTGATCATCTACTCTTATTAAAAACATGTTGGTTAATAGGCTTCATATGAATGAATTAAACAAAAAATATCGATTAATTAATCGATTGATTGGGTACTGGCCCTTCTGTAGATATCCCTTATGTGCATGAGCTTTACAGTCGACAGGTATAAGTACATTATCTTTTCCCGGCCCCTCATCATTCTGTGCTGGGTGTTGGTGTTGAGATGGTTTGGTTGATTGATTGATAAATGTACAGTGATGATCATTTGTGACACAAAAGGAAAAGAAGAATAAAAGGAAAATGACAGTGGGTGCGGGTACAGGTAAGGGACCTAGTCACTGAGAGCCCCTTTGATACTTCCTCCACTGGATACTAATGACCGTCACTCCAACAGTTGGACAGGCCTAGCTAGCGATATAAAGGACTTGTAACTACCTGTAGGTCAGGTGTTAATTATGGGCCGTTGTAGAGCCAAGGAGCTAATATCATTTCTATCTCCTTCTTCTCTTTCCATCTCTCTTCCTTATTACCATTAGCATCAGCATCATCATCAGGATCACCATCACCATAACCACCAAAATCCTAAATCAACCTTCCGTCATCTTTAGACCCGGCCCGAAAAACAATTCTCTTTATGTATGAACCATGGTTGCCATCAAACGACAACGACAACGACCAACCATTTGATGATGAAGACATGAATATACTCTTAGAGGAAACGCGCATTTCTTTTAAGTCCTACCGAAACTGCCGTAGTGATGCAAGGAGGTGAGTCCTCGAGTCTGACAGATATACGATCGTTACTAATCTATGATTAGGGGAAAACTCATAGAAAATTCGAGCGCTTATCTTCTACATGCGAACGAGTTGAAAGCAAGGATGATGAGGATGAATTGCTGCAGCCCTCAGGGCATAATGCTATTTTAGTCTCAGTCAGGTTCAAGATCACCTTGGGAGTAATAGCAATATTACATATATTATAATTCATTTACTCCTTTTCCGAAACATACCCTTCCGGGGTTACAAACCGCGCGCAGTCGGTTTTGCGAGTGTAGCACTTGTCGCCGTAAAACTAGCGGAGCACCTGTGGTTGCACCATCTCTCAAATACTCCCGAGAAGTTCAAAAAATATTCTCGTTATGTCCTTGGAACCTCCGGCACACTATTGGCGTTTCTGAAACTCTGCGAATGTCTAACAATTGCCAAGCACATCCCCGAACCCGCAATTAAAACTCCCTGGGACTATTTTAACACCATTTCCCTAGTTTTATTTGAAATTATCGCCGCCATTCTGGCAGGTGTAGGGGCTCATTGGCCCGAGCGCATCTTTACGGGGGAAAGGAATGAGCTTTTCTATTCTTTCAACAACCGGGAATTCTGCGGAATGCTTTTCCAGAAGGAAAAGACCCGCCTGTTAAAACTACTCCTCGGTAAAGATATGCTGTTATCAGAGAATAGAGAGGAAGGAGAAGGAGTAGAAGAAGGGGCAGTAGAAGGAGAAGGAGAAGGAGAAGGAGAAGGAGGGGGGGGAGAACGAGAAGTAGAAGAAGGGGCAGTAGAAGGAGGCGTAGAAGAAGTAGGAGGAGTAGAAGGAGGCGTAGAAGAAGAAGGAGGAGGAGAAGAGGCAGAGGAAGGAGTAAAAGGAATAGAAGGAGAAGGGGAACAAGAAGGAAAAGGAGGAGGAGTAGAAGGAGAAGGAAGACAAGGAAGCGGAGGGGAAGAAGGAGAAGGGGGAGAATGGGTAGAATTCAAGAAGAAGAGGAAAAGGAGGAGGAGGACGTACCCTCCTGTCGATGTAAATATAGAGACCCAGTGACTGCTGTTCTAAGATATTCATTTAGAGGTAAACGACCTCTTTCATTACCTATTGTTTTAATCTTGAACCATATTATTTACTACTATTAGTGATGGTTTTCAGTGGTGGTTATTCTTAATATCACAATGGATTAACCTACTTTATACTGTTGATGATGCTGATAGCGATAGTGACAGCGGTGGCTGTAGTCTGGGGCCGAGGTTTTGGGAGGAAGAAGGGGAAGGATAGGTATCTTTATTGCTAGAGAATCAGAAATAAAGCTTCACTAGCAGCTACTTAGCATAAAGTTAAAGACTTCACCCAGGGCCTAGGGTGAATTAGTGAAAAATGACAAAGAAATTTTTCAAACGACTTAATCGTCTATTCTCATCCCCTAGATATGATGTATCTAAGGTATGTATGTACTTGTAGGTTCAATTGGTCAAGTTGGTGATGCTTACATGTACGTATTTCCTCCTCATACATTATGTACCTCTTCTTTAGTCAAGAACTTTCGAGGCCACCTCTAGCTTGTCCACAACAACACATGCACACACCCTATATGACCAATTGGGATGAGTGTAACGTCAAGAAAGAAAATGCTAAAAAGAAACTATGGCTTTTTGCTCACCCTGAACCTACCTACACCTTCCTCAAAAAAAAAGTAAGAAAAGAAAAGAAAAGAAAAGGGCAATATTTCGAGGACATTCCTAATAGGATCCACTTCTTAAGCGTCCTCGAAAGCCGCAAAGATTGAGGCAGCTATTCACTTATATATTACTCTCTCACCATTGTGCAATCTGTACAACAATTTTAATTACATGACATGAGCGGTAGCAAACGAAACATGATATGGAACATACATGTACATACACACATGTATACAATTAAGGTTAATCATTGCAACACAAGCGCTCCCATAAATCATTTCAACACCGGGTCAGAACATAACACCTTTATATCAAGTTCCTGTTTGCCTTTCAAGGTTCATTTCTCAGAGGTTCAAAAACTACATGTAAGGACCTCATAGCCAGCCCACAAGTTTTTCCAAAGCGCCACATGCATATGAAGAAGTGACAGACCAGTACCTTACGATACCTCCGGTACAGAACCATCAATTGCAAGCAACATGGTACTCCACAAGTACTTATATCCAAATGAACATCTCTACTCCAACAACATCCACCTCAAGCCGCCTCATACCTCCAATCCACCTCCCCCCCCCCCCCCCCCCGGGCCCCTCCCCCAATAACAGTCAAATCCCAATAGCCAGAGCAGCACCACGCAAATTCAACCCCGCAGCCATGGCAGATAAAGTGCAGTTTCACCTCCACCTATCGAGCCCACGCGACCACCCCTCACAAATCAATACCAAATTCTCCATACCGTCAGTCTCGCGCTATCAACGCTTGAGTTCACCGGTGCCAGTCCTTGCTGACTGGATAGGGCTTACATAAGTATATACCTACATCTACGTACCTACCTGTAGTTTCGAACCGCCAATATCCATTTCCACCCATCATCCAGTCTCGCAGCCACCCACAGACACCCACAGACACCCACCATCCCAAACCAAACTCCCCAACCAAACAAAAACACAAACCCCTTCTCTCCCCGCTCCTAACCACACACCCCGACCAATACGCAGCATCCAACGAGCGACCAGTGCAGGCCCTAGAAGATACCGGCAGAGCCGACCAGTGATCCCATCCACCCCCGGTGAAGCCAGTCGTTAACCAACGGTGCCGAGTGGCTACCTACCTATCCATCTAGAGTAGACACAGATAGCTGATTGGTTCATAGTATCATTCTGGCCCCCCCTCAACCCCGCCCTTATCCTCTAATCTACTACGACCTCTCGCACCATACACCAGCCAGCCAGCAATCCCCAGAAGGACCAAGCTATCCGCATCCTACACCCTCCATGAAACAGCCCCAAAACCGACATAAGTGCCTTGTGTCACCCCTGCCCCTGGAACCTTATTGAGATGAAGCTCCTTCTAATAACCGTCTTTCAATTTATTGTTTCGGAAAGGAATATGTACATATGACCTTTGTCTGGTGAGGCAGGGTTAGGGTTACGTGAAGCTGTATAGGTAACATTTGGGCGATACGAGGATGGAGATCTTGGAACCAATGGGCGCTGTGGTGGCTTTGAGTTTGATGGTAAAAATAGAGTTGAGGAGGACGAAGGCCAAGGAGTCAAGTGCATTTATGTACGTAATACTCGAATATGGCCCACCCTCTTTTAGAGGGGTGGTACGATGGAATGGACCACTTTTGATATCGTACAAACACATGTGTATCATTATCAAGAGTAACTATATTTCTCGTAGTGCTCGGAAAGCAACTTCATGTAAATTAAATCACATCACATCATTATCATGAACTAAGAAAGAAAAAATGGGTATACGAAAGGCTATTCGCTAAGAGGAAAGAAAAAGAGAAAAAAGCCGCCTCATCTCCAAAGGGCCCTGTATCAAATGCAATCCCGCATCTAAGCCCTCGACTCCTCGCCCTCGCCCTCGCTCACCCTCATGTTCTTCTCGTCCGGCCTCACAAAGTCCAACTCAGTGATCTCCGTGTCGTGTACTCTCCACCAGATGACTGGAATGGCAAAGAGCATTCCTACAACACACAGACCCCATGATGTTCCAAACCTAGTTGGTATTAGTAATGATACCTAAATGAGTGTATAATGACTGCGGAATAGCGGGTACTTACAGAACGTAGTAGCTGTGCTTATTGGCGTCAAGACTCCACACGACCGCGGCACCGGCAGACTGGATCCCTTTGTAGAACCCGGCAAAGTAGGCTAGCTTGCGAGGCTCGTTTGAGAGAGCGCCCATGAGCCAGTATGCGTATGTCTGCCAAACGGCATCGAGGAACCCGTAGAAGAGGTACAGAATCAAATACCATGTGTAATCCGTATCTAACAAAATTAGTAATCCGCCTTCGCAAAGATATTACGGCAATGCCACTCACCAAAGACATCCAAATTGGGATTCTGCTCAAGTGCCACCTTCTCGCGGGTGGAACCAATAAGCGGCTTAAGCCCACCTCCCCATGTTGCATTAACAACCGCAAAAAGAATAACCCATCCAGAAATCGCCCTTGTTCTCCTCGACATCTTCTTATTGTCCAAGAAAAATCCAAACATCAATGCGCCAATAATCTGCGCCAGCCAGTACCACAAGTTTGTGAATGTTCTCCCACGGAGGTTGAACATGTACACATTGTAGCTGTTTTGCTGATATGTGTAGAACCAGTTACTCGCCCAGAAAAATGGGAAGAGAAGCAAGATGTAGGAGTCGCTCTTTAGGGTGGCCCAGAGCCCTTTAATCTCGGATATGGCTGAGGGGTGCTGGATCCGTTGCACGCGGGTGCCGTCCTTACGGATGATTCTGTCTGGTGGGACAAGGAAGAAAGCGAGGAAAGCACCGGCTAGCATAAGGACGAGAAACCCAATGTAGGTGCCGTCAGAGACGTGAAGTGCGTTTGGGTCGTTCCAATTCGCAGCTATTGGAAGAGACTCATGTTTAGCAATGACGCCACCGAATTCGTAACGGAGAGCTTTGGCCTACCGATTGGAATGATCGAGCCAATAACAGCACCAGTGTTGAAGATCCCCCAAAACATGCCGATGTATCTCCCCTTCTCGCTCTCGATCGGGTATGACTGTGTGGCACACGAATTAGCGCCGCCGCATCCTCTTTCGATGTGGAGATGGACGTACCATCATGATAGTTCCCTGAGCACACCACAGCAGCGCAGCACAAACACCCAACAGCGCACCCGCAAAGATAACAAATGGGCGGTTCTCTGTGTGGTTGTAGCACAGGAACGACGCTGCGTAGACGGCATATCCGACACCTCCGAACGCAAGAGTTGATTTCGCACCGACTAGCAGACCGTTAGCATTGAAGCATTGATGGAGGGAGAGATGCATCAGGGTATCTCACAGTAGTTGAGAAACGTCCCAGCGACAAAGCCGAAGACAGCAAAGGTGGTGTAGAGCGCCGTGTTGGCATTTGACTGAATACTTGTATCCAGTTGGCCTCCTCCACCGATTCTTCGACGGATGTTAGCATGGTCCCTCCTCCTCCCAGTGGCGATGGAACTCGTAACTCACCCTCCGAGGGCATTAAACATTCCTGTGTCATCTGTTAGATTGCGACATGGCCCGATACTAGGAGGTGAGAAACGTACCAGGACATAAGAAACACACGAAGCCGACAAGAATCACTATGTAGCCAGCCTCATGATTAGCACGCACACATTCCAGGCCTTATGCCTCCAAAACGTGCATACCTTGAGATAGTGGTGATCGCCATGGTGCCAATGTCACACCCATAAACTTCCTCTGCTTGATAGGAGCCAACCTCTCGCCTTGCGCTTCGTCCATGGTTGCACCGTTGAAACTCGCGAGCAGCAGTACTGTGGATTATCGGATTCTGGACAAGAGTCGGAGTGAAGAGCTCAACTTGAGTTGAAAAGAAAAAAGGGTGGTGGTGGGCATGTGATCTTATTTAGGTGAGCAACCCCCCCCCCCCCCCCTCTCACTCACATTCCGAAGAAGAAGGTGGGAATTGATCGTCGGGGGGGGGGCCTTGGCTGGCTGTGAGTGGGTGGACGCAGTGGAGTGGACGTGTGCACACATGGGGGGGATGCCGAGGTGCATATGCGGGGTGTCTTGTGTGTTTTGGATCGATACTGGTAAGGAATTGTTTTAGGTGAATTCAATGCCAGAAGAGAAACCAACCCGTTTTGTTCGAGCGAGCTGTTACTGGTCATCGTGGTTCGATTACGGCACGAGTTGCACGTCCGTTGTGGCATTGCGCATCCCATGGCGATAATAAGATAAGCATAATCACTATTGTACTAGTTCTGCTGTGCCTACGAGGAAGACCCCATTTCCTCTTGTCTGCAAGGCAAGGCCACGCATCCGCAGCACTGGAGTAGAAGTAGAGGAGCAGAGGACGAAGTAAAGCAATCACCTAGACTCAACCCTCACTTCCTTCTGTACATGTATGTATCTCCCCCGTACCTGAGGTGGATGACCGACCACCACCTGCAAGCCAAGCTCAAGCTCTCCACACCCCCCAGCCAGCCAAACGGTGCGCCACCATCTACTCTACTCTGCTCACTATCCACCTTCTAAGTTTAGCACCTCCGCTAATCGCAAAAAAACAAAGATAAGCTTTCCAGGATTGTTATTGCCGTTGCTGCCCAATGCCGCCCTTCCGGATTATATTATGGAAGGTTACACAGACCGGGTTTCTGCGGCAGTGAGACCTATGACGGACATATCTTCGTATCTGCTCGTGTGCACAGTACATACCCTCTAGGTCTTCTCTGCCGACATAAAGACATGCAATATATAATCTGGAGATGCTTATTGGAGTGTCTAATCTTAGCCTTACTGTTGGAGTTGTAAACAGCAGCACCATGGAGCTGCTCACAACGTCTTCTCTGCATCCACTACATCCTCTAATACTGGAACCAGCAACGTCGCCAGTTTATCGATAGTACCCCACCCCTACCCTTGCCCATGTCAATAGCTCGAGCTTCTTCTTCTTCAACTCTAATCAGCTTTATCGATTCTCTCCTCCCCGTTCAGGGCACCCCCCAGATGCCGAGGGGCCGAACCCAGTTAGACAACACCCCTCGCGTATCAAACATGGCATCGCTTTCCGGGTTTAACCATATCTAACGGTGTTTCTGAAGCTGAGCTGCTCGAATAATATTAAGGTCTACATGTATGTACCTACATGTACCTGAAGGTAATAATAATATCCCAGATCGCATGTTGGCAGCCACCGTCCGTACGGCCAGATGTGCGCGCCCGTATCCTCCATACCTAAAGTACTATCCTCTTGTCGACCTGAGTAAGCGCGAGCCCCAGAAAGCTTCTCTTGCAGCCGCGGCTAGTCCCCAATCCAGCCTCCTGATCCTGCAGCAAAACCACGTCCACGCTCGATTGACAATATTAATCTCGTGGGTGCTATTATTATAAATACATACCTACATGCACTTCTTTCGATCGTGGTACAAGTGATGGAAATAGAAACACGAGCGCTGGTGGAGTTCTCAAGCCGGCAACGATGTAGATCGATATGTACTGGAATTAATGTTTCAGTTTGGATCCATCGAACGGGCTTTGGTGTGTGGAGACGGCATCTTAGTCACCAGCTGCAGTGAGCCACAAACACCAGGGTCCGTATTCTGTGTCAGCCCTATCACAGACATCACATCTAAGCCCCGTTGAGTTACGTCCCTTGACTCCAGACCAGAGTAACAACTGAGAATGTTGAACCTGCGAAACTGGTGGAACTTACATTGCGAACACAAGGTGCATACACAGACAGCGATAATCTTTCTTTCTTTTCCTTTTTCGCAGGCACGTGTGCAGCGCAGACGTATCCCCAGAGTCTTTATGTAGTTACATGTTGGCTACATGTAGGTACATACTATCGAACGCATTCCACAGCTTAATTGTACAATCTGTATCCCAACCCACAAACTGCCCATCCAACTGCTCCTCCCCCCACCGGTGAACCATGCGCCCAATCCATACAATACATGATGTAACCTACCAGAAGACCCCCATCTCCGCAATTTACCAACAATCCAGTGTTCAAGCTTACACTTACCGCACGAAACACATATGTATACCAAACCAGTGCCAGTGTAGCCAAACGCAAGCGATATAGCCCTCCCCACTCGCCAGAAGAAACCGACCGCGTGTACATGTCACCCCCGCGGCGCGGAGTGATCAAGTACATAACGGTGTTGTCCAGACACATGCATGCACAGCGGGAATGTGAACTGAGCTACATGTCTCTCTGTACCTACCCTATATCTCAACGTACCCCTTATATATGCGATGCTGCACCGATGTCTGCGGCCGTCCCAACGCCCAACATCCCGACGTCATTGAGTCGGCTTGATTCACAACGAACAGCAAACAGCAAACAGCGGGTACCAGAGGTAAGGGCTGACCTGACCGCGCCCGGGGTCGCATCATGTCGCGCATATGATGATTCATAGAGCCCGCTGTATAGATCGCGCCCTCGTGCTACAACTACTACTACTACAACCCTTATTGGATTTGCCAAGAGTCCAAGACGCGAGTGAGATTCCATGATTAACCACCGCCAACCTTCGAGTCTGAAATTTATTCTCCGTTTACAACTATATATCTACACGAGCCCTTCATGGAGCTAAAGGAATCAATGTGAACGTTCAACCTCCCTCCGGACCGGACGTAGAAAAGATGTAGCAACCGAGGCCTGCTTGGGCGGTGTTGTGAACTTTTTTGTTATTTTTTTTTATTTTTTATTTTAATTTCTATTTTATTTAATGTACAATACCCACTATAGATACATGTAGATAGTAAATTACAATCCCTTCCTTCTTTTCCTACCACGCACCACCACCCACTACCAATTACCACAGCTTAAAGCCCCCCTTCACCAACTTCTGAAACACCTTTCCCTCATCATACACCGCACTCACCCCCCTCAACCTCTCCACCACCTCCTCGCCATAGCTCTCCATAACACTCTGATCCGCCGCCGCATCATTCAGGTAGAAAAAGCCCTCCGCGACCCCCAACTCCCTCGACTTCTCCGCCAGCTTCTCCATAAACGCCTTCCCCGTCCCGAGCACAAGCTCATCATCCGCCTCCTCCGCCCACATCGCATTCAGACAAAACCACACATGCGGCACCCTCGGCACGCCCATCGCCCTGCCCCCCGTGGCATTCGCCACATCCACCATCGCCGTCGAAATCGGCTGATACGTGAACGAGCCCAGGAACCCCGGAACATTGTCCAGCGCGGTATACGTGCTCGCAAACAGGTCAACGGCATACTGATACATCTCCTCGCTGACGCCCACCGACAGATCCCGGAACGCCTGCCGCGCAACAGGAACACTCTCCATCGCGTATATCTCGTTCGCAAGACTACTCAGCGGCCGCACGCTCGCCGTGTTCTGGAACGGGCCGACATCAAAGAACGCCTGCAACGACGGTGGCACGGTTCCCTCCGGGTCCTGGTGGAAAACCTGCAGCGTTAGCAGCTCCGCCGACTGCGATGGCATACGGACGAACGAGGAGATGATAGCAGCCTTGGGATCTTCAATCTGCCCCTTTTCCTGGAAGGCCTTGATGGCGGAGATGATGGCCGGGTACTGGTATGGGAGGAAGTAGAGCGTGCCGCCGTAGATGAGGCCCGACGGCTTCGCGATGGTGGCCAGGTCGATGCGCGTGACGAGGCCAAAGTTGTTGCTCCCGCCTTTGAGCGCCCACCAGAGGTCTGAGTGGGAGGTGGCGTTGGCGTTGACGACCTCGCCGGAGGCAAGCACGACTTGAAAGTTCTTGACGGTGTCGGCGGCGAAGCCTTCAGTGCCAGAGAGGAACGAGAGACCACCTACATAAACACCAGTTAGCATCCCCCCGTCACCCCAATCCGAGTTTCTGGCAGAAAGAATCAGTAGTACCTCCAGTGACAAGCCCGCCCACGCCCACGGGCGCGACTCTGCCGCCAACGACTAGCACGTCCTCGCTCTCGCACTTCTCGTACACGCTGATCCACCTGTTTCCGGGCCCGATGCGCGCAACGCCGTTCTCGTGGTCGACGGTCACCTCGTTCAGGTTCTCCAGGGAGAAGAGCACGCCCCTTTCGATCGACGCTGCGCCGGGGTCGGGTGTGTGGCCGCCGCTACGAATCGCAAACGGCGTGTTTAGAAAGGCGGCGATCTTGACGCCTGTTGCGGCGGCGCTGGTGGCGTTGGGCGAGAAGATGCAGGTGGGTGTTAGGTGGGCGCGGACAGACCTGGGGTCAATGGGCATTAGCATCTAATTGAAGAAGACGGGTGAGTGGAGAGGCACATACCAGTTGATGCCGACCTTTGATGTATACACGGCCTCAGCACCAGGGAGGACAGTGCTCTCTGGGAAGAGGAGGCTCAGCAGCGAGCACGATATATCGACATTGTCACCCTCGGCGTCGTAGGACTCTGCCAGCCCGGCGATGTCGGAGGACGAGAGCCCGAGGCCCTCGGCGAAGGCTTCGAGGGCGGCGCTGGTGTTGTCGGCGCTGGCGAAGCTGCTGCCGAGGGAGAAGAGGCCAGTCAGGAGGAGGGAGCAGGTTGATGTCTTCATGGCTTCGAGGGTGTGGGGGTTGTGATGGTGGAGTAATAATATCTGCGGATGGCACCGCGACTTATATATACACCCCCCCCCAATCCTAATGTCTCTAATATCCGTCCAACATCTGCCTGCAGGGGTGTTGAGACTCCTGGGGGGGGAGAAGATTGGTGCTCGATATGAAGCCCCAGCGCTGGGGGGGGTGGAGGTTGTGGGGTGGAAGTACATGTAGGGGTTCGAACTTCTGACATGCGTGTGTATATGCATAACCTGGGATGTTACTACAGCGGAGCCCCGATAGTAGCATGTCGTTAGCCAATCCTGAACGAATCAGCACAGGCAGATTTATCCTCGATACAAGCATATTCTCGATATAGTGGCATAGGAATTTCCACTCCGGACCATATGCTATTATCGGGATTGCACTGTATGTCGTTACCGGGTGAGATTTACCCACTCTTGGATTCCCGACCACCAATGCGAAGAAGAAGAAGAAGAAGTCATTGTGCTTGCCGCACGTTTACATGACAGCTGCGGTTTTGCTTAGTAGAAACATTCCTTTGCGTAGATCTGATAGCTAACCCACAATTTACAACCACAAGTCCCTCCTCCATGTGCGCAGACTATTACCTGCGAGCGACAAGTCTCGCCCGGGAATTAAGGGGCTAATCCCCCCCTCTAGCTCTGTCTGTACAAGCGATATTCCCCTTCCATGTCAACTACTTCTCGCACTCGCACTCGCACTCGGGTTCGGTTTCGCATCCGTGTTCGGCACCAGGGTATATCGGTCGGCTGCGGCTTTCATTACAGCTGACAAAGCAAGGCAGTGAATTATTTACGCCCTGCCTAGCACGGATGGCGTGCTGTGCTCTGATTGGCCCGTGGACGGAGGAATCGTACGGTGGCGATTACAGTCGCTTCGACTTCAATGGCGGAACGGGTTCATTGACGAATAGGGTGGGTCGCTGTGGCTAAAACATTATGTGGTCCGTGCGTATAATGGAGTTAGGGGGCGACCGACTCTGATAATGGTTGCAAATCATTGTTGGTTCACCCTGGCAACCGATAATGATTGCAAATCATTTCTGGTTCACCCTGGCAACCGATCATAACTGCAAATCACTTATAGTTGCCCTGTTGCCCCCGGGTTCCATGATCCAAACCATCACCACAACCACAACAACCACAACAACGGCCCCTACAAAATGGAAGCTCCCTATGGCTATACAGCAACTGGTAGAATCAGAAAAAAACCTATCAAAGGGACTGTCCCTCTGGCAGCTCCTGTGAATAACCCTCAACTTCAAGTTGAATCTGAAAAACCCGAAAAGTTTATTAGGTGTCCTGTTACCACCTGCAACAAAGACTTTCAGCACCGGAAAGATCCTCACAAAGCTGTTTGGCAACATCTCCTGCATCATGCAAATAGCTATGTGGGTGACCCGGATCATAAGACTGCATATAGTGCAATTAAAGAAAAAAGAAAGGCTGAAGCCGGTATGTATAAATTAATATTCTATTTTTGATATCAGTATTAACAATAATGATAGGGGATAAGAAAACCCGGGAGAAAAGGAACTCAGCTAGATGGAGAGCAAGAAATGCTAGGAAAGCAAAGCGATCATCGGCTATGGGAACAGCAAAGCGCAAGTTTGAGATTCAATTGAGAAGAGCAGGGGAATTCACGGAGGCGGCATTGAAGAAATTGGTTGATGATAAGATGGCAGAATGGGATTTGAATAATTAATTAACCTGTAAAGAAAACCATTTGTTATTCATGATATTCATTGTCCGTATGCTATAAAATTAAACTCATGTTCCCAGTGTTAAGACCCATGAGAATCACTCGATTTTGCCTGAAATTGACTTCCCATATGCAACACATCACCTGAATCCTGGTTCGGAGATAGACAATTGTTTGATTCTTGGCGGTAACAGTAAGCGAATAGGGAACTGAATGTTTGTTTGCACTTTCCTTCTCCTACTATCACGATACTATCAGAATGTCAGAACGCGTCTCAACAACAGTTCAAAATGTCTTTCCATTGTCGGATTTTCAGGGACGCGATCCTAATCCACTGCCACCAATTCCTTCACAAGCATGCACAAAGACCGAAGTGGATCACGATTAGAGTTATACCAAATATGAACGTATTGCATTGGGCCTAGCACATTATCATGCTGAGCTACACGCATACACTCAATCCATTGCAGATCCGGATAGCAACTCTATTCAGAAAAAACCTATTGTATTACAGATTGCGAAGATGTACGATATCCCGGAATCAACTTTACGGCGACACATCAAAAACCCTGCAAGTAGAAGCATCGCTGAGGCAAACAAAGATAAACAGATTTTGTCTGTTGAAGAAGAAAAGGTTCTGGTCGAAAGGCTTTTATTTCTGGATGATTTCAATATTCCAGCAGACAAATCCTTGTTTTTCGATCTTGCACACAAACTCCTACACCGACGCGATCCCAAACGAATGATTGGAAAGGATTGGTTTTATAGTTTTTTGGCGAGGCACCCAGAATGCAGATACCTAACCGTCAAATCCATTTCCACGAATCGAGCCAATGCTGTCAACTACAATGCACTCAACGATTTTTTTATTAAAGTACGTAATATCAATAGTACATTCATTGAATTCGAACTAAATTGTATTTTCAGTTGCAATACACAATCGATAAATACAAGATCATTCCGAAAAATACATACAATATGGACGAGACAGGATTTATTCTAGGCATGGGAGACGAAGTTAAACGAATATGTCGGAACATCAGAAAAGATTCGGTTTACAAAGAGTTCAAGAATCGGGAATCATGCTCTGTTGTCGAATGCATATCAACAGATGGATTCACTGTTACACCGCTTGTAATTTTTAAAGGTAGCAATCATATCGCTGCCTGGTTTAAAGATGCCAAACTAGAATCTTATTGGTACGGGCATTCACCAAAGGGATACAACAACAGTGTATTATGCCTCGAATATCTTCAGAATATATTTGAACCGGAAACATCTAACAGGTCAAACGGTGAGTGGAGATTATTGATTTTTGATGGTTTCGAATCACATCTCCAGCTTGAAATTATTGAGTTTTGTCTTGATAATAAAATTATACCCCTGTGTTTACCGTCCCATACATCACATGTGTTACAACCGTTAGATGTTGGGGTCTTTTCTCCTCTAAAGAAATATTATCGGCAAGAAATATCCAAACTACGTTCTCCTATTACTAAAAACAACTTCCCTAACCTCCTGGCATTGGCCCGTCAAAAGGCATTTTCTGTTTCCAATATACAGTCTGGTTTTCGGGCTTCTGGAATATACCCTTATAACCCTACCGTTGTTCTTAATACTTTAACAAAATCAAGTGAAGAAATTCACCTATCTACACCACCCGAACAGGCATGTCCTATTCCCGCACATTTACAGGCCCCTATCAATCTCATAAATTTCAATCCTCCTACTCCTATAACCCCGCGAGGCCTGAATAGTCTTTATTTGGAAGCTCGTGCAACATATGGTACATCAAATAGCCCGTCAATGATTAAGCTACAAACAATCATAACGAAGTTCAAGAATGCAGCTGAGAGGAACAGTGCCCAGGTAATAATGCATGAGGCAGGGGAAGCTCATTTGAGGGAGGTTATAAAGCAAAAGAATAGGGATCAGGAAGGGAAGCGAGATACTCGACATTTGAATACTGGGGCAGCATGTGTGATAGAAAGAGATACTGTTTTATTGGAGTTGAAGAAAAAAAGGGATGAACAAGAAATAGAAGAACAATTAAAGAAAGAAAAAAGACAAGAGAGACAGGAAAGAATAGAGCAAAACAAACGGGCAAAGCAGGAGGAAAAGGAACGCAAAGCGGTTGAACGGGAGAAAAAAACAGAAATAAGGCAAAAGGCATTAGAGAAAAAGGAGCAGGAAAAACAAAAGAGACTGGAAAGAAAAGACTGAAATCCTCTAGCATGTATTTTGAAGAGTTGAACCCAGCTACATAGTGTTATTTTTAAATGTTTTTTCTTTCGTTGCTAAGGCTCGAGTATATTTAAGCAGATAGTTATATGAGCGGCAGAATCAAGTTCAATTCTTAGCTATGTTATCAATACTACTCATCATAGAGCAAAACCGATTACAGTAGAGTCTCGATAGTAGCATTCTCGATAATAGCATATTCTCGATTGTAGCATATATTTGGGCAATCCCAAACGAGTCGGTACGGGCAAATTTGTTCTCGATACAGGCATATTCTTAATAGTGGCACACGAAAATCCGTTCCCGACCATATGCTACAATCGAGACTCCACTGTATATATTGATTCTACGCGTCTTTTAGATATAAAACTAAATGCAAAAACCAAAGCGCACCCCCGGACAGTTTGAGAGGGCTTGCTTCGCCACAAACCCAGCTTACTAAGCAGTCCCTGTGCCACAGACCCACCCAATTCGCCAACCAATCCGTCCCGCCATCGAGCTCGAAATGACTGTACTATTCGGGGGTTGTAATCCAACCACCGTTGACAGGTCCCTGCATATATGAGGCGTTTATATAGGGGAGAGATTTGCAATTGGGGGCGGGCGTGTGCAAGAATCGGGGGAGTCTTTAATTAATTATCTGTTGCTAGATGATTCGTAGTAGGGACACACGTTATATATATTATCAGGCTGTCAAAAACAACGGGGCATACATTAACGGACACCGCCCGGCCACCAACAGAGCCCAATACTTCTGTCTTATTGCTGGCTGGCCTCTCTGTGGTCAGTTGTGGCTAGTGGAGATCGTTGCGTTGAGGCCCGAGCTTGTGTCTCGTTATTCAAGTCTTGGTCGGAGCTGCAGCCACCGGAATCGCAGTTTTGTCTATACAGATGTACATATGGGGATATGCCGGGGAATTCTACCTACAGTTACCTGTCTTTTAACTATTCTGAGCAGAGCTCTTTTCATTACTAACAACTATACTAACTCCCCCAGGCCAGAACACGGCAATCATTACCACCTATATCCTACCAACCAGCCAACCTGTCCCCCACCCCCCGACTCACCCCCGCGCCGCACAATGGCAATCCCAGAACACCCACCAGCCCGCCCACAGCTAGGCTCCCCACACCCGTCCGAAAAAGTCCTCTCCCGCATCTCCTCCTTCCACCATCCCCGCCCCCGCCCCCGCCCCGACCTCAACCTCCCCCCGCTCCCACCCCGCAGCCCCCCCGCCGCCCTCCGCCAGGCCCACAAAGCCCACGTCCTGACCCAGCGCCGCGCAGCCAAAAAGAACAAGACAATCACAGAGTTCACCCGCCGCGCGATGCTACAAGCCCAAGGCAACGCCGAAACCCTCGCCCCCACAACCACCATCGAAAGCCCCACCACCGAGCTCATCACCGCCGCCGAGATCCTCACCGAGATCCTCCCGCACCCGCTTCCATCCCGCCGGCGTGGCGCCTCAGGACTGCTCAGCAGTCCGCGCCCCGTGTTTGCGCTGTCGCCCGCGTACCGGGCGCGCGGGGCGGGGGCGGGGTCTCCGCTGATGTATCGCGAGGTTGTGAAGCGGCTGGTGATGCTGCCGACGAAGGTGCATGATGGCGGGGGGCGGGGGGGGAGGGAGCGGGTGTTGGATTGGGGGGTTGCGAGTCCGGGGGGGAAGAGGACGGGGAGTGTGAAGAAGGAGATGGGCGTTGGGAAGAAAGAGGTGGAGTGGTAGAGTGGGGTGTGGTTGGTTGTGGTGCTTGTGATATGTTTATGGTGTCCTGTTATCGTGGGATATATCTTTGGCTTGGAGGCGTTGTGGAAAAATGCGTATACCCGATTACTTTCTTGGTGGCTTTGCTTTTATGGGATAATCTCTCGCTGGTAGGCGATGGATTGCTTTATTATTTTTATTTTCCTATGGTAGAGATTAGGTGCAAACACTTGATCAAATAAATTAACCAATCAATGAATGTTTCTTGTTTGTTTGAGTACGAGTGATATTCCATGATTCGGCCAAAGTAATCCTCAGAGCTCCTAATTGGTCGACTGATAGTTCATTTTTATTTTTTCAATTCATTGATTGCATCTATAGTTCATTTGTTACACCGGCCTCGATGTTTAACAGTAATAATAATAGGAACCGAGAAACAAACTTGGTTTAATTTGATCTTGTAAACAGTGTGCATGGCTCATGCGCGGTGCGTTCTACTTAGGCCAGTACTAGATAGAGACGAGTACCTCTGCGGCTTTGCGGCTCTTCTTCGTATTGTCTACTGTTTCATTTGCTTGTTTGTACAAAGAGAAAGAAGTAATGTCTCGAGCTACACGAGACAGAGAATTGCTATCAAAATTCCATTTTATAGTGGGATTGGCTTCTTCCTCTATCAGTGTCTTCCCAGATCAGCCCGTCCCATATACAGCCATCTTGGTTCGCATTAATGTTTTCTGTTCTCTCATGTCAACACTACTTCTTACATACTGCCCCTGGTATATATATACACTTGCGGCCCTTTTTACTGTCACATATATCAAAATTCCGCTGAAAGAGCACACTCGCAATTTTATAGCGTTTGGATATGACTGGGTTTGCGTACTAGCCAGATCTTCTTGTATGAGGCTCTTACTCGTGGTGTAGAGTAATGTGGTCTACGAGGACGTGTGTCCTCGACGTACCCTGTCCTCGTTGGCCTCCATCCTTACCTGTCCTCGGGGCAAGGACACAAGGACGCTTGTCCTCGTGGGCCGCACTGGCTTGGTGGTGCGCAGACCCAGCTACGCTTAAACCCAGTTTTCCCCGCCATGCTCAACAATAAAACGAAGTTAAACAGAATTTATTTATTGTAATAACTCGTCCTACTTCTACTCGGCACAGCAGTGCCCTATACCAACGATTAGATAAAGAATAAAACAGTCGATATCCAATACCAAAAACAATACAATAATGTAGGTATCCAAGTAGATGTGCGGACCGAGACCCAAAACCCAAAGCCCTTAGTTGGTACTCTTCTTGCGTTTAGCTTTTGCCACAGCCATTCCTCTGCGTGCCTCTCTCGGCTGTGGTGCAGCCTTCTTTGGCACAGGTGCAATTTCATCCGGTGCCTCCGGCTCCTCCAAAATCAATTCAAAGCCCAAGTCGCCAACCAAGTATTCAAGACCCCTGCTGAGATTCTGTTCGTTGTATCGCACGCATCTAAGCCCTTAGCTTGGAATCATCCAGGAACGGGAATCTGCTACTCACCCTCTTTGCAGCGCCTTCCCGATGAACTTGTCGTACATGAGCAGGAAACCCAGCTTGGCGACAAAAATGTCTTTCAACTGCTTTTTCAATTTCAGGCCTCGACTTGTTGGCCTCCCCCAGAACCAATCACGGATGATATCGCGGTATCCCCGGAATGTGTATATCCACTCCACAGGTTCACCTCGAGCAGGATCACTGCCAGTCTCCTCCACCTCCACATCTTTCTCTCCTCTCGCGCTAGCCAAAAATTCCTCCAGGCTATGCATCTGCTTGTCCTTTTCCAGCGACACCGCTCTAGTCAGCTCCGGGAACATCTCCACGGTCTCGTCGTAGAAATTATTGACAGCCTCCTGGAAGCCCTTCACGACCTGGTCAAAGGCCCACTTCTCCACAGCGGGACTCCTGTCGTGGCTGTATGGGAGAATTATGTTCCGGAACCGCACGCTATCTCTTTTCAGCAAGCCCTTATCGATCAGCTTCTGGAGCTCCTTGGTGCAGCGCTCGTAGGTGAAGATATCAATCTGGCCATTCAGCGTGGGCGGGGTATGGCTGATGTTCTGCACGGCGGTGAGAGCTTGGTCTTTGTATTTTTCTGGAAGAATGTTTTTGATCGAGGTGTAAAGATCGTAGGATGGATGGTCCTGGAGCTCGTTGAGGCGGCAGGAGACATAGAGCTGCTCAAGCCGATGCATGGAGTACACAAAGTCCAGAGACCAGTATGTCGGGTCTTTTTACAGTATCATGGTCAGCCAAGTACTCTGAATAGTGGTGGAAAAGAAAGGTTGTGGGGGGTGGCAAGATACGTTTAGTTGATTCAAAACCACCATTGAGGAACAGGTCCCACAGACTGCGCTTGGCCCTCTTCTCGCGGAAGTCGTAGGCATCGAGTGGAATACAGAGCCGGATATCATTGAGCATTCGTGCAATAACCACTCCTGCCTTTTCTTCGGCGATGCTGACGTTGGTGTTGTTGTCTTCCTTCGACAGAATTGACAAGCAAATGTCCCGCCATATCCATAAGATGGTCCGGAAGGGATCATAGCCGGTTACATTTTTCCATGTATGAATGACCGTGTTCTTGTCAGAAATCAGCCGGACTTGTCTATTGTACTCGAGGTCTTCGACATCGTAGCTACTCTCTCGGTGTTAGAAAAGCGATCATAGGAGAAAGTAGGGGAAGAGGAAAAGGAAAAAGAAGGTTGGGGGGAAGGGGGGGAAGGGGGGGCTTACCATTCTCCCAGACTCTCGACCATGTGCATTGTGTTTACAGCGAAAAGAAGACACTTATGCGCGTCCAAGGGACTTTCGGCCATCTCATTCTCATCCGCCTGGAGCGCGATACTGTGAATCGTCGGTATCCAGGTCAAAAGCGCCCTGATCACCATTAACCTAAGCTCCTGTTGCCTAATCTTGTGAGCAGCCGTTATGTTCTCGGGCTTCATCTCATCGATCTGCCTCAGCTCATAAATCGGCAGCTCCATCGATTTACGAATCTTTACAAAGTCGTAGTCATCCTTCTCTGCTGGTCGTGGAGTTCCAACAATGAGGGTGTTTGTCAGAGGGGTGAAATCTGACGGCGATTCTTCATGTTTCACACGGAAATGCTTTTGCCCTTGGGTAGCCCTGCTCATCGTAGCGGTGATCTTCTTTCCCAGTGATTGCCCGATGGCAGTTGATGGCGGTTAGAGTGGCGTTGCTCTACTTCGATGAGTGGTGGTGGTGGTGGTGTTTATTCCGCTCATGTTTAATGGTGCTGCTACATAGCAGGGGACGTTGGGCGTCGAGTGACCGCCTGTGAAGTGCGTCTTGGCAAGCAAGGACAACATCATGGATTCCGATCTGGTAGAAGGTCTTGAAATAGGACGCTCGGCACGTTTCATAGTTCTGGAAGATTCTCATCATTTCATTATAGTATTTGTCATCGGCGTATGACTCACTTTCCTATTAGTCATTCTATTACTCACACGTCTATGACTCATTGTATTTCTTTTGTACTACCTTTCTTTAGTATAAATACGGGGCATCCCCCTTTAGCTAGCACAATCAACACGATCAATTACTTTACTTCTCCCATATACTTTCTCTAGGTTATGAGCCCGGAGACCACTCACGCTTATACACTCTTCACCATTTTTACCACAAAGTACACTTTCTCGTTTCACTTTCAATCATGTCTGAGAGGAGCATCAAAATTCCCGCACTCCCATGCAAGCTGGATGGTCAAGGCCATTACACTGTATGGAGGGACCTTGCTACCCGCATGTTGAAAGTTCACGATCTGTGGAACTTGGTCAATGGTTCGAGCAAGCGTCCCGTGTTGACAACTACCACCACTACTGTACCTACCACGGCACCACAAGCATCAGGAAGTGCAGCTGAGGCTGAAGAAGACGAAGAAGAAAACTCCGACAATGCCGAAGAAATCAGCGACTGGGACAAAAAGGACAACCTTGCAGTTGTATTCCTTCAATCTAACATCGAATTCGAAGTTATTCTCACGCTGACACCGGCCGACACCGCTCATCATCTCTGGACTCAACTCGAGGACAGATTCGATCGGAAAACCGTCGCCTCCCTCCACTCGCTCCTCGCCAATGTCGTCACATTACAGTACACACCCGACAAGGGTATCAAGGAACACCTAACCCAGTTCAACACTCTTTGGTCATCTCTCCTCACTAGAACTAGTAACTCTACGGACAAAACCAAAGACCCACTCGGTTACCACCTTCACCAACTCGCATCTGTCTCAGAAGCGAAGGCATCCTTCCTACTCCTCTCACTCCGGCACGAATCCCTCGAATCAGTCGTTGACAACCTGCAAACCAAGCCCAACGTCACCTTCGATGACGTCTACGAAAAGCTGTTGGATCTGGACTCACGGCGCAACAACGATGGACAGGCGGCTGGAGAAGCCTACACAATCAGGCGAGGAAACCCAGGACACGGAAACAACAACAGAGTCAGGAGGCCACGTAACAACGAAACAGGAAATCGGGACGTCACATGCACCTGGTGCACCAAGAATGGAGAATATGCAAAAGGCCACACGCACAAAAATTGCCGGAAACTCAAAGCTTTCAGAGACAAGGAGAAGTCCGCTGCATCTGGCAACCTCAACGTCGCATCTGGTACTGCATTTCACACAAAACTCGACCTCTCTTGGATCCCCGATCTTTCTGGCCTTCCCGCACTCGAAGAAACCGATGTATTCACAATGCCGGTTGACTTCGACCTCACCAACTTCTCAGATGACACCTCGGATATTACCATGGAAGACTACTTTGGCTTCATTGCAGGACCTTCCACCACCGACAACAAGGCATGGATCTTCGACCCTGGTGCAACCAACCACATGACCGGAACGCTGGTTACCGACCCCACTCCCCACACTGGAACAGTTACTGTTGGAGGAGGTCGCAAACTCCAGATAACCGGAATTGGTAACGTCACCATCAACGGATCACATGGCCTGATCACTCTGCAGAACGTATTTTTGATTCCCGAACTAGGCAATACCAACCTGATGTCTTGGTCTTGCATCGCTAAAAAGGGATTTACAACAACTGGGACGGAAGACGGCTTTACCATCTACAAACCGAACAGCAAGGAAATTATCGGGATCGCTAACGCAAATAGTACTGGTCTTTACATTTTTGAAACCAAGGAACCCTGCGCACACCTCTCTGCCGCCACCAGCTTCTATGACTGGCACCAACGGCTCGGACATCTCCCCGCTTCCTCGCTCTCACGGCTTCGCAACATGGTCGCCGACCCCAAGTCTCTCCCCACATCTGGTCACATGGAAACATGCAACACATGTGAACTCGCTAAGTCAACCAAATCTCACCTCGCTCCTCTCACCGAACCACAATCCAAACAACCACTGGAACTAATACACTCAGATCTGAGCGGCAAGTTCTCGACTCCTTCTCTGGGCGGTTTCAATTACTATATCACTTTCATCGACGATTACTCCAGGTACGCTCACCTCTACTTCCTCAAAAAGAAGTCAGATGCAGCAGCTGCCACAGAACGATACATCGCATACATGGAAAATCAATTGGACAAAACGGTTAAACGGTTTCGAAGCGACAACGGTGGCGAGTACATCTCCAATGACCTTCAACAATTTTTTGCCTCCAAAGGCATAAAGCATGAATTCACTGTACCTTACTCTCACGAGTCAAATGGAACAGCAGAACGCTTTAACAGGACCATAGCAACAATGGCACGATCCGCCTTGCTCGACCACAACCTCCCAAAAAATCTATGGGCAGAAGCGATCAACACCATGGTACACGTTAAGAACCGCCTCCCGCACAAATCACTCCCGAATATGACACCATACGAAGCACTCACTGGCAAAAAACCCTTCATTGGGCACCTCCGATCCTTCGGTGAAACCATGTTCATACACATACCTGTCGAAGTACGACCAGCTGGAACAAAACTGGATGCAAGGGCAATAACGGGACAATTCTGCGGATACGGAGATTCTGAAAAAATCTGTCGCGTCTACATACCATCACAAAGGAAAGTAGTTCTCTCTCGTCATTTTAGGTTCAAAGGTACATCCGTAGGGGAAGAAATCGAAGTCAAAACAAAAACCGATACACCCCCTAAACCAAAACAAATCGAGATCAAACAAGAACCACCCTCACGTCCGTCAACACCAAAACAACATAGAATATACGACGACGACCCAAGTGACGACGACATGATCAACCAACAAATTATGCGCGAAACCATGGAACATTTCTCCGACACTGACTCGGAAGACCACGCAAGTATAGTGGGGGCCGGCTATACGAGGCCCGCCACTGAACGTACCCCGCATGATGATAATGAAACAGATACTGATCAACCGAGACGTAACCCATCACGGGAACGAAAAGCTCCGGTCAGATACGGACACAACATTCAGCATGACACTACCCTAACAGAACCAACAAACTACCACCAAGCGATCAACAGTCCCGACTCCGAAAAATGGCAGAATGCTATGAAAGTTGAACTCGACTCACTCGCAAGGAATAACACATGGAATCTGGTCAACACACCAGATCACCGCAAACTGGTCGACTGCAAATGGGTATACAAAATCAAACTCGGGCCCGATGGCAACCCCATACGGTACAAAGCCCGACTAGTCGCAAAAGGTTTCTCACAGGTCCCTGGTCAAGATTTCGATCAAACCTATGCCCCCGTCACCCGATACGAATCCATCAGACTACTCCTCGCTCGCTGCCTTCAAACTGGCGGTCAATGCGATCAGATGGACGTCACAAGCGCATTTCTATATGGCGAACTCAAGGAAGAAATCTACATGAAATCTCCTCCAGGATATCCTACTCCCGGCAAAGCATGCAAACTAATCAAATGCATCTACGGCCTCAAACAATCATCAAGGGAATGGTATGCCCGCCTCTCAAAAGCGCTAATCAAAATAGGATTCAGAAAAGCAGACTTCGACCCTTGTGTCTTCATACACAAAACAGGGGAAGTTGTCATCGCAATATACGTAGACGATATCCTTATCTTCTACTGGTCCGTTGAACGCAAAAACCGCGTCAGCCTCCTCCTCCACTCTGAATTCGAAATGACGGAAACTGGCACAGCCAACTGGGCACTCGGAATCCACTTGATCCACACTAAGACAGGCATCATCCTATCACAGGAAGCCTATCTCAAGCGTGTACTTATCAAATACGGCTTCGACGAATCAAGACCTGTGGCAACACCTATCGACAACAACGTCCACCTCCAAAAAGGAACGGAAGCTGAGAAAATCGACGATCCAACAATTTACCAGTCAATAATCGGTTCACTCATGTACGCAGTAATCGGCACTAGACCCGACCTCGCCTACACCGTCACCATGCTCTCGCAATTTTCCTCCTGTCCTACTAAGGCCCATCTAGCTGCAGTCCATCGCGTCCTCCGCTACCTCAAGGGTACCCTCGATTGGTCACTCTTTTACGCCAAAACGCGACCAACTGCACTCATCGGCTACAGCGACGCAAGCTATGCCTCCGACATCGACGATCGCCGCTCATTCACCGGCCACTGCTTCATGCTAGGGGAAGCTCTCATCTCCTGGCGATCTTATAAGCAACGATCTGTCGCCACTTCTACAACTGAAGCGGAATACATGGCCCTCTCTGACACCAGTCGACAACTGATCTGGTTAAGGAATGCAATCCACGAGCTGGAACGAAAACCGAATCTCTCTTTCATTCTTCGAGGCGACAACAACGGCTCTCTCTCTTTGGTTAAAAATCCTGTCTTTCATAAAAGGTCTAAACATATTGACGTACATTTTCATTTTGTTCGGGAACGGTTTGAGGATGAATTATTTGAACTGGAATATATTTCTACGAACGAGAACGTGGCGGATTTACTTACAAAGGGATTGGATAAAGGCAAACATGTTTTATTTTCTTCTACTATTCACTGTGGCTCACGAGGGGAAGTCTTGAAATAGGACGCTCGGCACGTTTCATAGTTCTGGAAGATTCTCATCATTTCATTATAGTATTTGTCATCGGCGTATGACTCACTTTCCTATTAGTCATTCTATTACTCACACGTCTATGACTCATTGTATTTCTTTTGTACTACCTTTCTTTAGTATAAATACGGGGCATCCCCCTTTAGCTAGCACAATCAACACGATCAATTACTTTACTTCTCCCATATACTTTCTCTAGAAGGATGTGGCAATGCAACGAAGCCTGAGTAGTTCACCGCTGCGCCCTGCAGGCCTTAACTAACGGGACAGATATCCTAAAGGTTATTTCTGGGTCCTCTGTGAAGGTTTTGGAAATTTAGGAATATTAGAAACTCGCCTGTTGTGCGGTTCTTCGGAATAATAATTTGGCTGTGTGGAGGGTATACGGCACACAAGATCATGTAGTAGCGGGATAGACCTGAGCTAGTCTCGTGCCAGCCTGTGGTGTGATTCTTGTAGTCTGCAGAACGAGGAACGAGTCGATAAAAGTCTGGGCACAAGACTAAACCTGAACTTCAATACCTCATCCTCTCTTCGCATTTTTACACTTGGCCCCGTCTTGTAATTCATCGTGCTAAATATTCGAAGGAAACTAAACAGCACTATAAAAATACCACCAAGATAAATATGTATCCCGATAGTCGCAAGCTTAAGGATTGTGATTCCTATGGCTACTATATGCTATTACCTACGATACCTGAGGAAACTACATGTACATAGACGTTTAATTCCCTATCGCTCGCTAGGTACGATTTTAAAATTTCCCTATCTGCGAAATCTTTTGCGCAAAGTTATGCAGCTTGTTGGCCATGGCCCTATTCTACAAACGTGGGCTGCCGGGCTGCCGGGCCGCCGGGGTATAGGACTATCAATGGTAATTATGAATACAGGCTCTGATGTAAATGTTAATAAGAACGATTCACATTCTCTTCCTTCAGCCAGGTTATGCATGTAGTGTGTTGAAATTTTTATTTTAAGACTTCACGTCTCCCCGTTCTGAGAAAGTACATGAGCCCTTTGCGTTACTAAATTATATTTGGGCGAGAATGACAAGAAAACAAAAACAAAGAAAGACATACACCATTTAGGAAACTCTTGACAGAAAATGAAATTACAAGATGTAGGAAAACCCGAACATGAACGTAACTACAAATTTCTGGGGTATCCCAATGGCTTGCCTGACTCTGGGTATTCACCAACCACTACTGCTCCCAATGCAAAACCCTCTTCTTCCAGGCATCCATCATGCCAACAGGCAATGCTCCCGGCCTAACAATCTCAAGACCTCCCCACTTGTTGGCAACCCCGTCACCGAAAGACGCCAAGATCCACTCCCAATACTCATCGATCCCACCATGGCCTCCAATTGCATGAGGAGCTGACCTAACAGCATTCGAAAGGCAAAGGACACCCATCTCCATCTCGGGTGTACGATTGGCTTTGCGGCGGGCCGCAATTTTAAGCAATCCTTCGTAAGTTTCTTGCCAGTGCTTAAAACCACCTTCGCGGAACATGACGTATTCCTCAAAAGCCATGAAAGCCTCCGCCTTGAGATGGGGATAGTTTGCATCGTCTCTCTTGACCCTTCCTTCGTCCCATTTCTGTTTGAGGTCGTCATACATCTCGCGGTCCTTCTCGATGGCTTCTGCAAATTTCTTAGAGGGGTCTTCGCAAATCTCGCTCCTGATAGCTTGCTGATTGACGAATGGATTTTTGACTTCCAGTCCTCCCAAAGCAATGGGCCAATAAAACCACCCAGCTGGAATATCCTGAATTCCGAAACGATGTTGAATTTTTTCTGCAAGGTAATCGATCACCGAGCCACTAGGGAAGATTTCGCGGTGGATACGTTCGAGAGTGGACAGGATCATGTCGACATGCTCACGACCGAAACACTCAGCTGCAGTTCCGAAGTTGTTGATGAAAAACCCTGCGACGTATTTGTTGTATGCCTGGATCCAGCCAAAAACAGAGGTATGCGCCGAGAGTTGAAGTCTAAGCTCTGCAATGTGAACGTCGACTTGGGCTTGATCGATTACGAAACGTCCCGAAGATTCGAACTTGAGAAAGCCCCACCTGACATCACCCCCGGGAAGCTCGGGATGTTTCTCTGCAGAGGTTCCAACAGTTACAGATCCTGTTTTTTCATCATTGAAAGAAAGTCCGACCAAAGATGAGAAGGCTTGGACTTCTTTCCAGGCTGCTGCACAGTTATCAGGGTTGCTGTTCCACAACCAGAAATCATCGTGGATGCGGTATAGAAACATTCCGTTGGCGCGTTGGTTTACAGCATAGTCCATGCAAAACAGAACCACTTCGCCGAGGACGGTACTGATACTATGCGAGATTGGGACACCGCATTTTCGGACACGAACAACTGGAGAGCCACCATCGGCAGCAAAGAGGAGGGGAGTTTCAAGGAAGGTTTTGAAGAACTTGATCCACTCAGAGGAAACGCCGAAGAATGACAATACTGCTAGGATTGAGGCATGGGACAATCCTGGGCCGAACCAGGAAAAGTCGGAGCGCACGACAGTAAAACCTCCATGAATTGCGGTATTGAGGAGACATTCGGTGCGAAGAATATGGAGGAGAGATTGCTTTGTCTCCAACGCGTTCTTCAAATATTCTCCATCTCTATTACTACCACCTGATTCAGAATCATAGTTGACGATCGTACCACCAGTACCAAGTTGTGCCATGAAAAAGGAGTCGCGCTGGGACTGATAGCGGTGGCCTTCGATGGTTTCAGAGTTATCTTTAGGAGAAAACTCTTCAGTATTCTCTTGAAGGAAATATTTGCGTCTCTCGATGTGTTCTTTTGACAGTTTCCCGACGCATGGTTTCCAGGCGGAAGAATTGAACATGTTTTTAAAACAGATCCGGAAGAGCTCACACCACTTCATTCCAATATACTCCAACATCAATGCCTGCATAATCTCCTCATCCTGGAAGACACGGTACTTTTGGTTCAGTTGTCTCCTCATCTCTACTGGAACCCCAAAACCAGCAGCATTGTCTCCTTCCCAAGTCCATGAGAACACGGAAGCAAGATGCATGTTGAGAACGTCAGTCACCTCACCCAGGATGACTTCATCACGTTTAAACTCCCTCAAGGTATCTTTCTTCTCGTTTGACATGAGATCAGAGGCAAGCAATGCCTCAATCGTGAGTTTCAAATCCTCTTGCGAGATCTTTGAGCTCCCGATCGCCTTACAGGACTCCTTTACAACCTCGCGGATTAATTCGAGTTGAGCCTTGTTTTCTTTTGTGGACGTGAAGAGTTCCTGAAGGTATGACAGGATGGCCTTTTCGTCAACTTTGTTTTCGGTGAAAACTTTGGACTCGAAGGTGGCGCGCTGCTCATACATCTCCTTTCTGCCAATTTTTTCAAAGCTTTCAGAATCAGGGGAAGTGGCTGCCTGAGAAGCTTGAGAGCTTGTTGAACCAGCGCTCTCAACCCATTCCATCAAGAGCTTTCCGAAAAGCTCGGCATACTCAAGTCTAACTTCTTCAAATTCGAAGTCTTTGATGATTTTTGACTCCCATTCCTGAAGACATGACTTGGCAAGAGTTGGGTCGTACTTCGCCTGAAGGAGGAGCTGCTCAATGTTGGAGATATAAGCAGGAGGGTCACGGCCCAATTTGGTTTCGGTGCTCCAGGACTTGATGCCTTCGAGGAGGATTTTGACTTTTTCTTGGTGGTCCGATGCAGCTTGAGCGGATTGCAAGATCTGCTCCTTGTGCTCGAGAAAAGCGGTATTTTGCTTTTTAAGAACACGAAGCTTAGTCTTCGTGATGGAATCAAGCGTTTGAGAGAATGCTGAAGTCATTTTTGATAGAGGAATGAGAGTGGATGAAGGAATGAGAGCTGTTGATGAGAATTGGAGATGATGAATTGATGAGAGATGGATGAGAAGATTCGAATATGGTGAAATTCGAATATTAGAATTCGAGGGGGCGAGGAGAAGAGGAGGAGATGATGATGGATGAGATGTGGAAAGAAGAAGAGATCGAGATGAGGAGATGATTGATGATGGATGATGACGATGAGCGTTGATTTTGGGGGGGTGAAGAGAGATGGTGATGGAGTGAAGAGAAGAGGAAGAAGGAAGAAGAGGAAGAAGAGGATGAGTGTGGGTGGAATATAAGCAGCAAGGTGGGACTGCACAACGAGCAACGAGCAACGAGCAACGAGTGATACGGCAGAAGCGTGGTAACTGGTGGGGAAGTTGACGCACGGCACTTCTATCCTGCCAATAGATGGGAAGCTTTGTTTTTCAATTGTATGCGGGACGTTCCCTGCCTAGCGCTCTACAATGCCTTCTTGTTCAATGGCGAGCCTGAACACTCACCTGTTGATCATGATCAACAGCCTCACTAGTGCGCCCATTTACCAATGTGAATTGAGTGTTTGGGGATCTGCTTTTGACGTCTTGATTATATATATTCAACTTACCCTTGGGCTATATTCATTTTAGTTTCGATAAATAAAAATCAAGCAGTACTTAGATACAAAGCAACATCTGATATAGAATGATGACTGTATGCACGAGTACGTGTATGCAGAATAAAGAAAATCAATCTCAATAGACGACCACGGAGGATGAGGACGATCATGCAAAGACTGATGAGCGGGTGAGACTGCATGATTCTGCACGGTTAATCTATGTACATACCCTGGTCCACATGTATGTAGTCATTCGCCATTGACCTAGAAACCACTGTAGGTATACATGCGTGTAGGCCCTACATGTGGTGTTGCATTCAATTGACACGCAAATATTTCTTGGCAGCAGATTTAGCGGTGCGACTTAGGACTCAGTAGTACTGATTGGACCACAGCCCCTTGTTAAATCAACTTCAATGGGTAACCAAGAACAGGTTCACGCAAAACTGAAAGCATGGAACAGGCTTAGAGTGACTCAACCTATTGAAGTTGATCAGCGGCTAGTGCATGCTGATGTAATCTTCTTTGCGCTGTAATAATTATGCCTAACCACATACATGCATTTAAGCGTGAGTCATCCCACCGCAGAAGTTATTGGCCCGGTACTTGTGTCAATTTCCCAGGACAAATTAAAGACAGTCATGAACTGAGAGTATAAATACATTTATGCTTTTTCTTTGTGGTATTACTTTATATAAGTAACGACATCCGGTGCTGACAGTAAACAACAGTCTGAATCTACGTATCATGTACAGCCGCCTCTCGATATAAGAATACGGTCGGGACCAAAAATCTGTGTTGAATATATTCTTACAAGGCGAGTATCACTATAAGAAGGAGGGAGATACAGGTATAAGGATTTCGGGACCGCCGATCGCTATCATTATCACGAGTATCACTATATGAAACATCACTATAACATGAGTCGACTGTATACAAACCACATGTTATTAGTGTTTTGGAGTTCGTTCTAAGCCAATATATTCTACCGGTATATTATAGACCACTACTAGAAGATGTATGTAGAAAGTCTAATCTAGAAACAAGCAAGTATGTCCGCGGCCAACAGCTCATGTAGTACCCTTCAAAGATACATATACCTTCTCGATCTCTCCTATCAGATTGGTAAACTATTATTTCCGAAATCATCCAGCAAAGAGAGCTATTGTGCCCCTATAGCCGTTGTCCCCGCCTGCTCTAAGCTCTGTACACACTCCTTCCACCCTTGGTCCTTGGCCCAAACCAGTGCTAACTTCCCTTGATAGTCCAGGATATCGAGGCTCAATCCCTTTTCCTGAAATCTTGAGATCAACATCTTTAACCCCTTCACATAGCCTAGCGCAGCAGCGACATGCAGGGCAGTTATAGTATTATCTCCAATACACACAGCCATATCCGCACCTGCCTCCGATAGAAGCTCAACTATCTTGGCGTGCCTCATTTGCATGGCTACATACATTGGTGAAAATCTCCAGTACCGACAACCACGTGGATCCACTTCGTGCTCCAGCATCTTCTTGACAACTTCATAATGATTGAACTCTATCGCATGCACGAAAGCCGCACCCTTCTCAATTTCGCGAGCACCATGGTCGAACATGCGCCCAATAAGTCTCTCCTGGCCGTGCATCATCATCCTGCGGAATGAGCAGATACTGTCTTCGCGGTCTACACAGCTCTCTCCGCGGTTCGCCCTCAGCTTGCCAAACGAGTAGAGAAAATCTCCACTCAAACGCGGCCCGACCATGACCCTGTATTCCTTGCCCAGCGCCTTGAGGCTTTGCGATCCCTCGCATACGTGAATTCTAGGCCCAGCGTTGAGCACCTTGGCGAGAGTTTCGTCGTTGTATGGCTCATCTGGGAGGCCGTAGAGCTTCTGTTGGCGCCTGTATGGTTCGGCGACGAACACGGTGATGTCGAGCGCATTTTCCATCAGCAGGCGTACTAGGCGAATGTTTCTGATAGCGACGCTCCAGTGAAATGCAACTACCCCGTATTCGCGTTTAGTGCTTGCCAGGTGATCGAGAAGTGGAGTGAAGACGGTGCAGAAATGACAGCTGGTGCAGTCGAGGGATCCTAAGTCTGAATGACCCCTGGCCCTTTTTCGAGCTGTGGGAGGGAAAGCGGGATTGTCCCCATCGTCGGGGGTCTCTAAAAGATAGTCGCCGATGAGGGTCAGGAGCTCGGTGGGCAGCGAAAGCAATCCTGTCACAGGTGATTCTTGCATGTTGCTTTAAGATGAGGTTGAATGTAGGTGGTAAGCGATGAAGAGGAAGAAAGCTGGAATAGACATAGTGGGAAAACCTTAACTTATATACACAGATCCTACTTACGTACGCAACATCTAACGACAGCTCTTCTCCGTTCAATTGATTCCTTAAGTAATCAACGGGCCTATCGATAAACACTAACAATTATACACGCTCATATGTGATGAACAGTTTTCATTTGTTCCCAAGATCAAATTCACGGCGCGCGCACATATATGTAAATACATAACCCCACAAAATACGTTCTTCAGCCTTTTTCCCCAATTCACAAAAGTAAACCACAAGTAACTACTTCCAGGTACGTCATTCTCGTGCCCTAGTCACGTGCGTCATGCATCATCACTCGACGAACATATCCTACGTGTCAGAAATTAGTCATACTTAGGGGTTTCAAGGAAAGCTGCGGTTGTTCTCCTTAAGCTTGGCACGAACATGTTAATATCAGAAGGGGGAGAGCTAGAGCGCATTTATCGATAAGTAGCATTTCACAGGTTAGTGTTACTCCGAGTTGCGACTTATGTCGTATCAAAGTAATAAAATAGTATAAAAGGCTTACTTTAGGTAGGATTAGGTGTGAGTTTTATATCGCTCAAGCGAGAGGCCGAGGGTACCAAAACTCTATTTCTACCTCCAGCACCTATCTGGCCATGTAGGTATTTACTCAAGTCTCCGATCTACCTATTCATGGTCATGAGACCCCCAATACTTGCCTATTTGCCAGTACCGGTAGGGCGAACTATATTCTTTATGATGAAATTAAATTTTTTAAGGGCAAGCGCAACATCAGTTAAGATTGTAAAGCAGGGTAGGAACGTTCCTTGTATCATAATTTGTATTTCATGTGAAACTTGCGACCGCAAAAACGTTTCCACTATTTATATAGCATGCATCCTGCGTTGGCCTCTGTTGTGAAAGTACCGTCATGGCGATAAGAGCCTTCCCCCTTCCTACCTATCAAACAATATTTACACAGGCACAAGCATACCTACGTACATTTATATACATATAACATACAATATCTTCCTCAAAGCTAAACCAAAGTCCAGAGACCTAACAGAGCGAAGGCGCTACGAAAGCCATCACGTCGGGAGTTATCCTCTATCAACTTTATCAATTTAGTTTATCCCAGGTTTTTGTGATTGGAGAGGTGGGGTTAGGTTTAATATTTACCTACACACAGCCACAGGCCAAACCAGGCACCGTCCAGACCAGATATCTGACCAGATTTTACCCAACGTAGCACCAAACAGCTATGCACGCAAATATCCGAAGGTCACAACTCTCATGCAATACCAACCTGTTGCATGCCCGACACTCCCCGTGAACCCTGTGAATGTGGGGTAATAGCTCCAAAGTCAGGGATTAACTCGCTTGACAACCCTAACCCACAAGGCGCCGTGGACTGCGGGCTTGGACGATGGTGGGTGGCTACGGGACTTAGGCTGGTTTAGGTGGGAAGCTAATGCTTCGTATCCACCGGATCTTTTGCAACAGATAAAATTATTCTGCCGACCCTGCTTGGAATGATCATACATGTACCTATCTCCCTCAAGTTCTTTGTGTACGTTTGTTTGCGTTTGAAGCGCTCTACACTCGCTATTATTGATTTATGTGAGTTCTTGTTAGATAGATCTGCTAAACTTCACATGTAAAAGCTAAAGATGCCGAGTTTGCTTATATCGATATCAAAGCCCAATTGTCAGTCTATCGGGTGGTTCGACGACGACGTCAACGCCACGGAGATCTCCACAACTAATCTTTGGCGTCTCTACTCCTCGATAGTAATTAACCCGAAAGCACCGCAAGAACGACGATATCTCTTGATATTTTCAAGATTTCTACCACATTTTGTACAGTTTTCAGTGCGGTGATCTCTCCTTTGAGTACGAGAATCCGGTAATATTCATACCGAAAGCCCGAATAGAACAATGAGGCTGAAGTCTGATGTAGTTGCATGTATTGTGTTGATTCGTTCGGGAGTCGGATCATTCCGGTTGTGTGGGGAATTATATGAGTGCTGTACTTTAGGTTATGGGGTTGTGGGGTAACTATGGGGTACAGTGTTGATCGCCAAGGATTGATATACATGCCCAGGGTCTCGGATATCCAAACGAGACTCGTACTCACCAAGAAAAAAGTGAATCATAGCAATCGTAGCTATTTCGAAACCTTTGTCAGAAATCGTAAGAAGCTATGATTCAAAGACATAGGAGTATAAAAACGCCATTACCTCGCACTCGATTCAATGGATTCACCACCCCCAACTACAGACACAAGCTATCAAGATGCTATACCATAGCTTGCTCCCTCTCTTTCTCGCCCCCCTTTTAGCAGCCTCCGAGATCCCTTTTAAAGAGTACATCCTCGCACCCCCCTCCCGGATTATCCGCCCCTCTATTGTTTATGGCACTAATGGGACTGTCTCTGGTGCCCTACCTGGTACGCTCACACTTGCCGCCAAATCTTCTATAACCTACGATTTTGGAAAAAACATCGCCGGTTGGGTGACTCTTGTTGTTGAAGACGCTCGAAATGCCTCTTCCATAAACGTGACTTTCTCTGAGTCTTCGTTATGGATATCTAGTGAGCATTGTGATGCGACAGCAGACGCCGGATTCGATGAGCCATTGGTGCTTGAGATTGATGGCGAGGGTGAGTATAGTGCACCGTGGGAGAGAGAAAGGGGTGCGTTTAGGTATATGAGTATTGCAGCTGGTGAAGAGGTCGTGTTGGGAGATGCGTGGGTTTATTTTACAGCAATGCCTCATTGGGGCGATGATGCACTTCAGGACTATACCGGGTGGTTTCATTGCGATGATAATCAACTCAACCGGTTTGTTTGACCGCCCCTTTTCTTTTAGCGCTATTGTTAACGAAACTACGAATAGGATTTGGTACGCCGGGGCTTATACAAACCAATTGGACACGATTGACCCCTTACGCGGAGATGCACTAATCTTTTTCCAAAAGATTACCTCCGCATCCATCGTGAACGGGACTCTTCCATGGTAGTGAGTATACCCTCTCTCTCTCCCCATCTCGACCATTCCTAATCGATATCAACAGCAACAACTTCACCATCACCAACGGATCCTCGGCGCTCACCGATGGTGCAAAGCGCGACCGTCTTGTGTGGGCTGGCGACATGGTATGTCACTCGCCCCCTTTCCCCTTGCTTTCCAACCCTAACAAAACCTAGGCGATCGCTGTTCCCGGGCTTGCAGTCTCTACTTTTGATCTGATCTCTGTCGCGAACTCTCTCGACTCCCTCTTTGCGCTCCAGCTAGAGAACGGCATGCTACCGTACGCTGGCACACCATTCAACGAAGCGGGCGCCATATCTTTCACCTACCATCTCTATACTCTCATCGGAGTTGCCGACTACTACCACTGGTCCGGTGATCTCACCTACTTGCAAACATATTGGCCAGCCTGGAAACACGCCATGTCCTGGAGTGTCGATCACGTTGACTCCAGTGGTCTCGCAAACATCACTTCTCCATCTGACTGGCTGCGTTTCAACATGGGAGGCTATAACATTGAGGCGAATTCGATCCTATATTTTACTCTCAACTTGGGTATTAGCCTCGCTAGTACAATGAATGACACTTCTGTAGTAGAAAACTACAGTACCTACATGGCGGGTATTAAGTCTGCCGCTAATTCCATTCTATGGGATGATAAAGCGAGCCTCTATAAGGATAACGAAACCGACACCACTCTCCACCCGCAGGACGGTAATGTTTGGGCCGTCAAGTCCGGAATCCTCCCTACGCCCTCACGGGCAAAGGAGATTTCTGCTGCTCTCCGCGAAAGATGGACTCCCTATGGTGCTCCGGCACCTGAGGCAGCAGACGCAATCTCGCCATTCATTTCTGGCTTTGAGTTGGAAGCTCACTTCATGGCGAATGAGACGCAGAATGCTCTTGACTTGATGAGAATGATGTGGGGTGACTTCATGCTGGACGATCCAAGGATGACGAACTCCACGTTTATCGAGGGGTACAGCACCACTGGAGAGTTACACTATGCGCCATACACCAACGATGCAAGAATCTCTCATGCTCACGGATGGGCGACGGGACCGACAAGTACTATGACTGTATGTTATCTTCTTCATGAAATTCATATGTGCGTACTTTAGACTAATATTGGGCACAGATATTTATTGCCGGTATCAAACTCACTTCAGAAGCGGGAAGGACCTGGTCGATAGTCCCCCAGACTGGCGACCTCCAATATGCAGAGGCAGGATTCTCAACCTCGCTGGGTCTGTTCTCGTCTTCGTGGCGCTTTGATAAGAAGGATAGCCTTTCTTTGGAGATCAGTACACCTGAGGGGACGACCGGCGATGTTGGGATTCCGACAGGGGGAAAGGACGGGATAGTTGAAGTGAGGGGAAAAGGGATGAAGTTCAGGATGAAATATAAGAGTGATGAATATAACAGGTTTTGGATTCATGACCTAGAGGGAGGCGACTACGAAATTAATATCTTGAGGAAATAGTGGAGTTAAATTTTTTGTGTAAATAGTAATGAGAAACGTGTGTTTGTATTATACTTACTTGGTGGTCGAGATCAAGTTCCAGTTCTAGATTTCTGCACCCCGAAACCTTGTGTGTAATTTCACTCAGATGAGGGCGACGTTAAAGCATTGTGGCTAATAAGCTAGCCCACGCTAGGCCCAATAACCATGTCCGGTATGTGATTTTAAAAACCGGATTTAATGCATGATGGGACTCGCTATCCTTTTCTCCCGACTCTTCATCCCTTATGTCGCCTCCCAGAAGCACATTTGGGGGATTGAGATCGAAGGCAGCGATACTCCGGCCTATTTTGCAAGGGAGGAAAATTCTTATTCCTACTCTCCCTCCTCCGCAGCAAAATCAGCATCGATACACGCCTTAGATGATCTGGTAAAGCTGTAGTTACTACCATGAGAGTATTTGTGATGGCCTCACCTGAACTACACGTATCAGCACCTAAAGAATATCGTTACTTAGATTAGAAACCAGACCCCAAGAGGGTGAACTACCGTCAAAGTGTCCAGACTAGATGCTAAAGACGTTACAAGGTATCAGCTGTAAGGTGTTTAGAATGATGATAGTTGAGAAGGGCCACCCGATTCAGTCGGGGGCTCGATGTAACGTCAAGTACTATATGATGGAGTGGAAAATTAAAAAGAAGCATTTGTCCCCGCAGCATTCAAAGGCCGATAGCCGCTTCTTCACGGCTGGACACATGACCACATCATGCAGATGATTTACATGTAGTGATATATTTACCAGCCACGTCGCGCATGGGAAAAATCATAATTATTTCTATCTCCCCGAGTTTATCCCAACGGCGTCTAAGAATCTACGGTGCGCTGAAATATTATATAAGTGGATCATAACCTATCACTCACTTCTCACACACATTCACCACATACGCATACAATTCGTACCATGAGGGAATGTCACATATCAAAGAAAAAATCACATCAAGCTAACCCGCATACAACTAGAACTCCTAAATATGACGCCTTGAACCCTATTGGTTTGATTAGTTGTTCAGTTAGTTGCTGAAAATGAAGGATTCCCCACCCAAAATTGCCATTTGGAATAATTGGCTCCCAAACCCTTTAATTCCTTAATACATGCATCATTGTGTGTCAAACTAAATTCTACACTGTAAAGCACATATGCTAACTCTCGCAATATTCGATCCTCAAAGAGGCTCAGGTGGTAATAAATTCATAAGCCTATAGCTCGCTCGCTGTCAGGAGGCGACAAAACTAATATGAAGTGGGGTATACATATTTATTGTCACATCTGAATCCATCTCTGCATAGTTACTGGACTCACGATAGATTTTGGTGCTTGTGTGTCCCAAAAGAACATGTGTACCCATCTGCAGCTTATGTCGAGTGAGCTAGCACAAGAGGTGAGTACATGCCCTTTTGTGAGAAATATGTATACATGTATCATATGCAGCCATGCGGTGAAACCAGAAACTCGAATTGACGTTTCGATCTTCCCGCCGGTAGACGTAATCATGTCAGGGTGCAAGCAAGATCTCGCATTAATTGGCCACGCAAGCCCTGGAGGGCGGGTACATATGTGTGATTTTGGATCTCCGAAATCATGGATGAGCAAAGTCGATGAGTCCAAATCACATTCCGATGATACTCTACATTGAAGAGTGTGTGTGGTCGTGAACTAGGCCTAGGGCATTAAGATCTAGCAAGGATATCGATTGGTTTGATCGGGCTTACGTGTGTAGCATCTCAGAGAAGTGTGATTTGTGAATTTATAAATCCAATAGATGTACATGTAGGTACTAGAATATATTTATATATATTAGGTTATATAATACATGTACCTCCTCGATTTCTCTGTCGGAAATCAATTGCGCTATAAACATACACTTATATAAATTGTTTCAGTAAATGAAAGCTGTCCTGATCTAAGTTCTCTCATGAACGAGCAGGGACGGCCAAGCGATCGAGGTCTAAACTCTGAGAACGCGTATTCCACTGAACATCAGCTGCAGGCCTTGGTGCGGTGTGGTATCTTTGGCAATGCCAATACAGAGCTTCCTAAGGAGGTACAGCGAATACGGGTGGGCCTAAAGCTGCTCTTCCAATATCTAATCAAGGTTTCAACGAACCCGAAGTGCATATTGGAATTAACTCGAAAGCTATTTAGCATCACCGGCCCCGTTGATAGAATATATGCCTTTTGAAAAGTTTATTTCTATGAATGTGACGGGTTGCACGCCAGTCCCGGGCAACTGCGCACGAATAGGAATACCTACATACATGTACGTACTTGTAGGTATCTCTTTGGTAACAACCCCCACCCCTACCCCACCCCTCCCCCTTCTCTTTCCTTCCTATCAGCGATTGTTTTTTTCTTAGAATATCACGCGAAAACGAGGAGAACTCTGGCACCCAACCGGCTTTGCACGAATAGACGTTAATACTGCGACACTGTACCGGGTTCCAACCCGGGTCGCTTTCGCACAGATGGGTGACACACATAAGAGGGATTAAAATCATAATAAAAAAATCTAAACAGGGCTAGAACTTACATAAATGGGTGACTTATTGCAGTGAATAGTGCAATTTCCCCTGAGTCAACAACCATCAAGGTCTAGATTGTTTCTCCTGTAGGGCGATAAAATAAAAAATAAAATAAAATAAAATAAAATAAAAAGGAACATGAGATTGGAGCAGGCAGTGGTGTGCAGACGTCCCGTCTCCCGTCTGTCAATCGATATGAAACACAGATGATCTTCACTTGCTATGCGGGCTGCTGCTTCTGCCGTTTGAGCTTACTCGTTCTAGGTTCCCGTAGTTTATGACATCTGCATTTCGGGCCCTATGTAGGTAAATAATGTATCTACCCCGCTTCTCGAACGAGGCGAACATAATCGGACGGATCAGAGAGCTTGGAGTGGAGCAGTACGTGCTCACGTAGTAAAGGCTCTAGTATCTATATTATTTTGGAGGTTACTAATTGACCTTAGTTTTTACTGATTTCAAGCTGAGGTCGTTCATAAAGGTGATGCATCACAAGTGGCGGCATGCATACATGTACGTTCGAGGGAACTGCCGATATGAAGTGGGCCAGCCCTGTTTAATACTCAGGCACCACTTATCTGCTGCGCAGGGCCCCTCCTTCGCAAATCGACCATGCGTGCAGGATGCAGGTAGACAAAAGCCTGATGAGAATCTGCTTAAGCGTTAGTCTAGAGGAGAAGTATCCATCTCTACGGGAGGAGGGGTAGGGAGATACATGGCTTTACCATACCACCGCATATGTACCCATCTCATCTCATCTTTTGCAAAAAAAAAATGTCAAGACGAATGAGAATATTATCACCCTGGCGTGGACCTTCTAAAAGAGACGAGCCGAACCAAAGTGAGTCCCAGCGAAGGAAGATGCTGCATAACGGCTTTTTTCCCATGGCTTCTCAATTAGACCAACCATCAGGTTTCATGAAGAAACTCGAGGGAAAAGGCCTCAGATGCCGGCGCCGACCGTTATCTTTTTTTTTTGCTCACGCACACTAACTATTCATAGGCCAGGGCGATGGTTGAACGAGGTTACTCTTAGACATGATTCACATCGGTTGGCAGCGGTTCCCCAGAGAATTGAGAGGATGCATTTCGTAACCATCTGGCGGAGAGAGGGACTTAATTACTGAGCCAATCACTGTACTGGTTTCCCTTCACAACAACTCACTCGACCTTAGAAATATGTACCTACATGATACTTGTAATATCATCACATGTACAGGGATTAAAGCGGTATCTTATCGGATCGGATCTCGTGATACCACCTTCTCGAATGAACAGTGGCCTGCAGAAAATCCTAGATTAATCGCAGGAAAGCGAGGGAAAGATATTTAAGAGAGTACCAATGGGACCAAGGATATCTGAGTACATTTTGTGGGAGCTTGTGTCTGTGTTGGAGGGTCTGGACCGAAAGTCATTCCATATATATCTAGAGATAAACAATTCTTTCCCCTCCAACGTCAACAACGCGTCTCCCAAAGGCTACCTCACTGTCTATACTAATTGCTGGAAACGCTCAATATTCAGAGGAGAAGTGAGAAGTTCAAGTCACAGATATGTCTCGCCGCCGTCGAGAGCAGTTCGAAGGGGCCCCACAGTCTCAGCCTCCAGACCCTTCCCAACAGCAACAGCAGCAGCAGCAACGTCAGCAGGTACTCCTCCACCAGCAGCATCAGCAGCATCAGCAGCACCAGCAGCACCAGCAGCACCAGCAGCACCAGCAACATATAGCGCAGCAGCAACATGTTACTCAACAGCTACACCATATTCAACTCCAACAGCAGCAGGAGCAGCCATATTATATTCCTCTCAGTGCCCCTCCTGTACATCCTCCGCCGCCACCCGGACCCCCACTTCTAGCTCAAGGTCCCCCACCTGTTGTACCATTGACAGCGCAATCACCTGAGCCACTTCGTTTACTCTCAGTCTTGGACTCACTGAAGCCCTTGGGCTTCACCTCCATATCCGACTTTCTCGTGCATCTGTTCACAAGCGAAGACCCCGCAGTCCGCCGGCGCGTAAGCCTATTCTACACCCATGGCGGTATCAAATCACTCCTCGAAATCTTCATGGCGTCCAAGCGCGCACGCGAGAATGGCGGAGATGAGATCGCTGTAGCGTGGGCTGGCGGTGTGTTCAAGGACGAATTCGACCTCGGACTCGTTAAGGGTGGTGTTAGTTCCTCATCCCATTATTCCGCCCTTTTCCTCCCCTGCACCCTTCCACTGTGTTTTATTCGCTGTTACCATTTGCTGCCACTACCCACATACTGCGAATCGTCATTTCTAAGAAATTTCCGTGCATATAGATCAACGTTGATGTCCGCGCCAACTCTACCGAATCCCGCGGACGCACGACTGGGGAAATCCTCAAGGAGGGCCTCGAGAACTTCGATTTGGTTAAGGTGCAGCGGCAATGCGAGCGCAAGGCACCATTACTATGGCGTCTTCTGGAAACCCTGTCTTCATCCGACCGTGAGCGAGTCGAGGTGAAAGTTGCACCACCACCGAACGACGAGCAGCCACAACAGCCAGCTTCAAAACGGCGGAAGATGGAATCTGGGCCTGGGGCCGTGGGTGTATCATCCGCGAACCCGCCCCTGACGGTTACGATAATGCTGCTATTACTCGCAAGTTCACAGGTCAGGAACAAGTTTCAGAAATGGCTTGGGCTCTATCTGTATGCCCAGGGTGTTCGAAAGGGGCCACTGAACTCGCTGCGGACATTAGGCGTAGGCAGCGAGGGAAAAGTCATCGGTGATAACGGTTTGTGCCCTGCGAAGCGAGGGTTAGGGTTGCGGATATGCCGATACTAATCCATCAACAGTACTTCGTGTGATCGGAGACGATACAAAAAAGAAATTACGTGCAGAGTTGGGTGGATCGGATCAAACACAGGTCAGGGGACCTGGCGCTCCAAGGACCAACCCAAGATCTACAAAACGCAAATCCCTTCTCACTGCGGAAGCCATTGTCTTGGAGCCAGCACAATCTAATCCGGATCCTTTACATGGGAAGAGACCTTTTATAATATCTCAGGCTACCTACCATCCCTCCCCTAAGGATCATCTCCGGGCCGATAACTTTGCGCCGTGTGCGACGATTCCATTTATTATAAGACTTCCCGTGGAGACTCCTGTTCTGACCAAAGGGATGATAAAAACCTCCTCCTTATATCGCAAAGAGAAATACTTTCCAACCGTCCTCACACCTGTTGTTCCGGTTGCAAAAGATCCACCTTCGTTCGGGAGTAATAGCGCAGGTTCTAACTCCGGTGTGGCGGCGTTCTACGGCTATCCATTTTCAAATTCTGCATACAGTACAACCCCAGGGTATGATGCACCTACACCAGCTCCAAACGGCGACTTTTACTATACACCTGCTACTCCAAGCGCTTCGGGGCCTACCTGGCCGGGCAACGCTAACCCCGGGGCTACAGGGTCTGCGAATAATGGAACAAGAATCTTGCTTACAGACGAGGAGGGAAAGGTATATTGGAAAAATCAGGCAAGGCGCAGTGTTTGGCGCGCAATGAAGCGGATGTGGCCGAAAGTTGGAGAAATCATTACAGAAGATGAAGTGTGTGAACCGGCCCTTAACCCTACCGCCCCCCCAGATATCGAGCTAGATATCAAAGACCCAGTTTCGCAGGTATCGGAGGAGGACCTATTTCCAATGCCGAGCATGAAACGCGTTAACCCCAAAAAGCCCGAAGAGCAAATGGCTGTACTGGAATTGGTCTCAGAATACCTTGGTTTCGAGACTAAACATCTGAAAGGCCCCAATGCCGGTGACCGCCTCTGGATCTGGGCTGGAAATCTTGAAACGATACAAGGATTAAAATCCGCACGCCATGCAGCACCCCCAGACTCGGTATTACACAACATACACCCGGTGCTCCAACTGTTTGATATAAGACAATCATTCCTCCTTGAGCTATTGAAGCAGCACTATGGAAAACCGAACGATAAAGATTTGACAAGTCTCTGTCATCACATGCAGATCATGAACCGCAAATTTCTCATTTTTGGGTTTTCAGTTACGGGGCAATATGCGGAGGGGCTTCTACTTCACTCTCTCGAGTCACATCTGATCGATTCGATTTTGAGCGTGACAAAGATACGTGAATCAGGACCAAAGACAAAACAGGAAGTTCTCGACATAATCACGAAGGTCTACGAGACCTACCTCGACTCCGAGACCGTAAAGGCCTACCAAGCCGTCACAGAAGCGACGAATCGAGACGAAGTCTTCGAAAACCACATGTTACTGATGCAGCATTCAATTGTGTACTTCTCTCTCCTGGAATGCACCGCCGCGGCATCAACAGACAACCTCTTGCACATCCTTGCCTGGATCGCGACCGCCTTCCAGGGCCTCACTTCAATTCGATCCACAAAGATGGCGCGAGAACTATTAGATCTCGTCTCCGGATTGCAAGGAGAATGGTCCAGCGAGATTCGAGCAGCTGTCCTTGGCTCCATGATAATTCCTAAACCTGCTGGGGCACCGTATCCTGTGCTTTCATCTCATTCCGCAGCTGCAAAGGTAGCCGGCGAGTACCATGAGGTTGATTTTGCGATGAAGCAGCTGTTGAGGCAGACAAAGACCGTCTTCGACCTGCGCGATAATCCAAAATATGACTTCTTCCGTGAGGTCGCGACGCCCAATATCAGGACTATCTCGAAGGTTGTCCGCAACGCGGAGGAGGCTCTAGGGACGGCGCCAAGGACGGCAAACCAGTGGAAGAGCCCTGCTGAGAATGTAGATCCTGACAAGGAAATACCCAAGCTTGTGAAAGAGCTTCGAGAAGGCCGGGTGGGCGAATGGGTTGCAGGGAGGAAGGCAAGCTTCAAGGTGGAGCATCTCCTGGCGAATGGCGAGGAAAAGATCAAGGGCGCGGGATTTTTGGAGGAGTTCTGCAGGAGGGGTGATAGGGCTGTTGTAGATGGTGAGGATGCGGCAGATGAGACGGAGCAGCTTGAGGGTGAGAAGGAGTGGAGGAGGAGAAATTTGTTCTTTGCCCCCGATTTCGGGTTCGATTGGGGTTTGTAAGGGGCGATGAGATGCTTTACATTTGTTAGTCGTTATTTTTCCTTATGTTCTATACCTGGTAATACATAAATGAAGGGGCGTTGGTACAATGTCTGGTATTAGCACTGAATCTCAATGAATAACCTTTTTTGCAACGTATTTATATTCACTGCGCTCGACCGTAATCAGAAACGTTGTCCATTACTTTACTCGGCATATAAATCTTGACACATCCCACATGACCCCAACCCGCTCGGGTGCCTCCTTCTGTCTCAAGTCTTAATCACAAAGTCTCACTCACGATTAATAATATGTTCTGTTCCTGCTACTTAACCACGATTTAGGATCAATCATTGACACCGCTTACTAATCACACCGCCACCTTTTGCGCCATTGAGCTGCACTCCCGTTAGCGTCATGTAATCTCGTTATATCACACACCTAAAATGGGGCCTAGGTCATCGTGTACTGGTACCGCTAAATCTCGAGTTATTCGGGGGGTTGCCAAGCTCAGCTGCTAAACTACATTTAGTTTAGATCCTGCAGAAGAGGGCTGTTTTATTGAAGATCTCTGCCTCTAAAGGTGAAGATCCTCAGCTTTTTGCCTTGGCAACCCCCCGAATAACTCGAGATTTAGCGGTATGTTGTGTGGATAAGGATATCCCTTCCGCTACAGTGTCCTTTAGGGTTTATGTCGCTACCGCATTAATTCGTTCGAACGGCCGGTCACACAAGACGTCGAAGTTGCCTTTTCAAGCTAATATGAGGGAAGATTAGGGGGCGTATTCAAGACAAATAACCAAATACGGGAATTTCAACGTCTTGTGTGACCGGCCGTTCGAACGAATTAATGCGGTAGGTGACGGTGTTAAATACTATTGGTATTGACGGTTTCACTATATCGCCACGCTGGTTATCGATACCGCCACTACTCTAGACCTCGCTGATCTGAAGCGTTGTGACTTGTATCAATATCTTCCTGCAGCCCATGTGGGCTATTTGTGACATCGTGTTATATTAACTAGAGCAAAGAGTCGCGGGATTAAAATGCTTTGAATATTTGCTAGTATAGTATACCGTAGGCATAGAAACATCCAGCCCTACTAGTATTATATTGGAATAGACACCAAGCTACGTATTCTAGGGGCGCGCAGCAGCAGCACTCTCAACAGTCACGACCCATCACTCGCCGCCTCAAACCCGCACTATGCCACTCCCACATGCACACCACCTTCCACCTCCACAGGTCCTACCACCAAACCTCGGCGGTTGGCCACCAAGATCAACCCAGAACCCCAACTAACAGGTAGAATATTCCCTCAACCCCCCCCCCCCCCAAAACACTTACCCTCCGACTCATGAAAGCCAAGTGTGGCGCAGCACAGGTGCCGCCGCCACACATGACGTACCTACTCTACTCTACTCTGGCCTTTCCACGATTCGCCACCCCGAAATTAATGATGGAAGCTTAAGATTGCAGATATAAACACCAAACAACTCCCGCCGCGGTTCTCAGGCCTCTTTGACCTGTGGACTTGCCTCGTTGTATGTTTCAAACGAACAAACGAACACACAAACGAAGCAAACAAACCCTCACTTCCTACACACCACAGTGCTGTATAACTCACCTACATTCATACCTACCTACCTACTCTACATAACCCACCTCTACAAACACAAACACAAACACCCCCCCCCCCCCACACACACAAAATGCCCATCCCCCTCTTCACCACCAGCGAGAAGCCCAACACCGCCGAGACGCAAACCTCGCCCCCCAACCCCACCGTGACCTCCACGCCCCTCACAAGCGGCAGCAACCTCTCCGAGCGCCGCAGATCAAGCGCGTCCGAAGAACACCACCAGCAAGCGCTGACCGCCTCAAGCTCAGGCACGGCGATGAGCGCGGCGAGCTCCGGCAGGGAGCGGACGAAGGAGGAGAGGGAGGAGGCGGACAGGCTGTATGAGGAGAGGATGGAGGAGGAGTATGCGAAGCGGGAGGGGGGAGCTTAGGAGGGGAGCTCCAATAATTTTGTGAGAGAGCTCGGTTTGTGAGAGCTTGGTGGTTTCTGGCAGGGATTACAGTTGTAGTTAGTTGGCTGTGGGTGGTGGCTGTTTTGTTGTTTCTGTTACTCCCGACTCACTCACTCAATTGCAAGTAATCAATCACTCCACCTCATCTGGTTCATCTGCCATCTACCATCTATCTGTCTATCGTCATCTCTCGTCGTTATCGTTATTGTGATATGCCAACTCGTGATTGAGCTCCAAGCTCTCCCTCCTTACCTCACCTGCGCTGCCAGGATCTGTCGCGTGCAGAACCCCCGTTGCGGTTGTCTGCATGGATGGATGGATGTCTAATACCTGGCCTGTGATTGGCCGGTGGGGGAGAGCCTCACTTGGCACTGACGTAGGGGGCTGTCTAATAAAGAACAGGAAAGGGCAGCTTTTCTTGTATGTAGAGTTGTAGGTAAGGGTATGTACTTGTACTAAGGTGCAATATTATGTAGGTAGGGGCTGGTCTTTAATACTCAATTGCCCCCTCTATAAAACCTCCCAGCGCCTTTCCCTGAGATCGAATTGAATATCCAGACTAGAGTCACGATACTCAGCTTGCATTGTCATTGTCTGTCCGACTACTACCTATATAATCACCTGTTAACCACCCGCCCTATAAAACCCTACAAACCCCAATTAATTGCCACCTGAATATCGAGCCATCTATAATCCCCGCGGTAGAAAGAAGGAAAGAAAAACAACAACAACATACCAATTGCAGCCCAATATGGTCCTCGTCTACCTCAAGAACCTCCTCCTCCCCTCCCAAAAGCCCTCCCACCACCACGAAACACCCCCCCTCCTCCCCACCACAGACCTCCCCAAACACTACGGCAGCAGCACCCGCGACACCACCACCAACTCACCCTGCCGCCAACCCTCCTGCCCGCGCCGCACCTCCCAGAAATCCTTCTCCTCACCCCCAAACACCAGCACCTCCACCTCTTCCTCCACCCCGTCCAAAAAACCCTACATCGACCCCCGCGTCCTCTCCGACCTAACCATCGGCCTCTCCGACGGCCTCACCGTCCCCTTCGCGCTCACCGCCGGCCTCTCCGCCTTCAACGACACGACCGTGGTCCTCTACGGCGGCCTCGCCGAGCTCATCGCCGGCAGCATCTCCATGGGCCTCGGCGGCTGGCTCGCCGGCCGCGGCGAAGCCGCCTTCCACACCAACACGCTCGCCGCCACGCGCACGCTCGTGCGCACCAACCCTGACGCCGTGCGGCCGCTGCTAACGGGCGTGTTCCGGCCATACGGGGTTGCCGAGGGCGCGCTGGAGGGCGTGGTGGAGGGCTTGCTGGCGGGCGAGGAGGAGGCGCTGGTGCGCTTTGTGATGCAGTTTCACTATAATCTGCCCGCGGTGGAGAAGGAGGAGGTTGGGGGGAGGACGCCTGTGTCGAGCGCGGCGACGATCGCGGCGGGGTATTTTTTTGGTGGGTTTGTGCCGTTGGTGCCGTATGTGTTTGTGGGGAGGGGGGATGTGTTGGTGGGGCTGCGGTGGAGTGTGATTGTGATGGTGGTGTGCTTGTTTGTGTTTGGGGGTGGGAAGACGGTGCTGGTGGATGCAGCGGAGGAGGGGAAGAAGAAGAATTGGGGGAGTATCGTGAGGGGGGGTGTTGAGATGGTGCTTGTGGGCGGGGTGGCGGCGGCGGCGGCGATGGGCATTGTGAGGGCGCTGGGCGGGCTGTCCTGAGCAGAGACGTTAAATTCCTGGGAGGAGGACTGCTAGACCTCTCTCTCTCTCTCTCTCTGTGGGATCTTTAAAAAAAAAAAAAGCTTCTTGGGCGTTGGTACGGAATATATCCTTTTCTTTCTGCTTGTAGTGTTGTTTACTCTTATAGCTTAATTGTAACATATATATATTAGCGGTAGATTCATGGTGTGTCACTCGGTTCCGTAAATTCCTTTTTTCTTTTAGTGTCTGACTATTACACACTGGCCCTGCCTGTATTGTTAGATTTGCTAGTTTTTTTTTCTTCTTTATTTGGGTCTAGAAACGATCTTATACGAACTTATAAATTCAAGTCATATAATCCTTTCCTCTTTGGAGCGAAAAGTGATGGGCTCGAGGACGCCAAGCTAAGAGAACCAAGCTGTGATGTTGAGAGTAGTGAGTGAGTGCTTCATCGGGGTCGTGCGCTAGAGTGATCCTGGGGTGCATGTTACTACCAGAGCGCAGGTCACAAGTAGACAAACACGCGTCTATATGTAGGTATCTATATCACCACCGGACTCGTTATCCCCATGAGGTGCGTACTTCCCAGCCTTCGTCCGTGCCACGATATTCCTCCCTCATACGCAATCACTCGAACCCACCCCCACCTGCTAGTTCCGTAGCTATTTGTCAGCAAGGACCCACTTTCATGCTTCCCCCCCCCCCCCCCCCCCCCCACTACTCTACCGGTCAGTGACTACCGGTTACTCGGCTAAGCCCATCCCATGCAGCTTTAGAGTTATGCAAGCATCTTTACTTGGACAGGGTATGTAGTACAGGTAGCTTAGGAGTCGACGATTTTTTTTTTTTTCTTTCTTTCTGCTTGTTTTGACTCCCTTTAAATATTTGCAGCTCCTCGGTGTTGTTCCCCATGGGTAGTCTCGAGTGCAAAATCGTGAGATACTTTTGACGTCAATTGAGTTCCCAATTAATCGCAACTCCACACACACACACACACATACACAAAAAAAAAGAGAAATATCCGTTGGTGCACATTAAAAAAGGAATTAACAATATGGACGAGAAACCGGCCCCAGCTCCGGTCAGCGATGATAATGTCGTCGGACAGGCAGAAGTCAATGACAACAAGGAATTGCAAAAGACCGTTACTGAAGTCAGCTTTGTCGATGTCCCCCCTGACGGAGGATATGGCTGGGTCGTCGTCGGTTGTTGTTTTATGGTCAACGCCATGACTTGGGGTGTAAACAGCGTTCGCCACCCCTCTCCCTCTTCTACAAATTCCATCAATAGCTAATTAGTGTGCAGTCATACGGGGTGTACCTTGCCCATTATCTTTCATCCAACAAATACCCGAATGCCACCCCACTCCAATATGCCTTCATCGGCGGTCTCTCGGTATCCCAATCAATGTTCATTGCGCCCGTCGTCACCCTGCTCCTCCGCCAGACATCAACCCGGACAGGCATGGCCGTTGGGATAATCCTTCAAACCGGCTCCCTGATCCTCGCCTCCTTCTCTACGGTAATCTGGCATCTCTTCCTCACGCAGGGCGTGCTATTTGGCTGGGGCCTCGGTTTCCTGTTCACCTCGTCTGTCGGGACAATATCGCAGTGGTTCAGCAAGAAGCGGAGCCTGGCGAACGGAATCACGTCTGCGGGGAGCGGCATTGGCGGGCTGGTGTTTTCGCTGAGCATCCAGAAGATCATCGAGACGATGGGGGTGGAATGGGCGTTTAGGATCGTTGCTATCTGTGTGTTTGTCACAAACACGGTCTGTACGCTGCTGATAAAGGATAGGAATAAGATTATTAATCCGAACCAGAAGGCGTTTGACTGGAGGCTGTTGAAAAGGCTTGAGTTCCAGCTGGTGATGGGGTGGGGGTTCCTCTCGATGCTTGGATATATAGTGATTCTGTTCTCGCTGCCGGACTATGCGGCGAGCGTGGGCATGTCGAAGCAGCAGGGGAGCATATTAACCGCCATGCTCAACCTGGGGATGGCGTTTGGCAGGCCCCTAGTAGGCATCGGGAGCGATCGGTACGGCAGGATCAATATAAGTGGGGTGATGACGCTGGTGAGTGGGCTGAGCTGCTTCTTCATCTGGATCTGGGCGAGGAGCTTTGGGGTTGCCATACTGTTCAGTCTGGTCAATGGAGCTGTTTGTGGAACGTTTTGGACGGTGAGTAACATGCATAAGTATTCCACCTAGCTGCTGTGTAAGATGTTGAGACCTTGTGTTGTTGTAGACAATATCGCCCGTCACTGTTGAGGTGGTGGGCATCAAGGAGCTTCCGAGTGCATTATCCCTAGTATGGCTCTCCATAGTTCTACCCACAACATGTAAGTCCTTCTTTTCTGTCTCCTATTAGAACACACTAACGTCAATATCCTTCTGTAGTTTCGGAGCCAATCGCCCTCTACCTCCGCCGTCCAGGGGAATATAATGCATACCTATATCCGCAGATTTTCTCGGGAGTTTTGTACATTGGTGCAGCAGGGTGCATGTATGCACTGCGGGTATGGGCCCTCACGAAACAGGACCAGAAGTTGGAGGGGGAGGAAGATGGTGAGAGGAAAGGCAGTAGATGGTGGAGACTTGCGAAGGTTTAGGAGAAGAAACAAAGGTGATGGATTATGAATGATAGATTATTTTTTTAGATAATAATGAGCTTAATTGATATAATGTTATGACTTGCCAAATTATTGATTAGATGAAGTCTGGTGAAGCCCTTGATCGAGTACAGTAATGGAAGATGACGTTAGATGGCAGGTGTACATGTACGCAAGAACGTAGGGCCGAGAAACGTCTCTTTTCGTGGTGTCTTTTGCCGTAGTCTAAGGGCACCCGTAAAAAAGAAAAACCGCACTAAGCATACGTTTCAATTGAATGTTCCCCCCATCTCCATTCACTATACTTTTCATCAGGGTCAAGTTTTGCAAAAGGTTGCATTGATGGCAGCCCCCATGGCTACAACCCCCACCGCTTAATTGAACCATGGACCTTCGATAGGTACAACTTGGCACAACCACTCGGTGTATCCGGAAGGCGAGTGTTAACCGGTTGGCCACTCGCCCATGTGTGTTGTGGGCGGGAAATGGTATTTAAACGCAACGGCTGATTGCAGATAACTAATGCTATTCCTATTAGGTGAGCTGTGATACCGGCCATCAAATATTAAGAAGCACCCTCGATTTGCATCATTTACCATCACTCGGAGGTCTTAAGACATCTCGTCTTATCCCAGGCCAGTTGTCTCGTACCCATCAGTACACAACCCAAACCAATGCCTCATCAGGAACTCACCACTTTGAAGAAGATTTTCAATCCGCCAATTACAACCCCAGACGCAGAGAACCTTCCCCAGAACAATCTGGCCCCTGGTAACAGAAAAGATCTCCACCAGGGACCTGGTCTTCACTCGATAAAGCTTAGGCAGATACCACTGCTGCGGGTACCGGCTTGTTCCTGGATAAGCGAGCGGTTATCAGCTTGATTGTGGTTAGAGTTGAATAGTCACACGTGGCGGTTGAGGTGGCGGTGCAGAGAGTTAGGACTCGCTGAGGATAGCGGTGGGGGATGTTTCGGGGTGTGAATTGTTTTCCGGGGGGGGTGGTTTTTGAGGTTGAGATAGGGGATCGTGAGATCTTGCTGGAGCTTGAATATGTGATTGTAAAGACCCTCTCTCTCTTCAATCCTCTGTATGAGCACTTATTAACCTTGAGGTCTTGAGGATAGGCAGAACTACGGATTTGAAACATTTAGCCCCCGAAATAGTTTCTCCACATATGATGGGTGGCGTTACTTATCGATAAGATAAGAATCTGATAAAAACTCCCGCGCAATGACCTCACACCTAACCCATAGACCTTCGAAAAAAAATCTCAACGACCCACCCGCCCTGAAGATCAGAATAAAAGCTCCAGAAAAGGCTCAGAAAACTTCTTTCAATGCTCACCACTCATCTCCCCTTCATTTCTCGCTCTTCGATATACCAAAAACTATGTCTGTCAACATCATTGTAGGTTACCTCGAGCTGGCGGCTGAGTACATATATGCAGAAGTACTGACAATGGGGATCTTTAGGCTGGCCCGGTAGCGGGTGTTGTTACTTGCTTAATGTTCTACCCATTTGACACGATCAAGACGCGTCTTCAGTCTCCCGAATATCGTCGAGCGGCCCAGGCGGGAGTCCAGCGGATACGGCTTCAGGGATTGTACCAGGTACGGCCCGTGCGCATGCCGTTCGATTGACATGGAGTACAGTAACTAACAAGAATATCAATCTAGGGAATCGGGCCAATTGTTCTAGTAACATTACCAGCATGTAGGACCTCTAAACCCCCTTTAATTACACCAATTCTAAAGTGACAACTAATAAATTACAGCGGCCGCCTTCTTCACATCCTACCAAAAGAGCAAAGAGCTGCTCCGGAAAGCATTACCCTCGCTCCCGAGCCCCATAATAAATTGCGCCGGCTCCTCGATCGCAGAAATGATCGCCTCGGCCGTCGCCACGCCTGCCGAGGTCATAAAACAAAACGCACAAATCCTCTCCGGCGGAGGCACCAGTACCAGTCTCCAAGCGCTACGATTAATCGGGCGGAATCCCCGAGATCTCTGGCGAGGGTATACCCTCCTCGCAGGCCGCAACCTCCCCTTCATTGCGATCCAATTCCCAATATACGAAGAGCTGAAGGTGCTGCTAGGCTCAGGGAGCGCGAAAGGCGACCTGTGGGAGACGGGGAAAGTCACTGGGTTGGCTGCGATGGCATCTGGTGGTGTCGCGGCGTGTCTGACGACGCCAATTGATGTCGTGAAGACGAGGGTGATGTTAACGGCTGGGAATTTGGGCAGGAGGATCGGTGCCGTGGAGACGTTTAAGGACGTGTGGAAGACGGAGGGCGTGCGAGGAGTGTTTAGAGGAGGGGCGTTGAGGACTGTATGGACATCAATAGGGAGTGGGGTGTACCTGGCCCTTTATGAGAGCTTGATTTCTTATGGGGGGGATAGAAAGGCGTTGGATGTTGACATTTAGAGGTGGAAATAATTAATGTGCGGGGAATCTTTGTTTATAGCTGGGTGTTGATAGATAAAATATAATTATAAATATAGTACACATAAAACTACTCCATATATCTCCATCCAAAAAATATTTACATTTACAGCTATCCTCGGACTTAAGGCTCATTCTAGCTTTCGGTCAACCAATCACTGAAACCAAACATAGCAAGGGTTGAAATAGTAGCATGATGCAAGATATACGCTAGGCATGTGGTGGCCCTAGTGTCTGCCACCAACCCGACAGTGATCGAGATCAAAAAGGCAACGGGAGGTGGCATATTACGCGGATAGAACGAAGGAAATCCAAGGCCATATACCGAGCGGTGACAGTGGATAGTATCGAAAAACACTAATAGCAAACAAGTCTAGTGTGTGAATGCACCCAAGACAGCGGTAGAAAAGAAGCCCAAATCCACCCCTTCGAGCCCTCCTCCCAACAAACCCACCGAACCACTACAGAAATGTATTTCGAATTCTTTCCTCTCAATACTGGCAGCACTAGTTGAAAAATCTGTCACCGAGCCCCGCGGCCACGGCAATCTATTCTCTGTTCTATGCATATAAACAGCGACCTTCGCTAGGACGATTCTAGCGCCCTAGTCCCTCCCAGATCCTTCAGTCCTTTATATCCTTCTCCCTAATGATCCGAGTTCTCACGGTCCTTTTCAGATCTCTAGGCCCGAAAATAATCGCGCCGGTCATTTAACCTGTACCCTTTTTCAAAGGTATGAGATATCATGTAGGTACATATATGCAGCATCTCCACGTGATACACAGCACCTGGTATTATCAGAACCACAAAAATATTTGCCAAAGTGGGAGAGTCCGAGCGAGTGATGACCCATGATCTAGCCTAACACTCCCTCATCCCCTCATCCCTCGTCCCCCTTCCCTCCCTCCCTCCCTCCCTCCCGCAAGGCCGTATGCAGATGTGACACAAACCACTTATTTCTCACCCAACCAGACACCAATCTCCCTCCCCACGCAGACACCCACGACAAATCTCCCCGCCCCCATCTACATGTAACAGTACGTACCCGGGCACGTGCACGCCAGTGGGTTAGGTGTTGGGTGATGTTTTTGGCGACCAGTTATAGGGTTCAGTTGTGCGGAGAAGCATCCGCTGGTGGTTGTAATAGCACTTGCATGTCACGTCATGTCATGCTCTCGTGAGCGATCGAGTGTGCGGGTGGTGTAACGATCGTATACGGCGTCAAAAGTAAACATATGTAGGGCAGGAGAGTAGAAGTAGAGCAAGAGTGGCCCACGATTTTGCTAGTATTGAATTATATTGCTGTACGAAAAATGGTGAGTGATTCTCCATGACCGAAGCGTAGGCGCGCCTAGGGAAATTATCGTGTAGGGTTTGGAGGGAGCGAGTGAGGTCTCAGTGGTTGTTGTTGCCCGCCAAGCTTTCGGTAGCGCCTGGGCCGTGACGTAGGTAGGGAGGCGGACCACACGGACGCGAGCGAGCTCTAAACATCAACATATCAACACATCTCATAACAAAAAAGCTACATCTTCATGCCCGAAAACGAGACTGTTGTCTTTTTCAAATCCCCATTCTTTATTGATCTAGGTATTTAGGTATTTAGGATTTAGCAGTAAAGACCACGAGACAGAGTAAGTAAAAAAAAAAGAAAGAAAAAAAAAAAGAGGAAGAAGCTAGTTACATGATAATGACATCAAACCCATACAAAAAAATATATCCTGCCGCCACGGCCCTCTTCTCCTTCTTCTCCTCCTTCTTCTTCTCCGCCTTCTCCTTCTCTTTCTGCCCCACTGTCTCGAAAGTAACATAACAACAACATTCCACCAAGTAAATTTTTTGTCCGCATTCCAAGAATGATAAAAAAAAACAATTCCAAACGATACATAAGGAATGCAAACTCCACGTACAAAAGGAAACCGATATCCCCCTCCCTCGCTCCCACCTACTACTCCTTGCAATTGTCGTCTCATCCCCAGTTCATTCGCTCACAAAGTACCCGATACTCCAAGTCGTCAAGTCTCAACATCGTCATTCATTACATCCTCCAACTAACCCTAATTCTCTCACGAGCATGCATGCCATGAGAAGTTGACAGAATAATAAGAAAAAAAAGGGCAACAAAGATATCATGATTGGAACAAGGAAAACATAACAAATTCTCTCATTTCATCTTTGGCACACTCAATAAGGAAAAAGAAGGAAAAAAGACAGAAATCATCAAAAATCATACAAATCGAATTGAATCATTTCATATCCCCATACGTCGTTCCGCCGCCTCACTCGCTCTCAGTGTCCACTACCGATGTCCGGGGTGGTGTCCTACATGGTGCCCTGCGTGGTGTCCGGGGTGGTGCGAGCCCCCAACGTGGTGCGAGCCCCCAACGTGGTGCGAGTTTCCAGGGTGTCCCGAACCAGAACTGCTGCTGCTGGAGCTGCTGCTGGAGCTGGAGCTACTTGATGAGGTAGAGCTGGTCGAGCTACCAGTCTGACTGGCAGTTTCAGAAATGTACTCGGAATCGTACGAATCTGAAGAGGTTGTGGAGTGCTTCTCGCTCATATGGTGGGTTTGGGTCTTCTTTGTAATGAAGATTGATGTCAGACCCGCAGCAGCTGCACCCATCATTGCCGCAAATCCACCACCACCGTGTTGACCTCCGTGTTGACCGCCATGCTGACCGCTGCTAGAGTGATAACTGTGTTGAACCACTCCGGATGAACCGTGACCAATAGCTCCGTGGCTGCCAGAGTAACCGCCGGAAGCAGAGTGGTGTCCTTGCTGGTGGGTGGTGGTGGTTGTCGTTGTGGTCGTCTTCTTCCTGCCCCACAATGCACCGAGAAGGCCACCAGTGGCAGCGCCAGCGGCTGCGCTACCATATCCGTGGCCGTGGCTGTTGCTGCTGTGGGATTCGTCGATAGCGACAGTTTCGTGCCTGTGCTTGTTACCGAACAAACCAGCGAAGCCACCACCGCCCTTCTTCAAGCAGCAGCAAAGCAATAGCAATGCAAGCAGGAAAAGCGCACCCAAGATACCACCAACAATACCACCAATCTGCGCACCGGTCAATCCACTCCCGCCGGTAGAGTTACCACCGACTACACCACCGTATCCAAGATCTCCAGTTGCTACAGGAACCATGAAGGTGTTTGTTCCGGTGACGGAGGGAACCATGATCTTGGATCCAGAGATATCACCGCCAATGACACCGCCATTGGAAGACTCGGTGGGTCGTGTTGGGGGAGTGAATGCGCCTGAGGTGTAGATGTAGTTTGACGAGGATCCGGATCCGGACGGGTTCGCAACTGGGGTGGTGTAGGTCAAAGACCATGTTGTCGTGGGCGCAGCAGACACAGAGGCACCGGCAAAAGACGCAGAGTATACGGTTGTCACAACACCGACGCTAGTGATCGTTGTGGTGAGGTAGTTCCACCCCACTTGGGAAGGAGTTCCACACTGTCCTGCATACCAGCAGACCTGGGCAGACGAACAGCAGAGACTAGGGTTAGCATCTGAACCACAGGAAACCTGGTTCGAGTTACAGGATTGTGAGCCTGACTGGGGCGCTGGTATAGGGTTGGCGAAGGGTACTGGGGTGGACGAGCATGTGTGCAGAAGGGTAAATAGCAGCGACAAGAGTGTCGGAGCGGTTCGTAATCTCATGATGGGCGATATATGGGGGAGGGGGGAATTGAGTCGTAAAAATCAGATCAGGTCGTTAATCGTGAGAAGGAGGAGTTCGTGGAGTGGGTTGCAGCGTGAAAAGGTGCAACAAAGGCGAGTCTGAGAAATTTGGGGAGGTTGGTTAGCGGCTGAAACGGAACGATAATAACTCTTGCGGCATAAGAAAGGAAACGGTGCAACAAACCGAGCAGTTACGATGACCAACCAACAATGGATTGATGGGTGGTTGGAATCGTATGCAGGTACGACGACGAGGAAGAGGAAGAGGAGGAGGAGGGAGGAGGGAGGAGGAGGGGAAGGAGGGAAGAGAAAGGGACGAAGGAAGGGGAGGGAGGGACGAAGGGAAGGAGGACGGGAAGTAGAGAGAAGATGGGAAAGGCAGAGAAGAAAAGATGTGGGAAGAATAGAACCTCAAGCAAGGAAGTCACTTGTTCCGGGCTTACATTTACCAACCTCCCCCGTTATTGTTCGTTTTTTTTTTCTCCACTTCTTTTTTTTCTTCTCTCACCCTCCCTTCTGCCTATTGTTGCGACAATTAATCGGTTTCGAGTGGAAAAATCGAGAGGCCGGGAACTTTCCCTATCCCTCGCTCTTACATATGCGCCGCCCTACTCTACTTGGGGGTTATGGTTATGGCAGTGGTGGTAGTACTAAGCGGTACTACTCTACTATGAGTATCATACCCACCCCATATCACACACCATAACATAACATAACATAACAATAACATATGTATGGGGAGAGGATGGTGGTCTGGCACTGGATCTACCCAGCTTGACCAACGCTATCGTTACTCTCAGTCTCTGTTCCTCGTTCCAACCAGCCAGCACACATCACTCCCGCGTTGCACTTTCACCAAACAGGAAAGAGCATCACACCAGCGTTGGCGAGACAACCACACTCCCACCCTCCAAAAAGTAGCGTAGGCAGGCCTTATGGTGCCCTGGGATCAATAGCCATAGCAGGGGTTCTACATCCTTTACACCCCAGAGACCCCCCAGGGGTCTTGGTTCCTGTTTGAAGTCGTTTCTACCCAACCTCTGTTTTTTTTCTCTACCATACAGTTACTTCCCACTCTTATCCCTTCCACTCCCCTCCACCCCCCGCGCCAACCACAGGTCCAACCCCCCTCCCGGAAGGAGAGATGTGTCCGCCCGGAGCTGAACAGGTTTGCTGTATCGAAACACTCTCAGCCTAGGATTGGGGGCTCTCGTGCCGTGTGTGGTACGCAGCGGGATTCATGTCCGTTTCTTACATGGAGTACCTTTACCTCTCCTCCCATTCCGTGACGTGGGGATTGCGTCTCTACTTTATCTAATCTACGCACCTTTTTTTTTGCTTGTAGATGGATAAATCATAAATCTACTTTTAAACTGAGGAAACGAATGTTTGGACCAATTACGTTCTTATCTGACGGAGTAGCCCAAACACGTGTTGAGGCTCTCCATCTAATAAAAGCGAGGCTACTAACCCTTTCGCTAAAAAATTTGGCGAAACTAGCGCCCATCACTCTCCAAACAAACCCCAACCCACATCACTTTCCCCAACCTCCCGAATTTCACAAAAATGACGGTCCTGGACAGTGACAACTGATTCGACGTCAACAAGAAATTTGTTTCGCCGCGAGCGACAAAAAAATGGTTCATCCACCCCCCCCCCCCCCCCACCCAACCTCCCCAATTTTTAAACGGGGCAAGGAGGCGAAAAATCTATTCCGGTACTCCAAGCCGATAACGACGGGTTGTACTCCATATACTGATCTAGGGTAATGGCCATGGCCTTGGAAAGTTAACTCGAAGCCATCTTTCCCAAGGGCCTGGGTGATGTGACGTCTGCTGTCATGTCATGTCATGGCCCTACCTACCTGCTCTAGAGTAGAGGGGGGTCATGTAGGTATGCGGAGAGAAGGGAGGGGGCGGGCAAACCGTTATGCACTTTCATCGTGGGGAAAATAAATAAATAGATCTCCTTTGTACGCGTCTTTTTTTTTTTGTTGTTCAAAAGAAACGATTTTTTTTTTCCTTGACGTGGGTGTGGGATGGTGATCTTGCAATTGCAATGGGGGATCTCGGGGATCTTTTGGACGGCTATTTATGGAATCAACTACATATCATCCTACTTACTACTTTACGCTTGATCTTGTTTCCTTGCTTGCCTGCTCGGAATACTCCAGGGTATTGGGGACATATTGCGATGCATCAATTCTTTCTTTCACTCGGCATGCGGGGTATCTCTGCGCGTTAATGGGAGCGAGTGAGAATTACATATCTCATTCATTCTCATGATGTCGATGAGCAAGAATTAGCAAGCAGCAAGCAGCAAGGCCGGGCGGCTGAAGATGTTTTTGGACGGGACAACATCGGGCGAACTGCACCATACATTCTTGACGGCCTCGTCTTGTCTATCCACCCACTGGCTAGTTGCACTGTCGTTATCGGCATTAAGATTGGGGGGGAGAAGGCATCATATCATTCACTACTCTGAACGGCAGGAATGTTTCGGAGGTGAGGTGGGCCGACCAATGGCATTGCCGGCCGAATCAGGGCCACAGTCAAATCAGATCAAGCTTTACATACATGTAGCTAGAGCAGAAGACGTTCTTTTTTTTTCTTCTCAGCCCGTTGAAACGAGAAGGGAAGGGAAGGGAAGCTGGCAAGGGAAGGGAGCGAGCGAGTGATGGATGCAATGTCCTTCGGGCCGACGGCGATCATCAACGGCGGCGGCAGAGGCACTCTGGCATGTTGATTGCCTATGTGTTAAGAGCAGAGCGCTTTTTTACATCTGTTAGACTTGATGCTGTTGTTAACTGACATGACATGGCACTTAAGCATAACTAACGCATCAAGTTGCCTGTTATCTTGGCTGCTAGACTCGTAAAGTGGGAGTACCTGCCTACATGTTGTCCTAGAGGAGAGGCTGCTTCCTTTGGGTATTCTAGAGAGGCAAAGAACAACACGATATACATATGCAGAGGCGCAACCGGGGGCCAACAGGGATCCATACCGACATGCAAGGGGGTTGCCAAGAAGCTGGGAAGACACATAAGATGTGTGAAGTCTGCCTACATAACCTACTCTAGAGTAAAGTACTCCGCTGTCTGTATTCTAGAGCATGTACGTATGTGGGCCCCAGGGGGGGATCTAAAAACAGCGGGTTCATTTCAGGTACCCGAGACCGAAGATGAGCTGGTTGGTGCTGATGATAGTCGGCGGTGTCATGTCAGTAGTGCTGATCACGGCGTATCACTCGGGTTCACGAAACAGCGATTTCGGCAGTTGTAGGCGATGTCGCGTGGTTGGGTGGAAGGAGGGTATGCGGTCTCAGTCTGCCGGCTGCATGGGTTGTGTGGGGGTTAGAGCAGAATACCAACTTACAGCGACAACTACAGATACTCTAGACAGACCTGGATGTTTGTGCACTGGGGAAGTTTAAAGAAGACTGGACTCGTCACTAGAGCCTAGCTGCGCAGAGTTGTAGGGGACGTGTGTGGTAGAGTATGGCTGCCACGTTTGATGGGCTCGCTTGGCAGTGGGAAAAGAAAGGTGTGTGGATGAATGGTTGGATTTATACGTGGGCCCGGGTTGGTGGGGGGGGGGGGGGGGTGGTGATGGTGGGATGGAGGTCGATAGCTTATCGGTGCTGTCAAAGAGCTGGAGGACTCCGCTCTATCAATACTATCTGGCCTTAACCTTTACTTTAATTTGTTGTAACTCTGGAACACTTTTCCTTTTGTTTGTCTAGGTAGCTTTAGATCAGCCATCATCGCCAACTGGTCCTCATTGCACAGCTGCCATCCATCATGATTTGCTCGCCCAACCAGGTCGTCGATATCTTGTCTGGAGCTCTCTATCACCACATGTAGTCTCTTGATTCATCCACAGCGGTAAAGTTTCTATCAACCTTTATATATTGCCGTTATATAGGCCGAGACTTATAGACTATAGGTAAAGTATTAAACACATATCCGAAAACAATGCAATCTAAATAGAATTAAAAGAAACCAAGGAACCAAAAAAAAAAAAAAAAAAACGAGATCCAACAACACAAACTCCGCTAATAGCCAACAGATATAACCCTACTCATAAACTCCGTCCCAAACCAAGCTATACACAGGTCCTCGCTCCCTCCCCACCCTCCGTCACCGAGCTCAAAATGGCAGCGTCTATTGCAGTCTGCACTGCAGGTAGTTCCACCTTCGTCTTCCCAACTCCTGCCGTCACCACCTTCGAAGAAAGAGTGACCGACGTGGTTAACGGATCCCGCCTATTCAGTCCCTTATACCTTGCTAGCCCCAACCCGCCCTTCGCCGGCATCGTCCCCAGCTCTAGCACTAGAAACGACTCTAGTACCCACACCGCCCCCGTATCCACGGGTTCCTGGAACGCCGCTAGTAGCCGGAAATCATACCGGCTCCCTTTCTCCTGTATACATCTGTAATGCGCCGTTCTGACACTCTTCTTCTCAATCTCCGCCAGATGTTGAGCCACCCGCCGTCCAACGCCAGCACCCCCGCAACTCCGTGTCTCCGCAAATGGGGGGTCAGTGGGGCGTCCCCGTAGCGCCCGCTTCACAGATCGGCATTTCCCGGAGAGGCTACTGGCGCCGCCGATATAGACGCCGAAAGAGCCGTTGGGCTGTGTGATCACGTTCATATAGCAGCCTTGGTTGGGGACGAGGCAATCCTTTTGGAGTTTCCCGTAGTTGGTGATGTGGCCGGTAGAACCGGTGTTGATGAGACATTTTGTGGCAGGGAGAACGGCGGCGGCTATGAGGCGGTAGGCCGTGGAGAACGGGGTTGTGGCGAGGAATTGTTTGACTTCGAGGGAAGCGGGGAGCGTCGAGGTCTGTAGGCGGGAGTAGTAGTAGAGAAGGATTTGGCGGAGACGGTCGTGGAAGTGGTCCTTGGGGATGCGGCCGGCCTTTTTGGACTTTTTCTTTTTCTTTGGGATAATTGCGAACTCTGCGGGTGTGGAGGTTTGTGCGGAGATTACGCTTAGATCTGGGGTACCAAGATCTGGGGTATCAATATCTGGGGTATCAATATCTAGTGTACCAAGTTAGCTACTTGGACATGCTAATATTTAGCTAAAATTACTTACCCTGCGTAGTACCGAACAGAGGTTCTAGATTCACTTTTGCTAAGTCACTTGGCCTCGGAGTTCGGTCCCTGCTGGGGAAGGCTTTATTATTCTTGGCTTTTACGCATACAGGCTCCTTCTAAAGTTCATATCAGCTCACATTCTCATATTTCTTGGATTTATCATACATTCTTTCCCACGCTCTCTTCTGCCGCTTCCTGTGGTAAAGCTTGCTTATCTTTATTGCTTTTCTTTCCGGATTTTTTGGGCGCCGCGGCAGTCTCGGTCGATAGAGACATATCCAAAAGCTCTGTTTTTTTAACATCCTTATCGGTACTCTTCTCCAGTTTCTACGTTACATCACCATGCATTAGTTATCACCTCCCGCATATTATAGCAGATGATAGAATAGTATACCTTTGATACAGTGGGTTTTTGCTGAGCTTTGGGTTTTTTCTCGGCCTTGGGTTTGGGCGTTACGACCTCCTCTGATACGGATTTATCGAAAAAGCCGACCTTCGTGGAACCATTAGTCTTATTGACCTCTGTTATTCTTTTTAGCTCCTACACCTTATGTTAGTCAGCTTCTTCTTCACGTGGAGTGCTGAAGATTCAGCGTACCTTAATGATCCTGGATTCCAGCTGAGCTCTCTGCACTGACCCCTTTTCGGGCGCTGAGATCCCCTTTGGCAGGGACATATCAAAATAGTTGGTTCCTGCAGCTTGACGAGACTTGATGGCCTAGCTTCCATATTAGCTAATCCTGGACTATATGCTGGTTTGATATAGATATATATATACAACTATACCTTTGCTACATTCCCCAGTGTGCTCTTTGCAACATCAGGCGATAAGGATGTATCAAAAAACTCTGTTTTAGTAACATGTTTACCGGTCTTTGCTTTCCCCAGCTCCTGTACACGTACATGTCAGATATCACCTAATATATATAGCTGTTTATGTAGCTTACCTTTAATATAGCACCCGGGGATTTCTTGGCATTTCCGGCCCGGAGTATCTCAGAGTGTCGAAACTGTGTTCGAGGATAGGTACTAAACTTCAGGTTCTGAACTGTCTGGCTTAACTGGCGCTGGACCGGAGAGAAGCGTGTAAAGAGTCTGAACATGATCGACAATAAAACAATAAGGACACTGATAAGAATATATCGCAACAGCCACGAGACAAGAACCACAAGCTCGGTATATCTGGTCTCAAGTCTCTGGGCTCCAGGTTTGTATATAGAATCGATCTCTTCCTTCCTTCCTTCTTTATCTTATATAGAATGGAATACCTCAACCCCCCCCCTTAACCTGCATCCAGTAGTTTCCGCCGGTGTCTTTGCTGCTGCGGTAAGGCCCTCCTTTTCTTGAATATCAAAACTTAAGACCTGTATTGGGGGGTTTGTAGGTACAGGGCAGCATATGCGCATGCCCAAAGCGTAGGATCGTTGGCTCCCATGCCATGAATACCGAATGAGACCACATGATCCGGGGCTCAAATATAATCTCAAGTAGAGTAATCCACATATGATGTACCATCCATCATCCCCTTACTTCCAGCTCGTAGAGTCATCGACCAGATAGCCCCATGTATGTACATCCTATTGGCGCACCCAAGCACTGCCTCTGTCGCGCTATTCGCCCAGGCCAATGAAACATGAGGCTCAGCGGCTAGCTAGCTATGTACAGTACCGTACTGTAGTTATGTAGCTCTAGGTAGCCATTTCCCCCCCGCCAAATTCAGGCGGCAAGTTTTACACGCCGGCGGCGCAGAACGAGGCTCCGAGATGTACATAAGATTGAAATATAACCCGTCGCAGCAAATCACAGCAAACAACCCCCTTAATTTGGAGCATGTGATAAGTGTGTAACCCTAACCCTGGTGAGATAGCCGCGTGATTGGTGCGGATGTCGTCGATGGTTTATGGGGAGATGCTGGTGGTTGGAAATTGGAGGTTGAGGCTGTTAGTTGGAAACGCCGATGCATGGTGAGCGAGCGAGCGAGGTGAGGCTCTCTGGATGGGTACGTCAAGGCTGGATATAATATAATGCAAGCTGTGACCGGCCTAGCTAGCTTGGATGCTGGCAGGTTCTGTGGGCGGGGGTATGTGCTTCTGGTGAGATTTGAGAAGTTGAAGTACCGGGAGATTATATTAAGGGCCCGTTCGGACAACCCAATAATCTAGATTATTGGCGATAATCTGACGGATTATCGACTTTTGGATTATCACAATAATCTATGCTGTTCGTGCAATTGAATAATCCAACATTCGGAACTCCTGATTATCCCAATAATCCGCCAAGAAAACAATCACCTTCGGAGGTAATTATTCCCACACAATGCAGATATCCTGAGAGCTAACGTTATCCGGACATGTAGATTATCCACTTATTATGAGTATTATGATTATCACTTCCGCTACCTGATAATCCAGTCTGTCCAATAACCCGAAGAAATATTCTAAGGTTGTCCGAACGGGCCCTAATAGTTGATGGCTGTTGCTGGTGTGGTTGCGTTGCGACGTTGGGTGGTGAGACTTAGTCATGGAATATCACTCGACAAAGTAGTTGGGTCTTGGTCGGTTATTTTTTTTTTTTTTTTGTTTAATTCATTAATTGCATGCAAGTCTTGGTCGGTTATCGAAGGGCGCGCACTAGGTACGGGAACATACATGTATCCTTTTGACTATTGGCCTAGACGAAAAACGATTGATTAGGTGGTTTTAGGTGCCAACAACTTACCTTTTTGAGATGAAGTGGCTATTGCAAGTTCTGTAATGGCCCGTGATTGTAACTTCAAAAAATGAAAAGATAGATAGTCGACCTGTAGTTTCTTATGACCACCTACAGACTTCCGTGTGCTTTCCTATTTTGATGGGTGAAGTATTTCTAGCGTGGGAGCGGAGTTTGGCGAGGGAGATATGTTTAGTCGGGATTTGGGACTGGAGTGTTGGCTGCTTAAATATTACCGCTGATGTGAATGCATGTTGTTGAAAATGGGGAAAGGATGAACAGGAGAAGAAGGAGAAGAGGAAGAGGAAGTGATCGCCGTAAGTACATGTATATACTAGAGCTTTTATGTTACGTTGTTCCGCGGTGTTTCCCTATGTTTTAATTACACTACATGTAATTTTTCTCTGTTATCAGCGTTTCGCCGGTCTATCTTATGTTATAATAATGATTTACTTCTGTTTATTGCGACGCTTAGCTGGGTCGCAATACTGTGGGGGTATTCGAGGGGTTTGTATTGATGATTTTCCTAATATATTATTACAATTACGTTGATTGTTTTATCACGTCTTAGAATTGGCAGCGGCATGAAATCGATCAAAATAAACTGTCAACGGAGAAAGTGCGAGTGATAATACATGACGAAAACCAAGACACCCCAGCTCAGAGTATCACTGTTCATAGTCCGCCATATGCAGACTAAAGCAACTGCAAAACATGGCTCGACTGGAACTTCTATTTAAATAGAGTTTGAGGGACGATCTTGGCGTCAGAGATATGGTTAAATCTAAAAATGTCTCCTGTCCCTGAAAAAAGAGCCCCTGTATCCCTTACCGGAGGACCCAACCTGGTTTAAGCGCTCCGGAGCTATCCACGTCTGGCTCGTATTACAAAACAGGTGGTCGATCGACGTCATAAGGACATCCATGAGAATTGACCTCATGGGCCACCTCACCTCTTGTGTTAACTCTTCTTAAGTACGCCCATCATCACTCTATTGAGAGCAACAGGATTACCATTCACAGGTCATCATGAGCAGATCATCATACAACGGAACAGTAGAGTTCAGTAATCGTCCCCAAAACTCCAGTTCTCCTATTCACAGCCGATTACTCACATTAGGCCTTTAGTTATATGTTTAACAATGGAACCAGATATTTAAGTTTAAAATTTATCATATTATTCGTTAAAACGGTTTCTCCATTTCCAACCAATAATTACAATACTATTCATCATCGGCTAAGATCAAAAACGTTCTAAAAGGAAAGGCATCAAAAAGCAGGAACGCAAGGAAATAATTGACAAAGGAAACTACTAAACTCTCCGTCTATTTGTACCAATTGGCCTGAGGATCTCCCAAACAGTCTCCAAGGGTAACAAATCTGTACCCTTTCGACGTGCCATAGTCAAGCATATACTTCGTAAGAGTGTGGACGGTTTGCTCGTGGATATCATGGCCAATGGCTAGGTATGATGATGATGCTGAGTTGCCGCCATCTAGAGCCGACTTATACCTGTTTTGTGAGTTGGCTATCAGGGATGGCGAGTCGTTGTTGTAGTCATCCGTGTCAAGGTCAAAGTACACGATGTGGTAGCCCATGTCTTGCATGGTAGCCACACAGGCGCTGCCACACGAAGAGTATGGAGGCCTCATGTAAGATGGGACTACGCCTATGATATTTCGAAAGGCTTCCTCATTTCTCGTCTATATTTCCACCCAAATCAGTAAGCTGCTTATCATCGCTTTATACAGAAAGAGAATTTAATTACCATCTGTCTTCTCCTATCATCTTCTGCCAATGTCGATAGATCCAGATGATCCCATGTGTGACTGGCAATCTGGTGGCCACTTGCATACTGTCTCTTGATTATATCGGTCCACTGTTGGGTGGCATCGATGGCGCCTTTGCCGTTATTGTTTCCTGTGATGAAGAAGGTGACCTTTACGCCATAACTATCCAGGATATCCAGAATGTCGGAGGTATACTTGTCAGGACCATCATCGAAGGTGAGAGCAATGGTACCCGGCACAGTACAGTCGTTTATTACAGCTGCTGTAATGTTAATATGAATTAATAATGATGGAGAATGGATGTTTTACTTGGACCGCTAAATGCTCGGGGGAATATGGAAGAGCTAGTAGGGTGGGCGAGCGATAGGCCGGCTGAGAGAAGCTGGAGTAGAGCAATTGCTCCAATATTGTTGAAAAACATGATAAAAGAGGTAGAAGAAGCGGAATTATATGGGTGTAACTTGCAATAGGGCTCTGATGCTCTTTGAGATTAAACCGATTGCTCTGGACTGTCCTGTCTGGATGAAGATGAATAGTCGGGGGAGAGGTCTGCCTTTAAAGCTTTTTCACATTCCCAAAATAACCAATATTTATAGGACTCGCGTTCTATAGCTTGAAACAGAATCCTTGATCGGGATAACACTGGTATGTATCGACCAGTGCTTTTACAAAAGACCCTTTGTAATAATCCTGCCGCCGCAGTTTTGGGTACGATCAGCTACTTAGTTGCACTTACAATTGCGGCACGGAGGTACCTACTCGTGCTTTACCTACAATTCATCACAGCAATGACTACAAGGCAGGGATCGCATCTTGTACAAGACACGACATCCATACTGTTTTTACCTATCACTATGGCATGCTAACATGCATGAGCACATCAACGAATGAATTGCGCATGTAGGGCTGGATCCGATGTATGTGATCAATGAATTCGGATGATTCTGCCCAAAAGGTCAAGGGAATGGTGCTATTCCTGCCCGATGGTGATGCGTTTTCCTCTACTTACTTGCCCTGCTTACTTACATTAACATTCCTGACAGAGTGTTTTGGCGAATCGCATATATCTGCGTACGAAACTTGCCCTCAAGGCTAGGTAGTTGAAGAGGAATAAACCGACAATGCTTGTAATTATTGCCCACTTGGCAGATTTGGCCAACCATAAGTACCTGGTTGTTTTTCAGTTGGTGGCTAATATTCTACTAGGCCGGGATTTCTCTTTCTTTCCCTGGATCATGGAGTAGGTACATACTTTGCCTTAGGCTCTCTGAATTGCATGGTACACACCCAGTTGGGAGAAATACTTACAGATGGCCGTTGCGTCACATCATTGATGCTTGCAAGTCGAAAAAGAACAAAGAATGCAGCCATTGAGACAACGCCAAGTTCGCTTTGGCTCGGCATGAAAGACTGACCGCAGAGATATTATTCTGCCGATAAAAAGGTACCAACATGATCAACAATAACAATGATGATACTGCCAACATATCGGCTGGGACCTACAGGTCTGATACTGTCGTTTCTTCTTAAAAATAGTTATTTGTAGGTATTCTGTTCTACGTAAGCCGAGCCTCCGGGGGTAGTCCCGTACCGCGCGCGGTTCGTAGTGCTGAAAATCCTTGTGCGAAAGTTTATAAGGAATCCCGTCTTCTCCACGTTTCTGGGCGATTAGGCTCCCTGATTGATCTACGTACAATAATTCTACATAAAATCGGTGGGTGCCAAGCTTCCGCTGCAAGTTCGCGGACGAACATGCGCTGGACCACATTAACAGAGCTGACTGAGTCTGAGTGTTATGTAGTATGCTTTAGCTACTACATGTCTAGGAGGGTACTCTGCTCTTACCATTCCTTAGTCTTTATTTTACTCGGGTTCTCGTGGGGAATGAATGCCAGCAAAGAGAGACATCGGGTTTCACTCGATAAATCTCCGGAGGTAAAGAAAAAAACGGAATAACACTCTGTTTGAAGCTTCTGTTTGATGTGATGTCCGGACTACATAATGCAATGTTACTGGTTCTGGTTTCACGCTAACCCAAAGACCCGATTAGGCAATTGTGCTGTTCGATTCTCTTTCGGGGTATCAGAGACATTAGAAGTGCATTTCGTGTTCGTAGATCCCGAACAACACACTCTGGATTTACGTCCCCTCGCCTAGCATACTAAACACCGTTCTTTCCTCCAATGGTGCTCTAGATTGTCTAAAGTACCTGACTGGGCTATATTTGGCAAAAGCTTGTTTCGTCCAAAGAAATAAAATGAGTCTCACTAAAGATTTCTTTCTACTCTAACTCATTCTCCTAGACTGCCACCACACACAAAGCTACATGTACAATCTACATACCTAGTTCATGTAATCCAGTTCATAAAATACCAACACTTCGGAACCGAGTTTATTTTAGATTACACACAGGTATCTGCATGTGAAAAGTCGACATTCAAGGCTGAAAGAAAAAAGCACTTCAACGATTGGGTCACCCTTCACAAATTTTAAACGTGACAGTCTTTTTTGTGATCGGCCTACTGTATGTAGAGGAGTTATGACCGTCGTACAACATGAAGTCGCATGTGGCTGATGAATGAGTGGATGGGACACGCTGGCATGAGCACAGGGTAGAGTATGTACAGTACGATGCCAGTCGTGAGCGTCAAGCGCAACCAGATTTCCACAACCTTTTCACGGCGGGTTGGTACACAAGATATTAAATATCAAATTATTGTTATTTATCTACTATACAAAAATCCAGCTCTCCAAAGGATCAATTGTGGTTGCTGTGCTGGTACCCGTGATGGTTCGGGGGGCGTTGCGACGCCGCGCCTGACGCTCACGACTGGCATCGTACTGTACATGTAGGTACTAATTCTCTCGTTTACTCCAGCGTTCTCTCTACTAATCACGAGTTACAGCCTCCACAAAACCAAGTACTAGAGTGTACTTTGTATTCTGCCGATCGAAATGAGCTTGAAATCCTTCTTTCTTTTGCGCGGGGAATGGAGAAGGGCGCGGTATTTTTCAGCTTCTTTGAGCAGCGGCTGCGTTGGTGGGGTATATGCGGGAAGTACCATGCCTATGCTATCGCTTCCCAAGGTACTCGACATATGTACGGGAAATCTTTGGAAATTTGATAATTGATATAATATCATATCCCATGAGCGGATATACTTCTACCCCTCATTTGACGCCATTAATTATTCCGGGCAGAAGTGGAGCTCGCCGAAAGCCTGGTTGGTTTATCTGTCGAGTGATATTACGTGAAGAAATGAGTGAGCCGGTCAGCCGTATTGCAGAGAGCTGAACTATGATCCAGCTATTATAAGATTGAGAGATTTTTCTTCTTGGTTAGAAAAGGAATCATGATCCATGACTGGAGAATTTCTCGGGGGGTTATATTCCTACATATGGCTACTTCATTACTTCCAAATCTCTACGCCTTTCGCGTACTCTTTGCTGTACCCATATGTACTCACATGTACCTCCAGAGAACATTCAATGTCAGCAAGAGTGCAAAAGTGCACGATAGCCACACTTGTCACGGCCACAGCATGTGATTCGCGTTACTCTGTTCCTAAAATAGTAAAGGAAAGCGAGTGGTAGTCCTCCAACGTCGTTGGGCTAAGCTTCACAATAGTGCTGTTTCCCAGGGCAGAGCATCCTGCCTCTTCTGTGCACCTGGGCCAATAAACGATCGTCGAACCATGGTTCTGATTGCACTTGGATGCGAAGCTTTGGAGCAGGAGTGATGTTCAAAAGACCTTTTTGGGAAAAGACTAGGTAGCTGGGGTGACGGCCAATCAGTGGATATCGAGCAGGGTATGGGCGTGCAGATGGTAGAGTGGTGTGTTTCTTTCCGCTTTGAGTGGCAGAAAACGTTGACCTACTCTAACTCAACGGTCAGGATATCTCTGAAGTCCACCGCGGTACTGTGGATCACGTAGATCGTTGGCTCCTGTTCAATCTAAAGTGCTGCAGATCTGCCTGTGTTGATGTAGGCTGTCGTGCTCCCGCAAGTGCGATGTTTCCCTTTATGCAACTCTATAAATTCATCCATGCATTCTCAGTTCTGCTTATAGCCGAATCTAACGATCTTTGTAAGCAAAGGTCGACGCCTCCAAGTCCGAGTTTTCTAGAGAGGGTGTGCTACTTTTGTACTAGACTGAAGCGGTCATTTTCTGCTCCATCAAGGAAGTTCATCTGTAGACCAAGGACGACGTCCAACCAAAGTTTAATATTTCAACTCTATCCCAATAGAATCTAAGCCCGTTAGCGAAAGGGAAATAAAGGCTGTGTGATGTAGTCTTCCTGTGGCTTGTGTCTTTTGGGAGTGTCGTTATTAGGCCTTGTCCGTTACTAAAAATGACACCACACATAAGTAACTTCATGACATAACTAGACGGGCTAGATTCAGGCACACTTCACTCCATGAGTAGATGGCCGTCCATGCACGTCTTAATAAATCTATTTCGTGAATAGGCGAGAATAGGCCGCATGTATCTGCTACAGACGTCTTATAATTAGCCCTGGTCTTAAGAATATCAATCTCACTTAACCCAGACCTCTCTCACGTGAACTTCGTGACAAGAGTGCCCGACCTTCTTCCAGCTGTATGGGACGGATTCCATGCTATTGAGCCCAAGCTGATGGAGGTCCCGGGGAGCCCAGACGTTCTTAAAGGATACATGGAGCTTTAATGTGATGAACGTGTAGTCGTGCGTGGGCTTGGCAGAACTTGACGGTACGGGGGGTGTAAGTGAAAAGTGGCCGACCTGGCCTGGGCGCCGCGGTGAAAGCTTTCCATAAAACTCTATCATGTTCGTCTACCCCTCTTTCTTTCTTTCTTTCTTTCTCTCCTCTTCAATCATTACTTCTTCGTCTTAACAGGCTCTGCGGTGAACTGAGCCTCAGGGATGGCCTCGCCGACCCTAGCCATGCATTCTTTCTATATATGAGTCAAGCGTCAGGATTATATCTTTAAATATCACTGTTAATATCTTCTATGCTGTTATTCTCATTTTCACCACTTCGGCGAATCACGGTCCCATGAACAACTACAGGGGATCATACATGCAGTATAACCCCATTCCCAAAAGAGGTCGACTCACAGAATATATATTCTTTCATGTGATATACAAAGACAGCTCCACGGTACATCCTATTGGTATTAGGCTGTGAAATGGCCTTCCTACACCATGATTGTGTACGGCATTGTACATGTGGTGCTAACGTTACTGCGCCAGCGTACATACATGTTAATAGCGCAGTGATTTCAGGCAAAGATATCGGCTAACATATATTAGCGATTTGTCTGCTATAATTTCCGAAGGCAGGTGGTTGCTCTAAGTCACGCTAGATAGCAGGAGCACAAGGAAGTCACTCGCAAACCCGCTGAGTTTCTCCCCAGCGCGTCCTCAATCCGTCATCATAGACCTTCTATTATCAAATAGTTACCTAATAAATCAATATAGTAACGGTAACGGGGTTTGTTACGGCTTATACTCGATGTAGAGTTAATTAAAGTTAAGAAATCGCGGATAGAGCTTCAGTCACAGTATCTCACTCGCAGCACGAAGGATATATCATCACCACCTATCACTCACTAGCTAACCGCCGAACTCACTTGGCAATCGATCATCAACCCAGTTGTTGTCAAACTAGAAATCCTATTGTATACTCATCCCAAGACTATGATACAAGCATCCAGGCCGGCCAGCTAGCCAGCCAGCTCCCTACGTGACCCTAAGAAGAAGAATAAAACGAAAGAATAGTGGAGATAAAATAAAGGAAACCTTTGACAACCCACATACCCGAAGAAAAAGCCGTACAAGAAAGAGATGCGAGACAAGAAATGAGAGATGAGAGAACAAAAACCAAACCCGTTTAACTCCCGAGGCCTTAATAATCCATCCCCGTCCGTTACCCTCCGATAAATATGCTATAAAACGAAAATCATGAAACTCAACTTTTTTTTTTTCTTTCCCTGGGAACCCTAATATAAAATTATAGAAAGAAGAGGAGGAGAAAGAAACCGAAATATCACGAATGGACTGGCCAGGGTTAGCCAAACCATCCGCCACCATCACCACTTCCCAGCCCGCCATACCCGTCCATCGCACCCATACCTCCCATGCCCACAAACGGCGCCCCTTCGTCTGTACCGGTCACTGCCGGATCCGGTACCGGCTGTAGCTGCGGAGGCGGCGGGGGCGGTATTTTATTTACTACTTTCTCGGTACTGGGCTTCATGCGTAGTGCCTTCTGCGTGGTATCTACCACTGCCATTTTCCCGTTCCTACTACCCTTAGGCCTGCCCCGCTTCCGCTTCTCTATAGGCGCGTCTTGAACAGCAGCTGTCATAGCCGCGGTAGCGGACGCAAGAAGCGATAGGTCTGCCGTTGAGATGGCGGGGTCTTCGCTGCTGTTATCAGCTTCCTCTACTTCTTCATCATCGTCTTCTCCCTCGCCATCATCATCTATAAGATTAGGCTCGGTGTACTGCGTCCAGAACGAGCTCTGATCAACGCCTAGCCCTGTAGGATCATGGGTGCTCTGTGCATGCTCATTCATGAGTTGTTGCTCAGGGCCTGTGCTTTGCTGGATTACGGGTTGCTGTTGGTCTTTGAGAGCTGGCTGACTCATTTGCATAACCTTACTGCGGGTTTTACTGCCCTTAGGACGACCACGTTTCCGTTTAGGCGGTTCATCGGATTGCGATGTGGACTCGGTTTGTGGGTATCCCGACTGAGCAGGTGGAGAAGGTTGGGTGAGTTCATAACCGCTGAGCGCAGTTTCTGGTAGCACCCAGCTATCACTGTCACTACTCTTTGCCACTTCTGCTTCTTTGGTGTCAGAAGTCTTCTTTCGCTTCTTCCCAATCTCCTCACTAATCTTCCTCCCTTTGCCTGGCTTGAGACCTAGTTTTTCCCGGACACCGGGCTCGGTAGTATGTTTTCCCACAAAACACCATCCACCAGTTCGATCATCTTCTTTCCGCGGCCACATCAGTAACTGATCTGATGTGCTCTGTACTTCACGGCCACAGCACTTCCATTTCCAAGTTGTTTTATAATTGTTTTTACGTCGTGGAAGAGTCACAGCTTCAAGCCCTTGTTCAAAGGTCTTGAATTGGTGCTTTACTGCGCAGGTCGCCTCTGATGAGGGATCGGATGCTGGAGTTGCGCGCCAGGTGGGATTGAAGTCCTTCAGGCATCGCGTGCATTGTACGAGTTTATCAGCCGCATTCTTTCCTCGGGTGGGACCTAGTATCACGGGTGCTGGTATTTGTGCAGGCGGTATTAGGGGTTGCTGCTGCTGAAGTTGCTGTGGTTGCGCAAATGGCAAGGGGGGTGGTGCCATAGCTTGCTGCTGTAGCCCCCCGCGGGGCTCGCCGCTATAGGTACAGGGGCTGATGTGCCATCATTCATCTTCGCCTTCTTTCCCGGTGGCCTACCGCGCTTCTTCTTCGGCGGCTCCTGGGTAGCGTTTCCATTCTGACTAGCAGGAGCTGGCGCTGGTGGCGGCGGGAATACCTCCCCAATCCGCCGCAGGAGACTGCCTTCTGCAAGGGAGGGCCATTGCATCAGCGCATCCGTAATTGTTTTGACTATGCTGTCGGGTGAGTGTTGGCGGAATATGCCGAGGACCCTGGAAAGCTCCCATACAGCTTCTTGAGGAACAGTTGCTGGGTCGAAGGGCTTGACAGCCCCTCCAGCGGTACCGGTGGCTGCAGTCATTGGTGACGGGGCCAGTGGGCGCTGCTGCATGCCCTAGATGATTCCCCAAAATCAACACACACCCCTCAGGGGAAAAAGAAAAAAGGGCATGTCGGTTGATCCAAGGAGACAAAAGGAAAGAAAAAAACAAGCGGAATAAACAAAAGAGGGCTTAGGGTTCACCCACAGTTCCTGGTTTCGACATCATAAGAAGCTGCTGTTGCTGCTGTTGCTGTTGCTGTTGCTGCGGCGAGGCAACAGCAACCTTCTGCAAAACACCTCTACCTGAGCCTGCTGCGGCTGCGACCATAGTACTAGTTTGCTGCGGACCCGACCCCTCCATGTCCATATGCATCACCGAGAAACTCCCCTGCCTTGCATTACCTGATGGCGATGACCCACCACCAGCGCCAGTACTAATATTCACACCACCAGCGCCATTCAAATTCGCTGAACGTCCATTCATCATCACTGGAGACATCGCTGCGGGTGTAGTGGGCGTGGGCGTATCGGACCAAGGAGAGGGCACAAAGTCAGTAACGCGAAACCTCGAACACTGTCCAGCAGGGGCAGACGCAGATGATGGAGACGCTGCAGGTGAAGGGTTTTCGGCGCGGTTGAACTCTGTTAAGCGGAACCTATGGAATTGCGCAGCAGCAGCAGAGACGGGGTGGCCACTGTTGGACTTTGAGGAAGAAGTGCTCTTTGTAGATATTGGATGTGGTGGATCCGGGCGCGAGGGCGCTGCTGTGGAATCGTCACGAGGTGCTATCGCGGTGGTCGGTTTGGCCATTTTTTTTAGGGAGGGGGGACACCCGGTGTTGTTCTCGTTCTCGTCGTCGTCGATGGGGAATCAGTCAGCAAATCAAATTGGACTCGAGTCGAAGTTTCTTCTTGTGTAAGTAGGTAGAAGATGATCTTTGGGGGATCTGCTGATGCCTGATGCTTGAGAGAATGAAGGAAGAAGGGGTAGAAGAAAGGTTACAAGAATGACCACTGGGGGGTGTTAAAGAAAAGGTGATGGTTGCATCCAGGGACAGGTAAAGGAACTAGTTAATTGTCACGATATGTTGTTTTGGAGCGAGTGACACGGTGAGAGATCCGGGGGGGGGGGGGGGGGTTGGACCAGACAAGGGGCGTCGGTATCTCTCTTTTTTTTCCCTCTCTCTCGGGGCGAGGTGTTCTTTCTCTATCCTCAGTCTCTCTTCTCCTTCCCGACCTCTCTCCTGTCTCTCTTTCTCTCGGCGAATAGCCTTGGGGGGGGGGGGGGGGGCACGGTATTGGATTGGACACGGAACGGGATTGCACCAGTAACAGGGAGGCAGGCAAGTAGGGTAAGCAAAAGCAAGGTAGGAAGGGTACAGTGCTTCCGTCTCCTCTTGCTTGCTAAGTAAGTAACTTGTAGAGTGTGTACTGTACGTATGGGTCTGGTCTGGTATGTATGTATGGTACTCTATTTGTGCCGATGTAGAGTACACAGTAAGTAAGAGTTGTTGGGGGGGGGGGGGGGGTAGAGGGATGGAGGATTGATTAGGATTAGGAGCGAGAGGGGAGGTTGGCGGGAGTATGGTGGTTTGTGGTCGGTCGCATGCGGCATCGACAGACATCGCCGGATGGGATGGAGCGATGGGCTCGGCCTGCCTGTGTTACACTCACTCTAAATCACTCTGCCCTTCTTCCACTCTGCCTGCTCTAGCTCATGCTCAGCAAAGCAATATGTAGGTACTTCCCTACTCGAGTGCTACAACCTACACAACTTGACAGGTTGATAACGGTTGGGGGTCAGACTGGGCTGGGAACTGGGATGGGGGGAAACTACTAAGGAGACCAATTAGGATTGTTCTTGAAGAGATAATTTCTTTTCTTTTTCCTCTTCTTCATCGCCAATTCGATGCCCAGAGTGATGAGGGGAGGGGGGGAAAACTAGAGCGAGAGCAGAGAGCGTTGCTTCACAGCTGCTAAGCCTTACACACACATGCTCTGGGTTAACTCATCGCGATGCCGCAGTAGAGTATGTAGGGCTAGGGGTTGTGTTTGTCTGGGTGGGTGTGGTGGATGGGTGGTGTGTGGGTTTGTGCAAATGTGGTGTGTGTGAGATTGGAGGTAGAGACACACGATAGCTGCTGAACCTGAGGAGGAACCATCGAGTCGGATGCCTGACTTGCCATCCCGACTGGACTGGATTTGACTGCATTGTCTTTCTCTGCTCAGAGCATAACACCGCCCCCCCCCCCCCCCCCAAATCTCCATTCCTAAATACATACCCACCCAGACCTGTTTTCTATCACACCAATCCATCCATTCATTCATCTCCGGCCCCCAATCCAGCAGAGCGGACTACTGGAATACATACATAGTAATAACTCTCAAGGGCAGGATCGTAGAGAAAGAGCAGAAATCACACCTCCGCTTCCGCGGTGACCAGTCTTCGGGGTCCCGAGAAGGGGGAACTCCCTCGCGTACAACCCCGCACTCGCTTCTCTTTTATGTAGACCCCTTTTTAGTCTTGGTCTGTTCTTGGTATCATGTGATGGGGTACTATTCTTGGACGACAACGAGTAAAGTACCAAACGGTTTCTTCTTCTGCTTGGATAGGTACAGATGTGCTTTGTGTAGCACAGTGTTTTGTTTTTCCGAGAAGAGAAAAAAAAAAAAAAAACCTAAAGCGGGGCTCGTCCGGTTGGCATATGTATGCGCCGAATTAACCTCTAGCTTGCCTACCTTGTTGAAGTGGTACGCGTGATATCCATCTTCAACTCTTCGATCGTGAATTTTACTTCCTGATACCCACTACCCTCCAACTTCAACTCCGATTCAACGAAAGAGAGAAAGACATATGAACGAGGGTCCGTTACCACCCTTTAACCGGCATCGACCTGTATAACCCATCGCAATAGAAAGTACTCAACACATCACCTGCCTTCTTGCTGTTATAAATAATAGTGAGCAAGTCGAGTCGTCCTGCTGCCTGTAGCACAGCGCATTTCCGGTCACGGTTTTGCTCCCGGCCAGGAGAGGTGTATATGTATGGGATGGAACATGTTGGTGCCGATATCACTACATGTAGGGAAAGGATCGTTTGCTCGATCATAGTCGCCTCAGACTGGTGTCATGAGAGATACCGGACGGACCAAATTGATAGTTTGTACACCAGAAACACCGAAACGATCGGGATGACCATGAGGAAACCATACAGAACCATCGCTCCAATGACGAGGCGGAGGACGACGTTTGCAATCTCTCTCACTCCTCCCGTCTTGCGATCGCATAGCCTGGTTGTTGCGTTGGTGGTAGAACTGGTAGTGGTATTCTGGACATAACTGTGCGGTTTAGATCTAGCTCCCCTTGGACAGGAACCACCACTACAATCATAAACTGGGCTTTTATTCTGCTGTATATTGCAGTAGGTGGTAGGAGTGTTGTCTGGTTTGGATGCTTAGCTGGAGCGACTTGCCTGGCAGATTAATGGATTGACTTACAGTCCCATAGTGACGGCTCTTTAAGGGATGAATACTGGGAGATACTATGAGTGTCTTTCTGCTCTCCGCTAAATACTGGAGTGATAGTCCAAGATTTTGCGCTGGTAGGGAAGGCGAATAGAATCACCGTAAAAAGAAAACTGATAGTCAACATTGAAGAGGGAGTTAGGGAAAATAGAACCTGACTTGCACCGGTATGCTCTTAGTTATATATCGGGACGCGTGGACACCGACAATAGGTTGTTTGCTGTTCTTCTCTTTTGTCGCGAGTTTCCAGATTCTTTGGAATTTGGATCAGGGGGAAAACCTGTGTTGTGCTGTTCCATGCATGTCAGCTCAGCCCTAACTAGCCTCCCCACGTGTATGATATAGACATTAGATGTGGCTGCACCTAGGCGAATCAAAGCCAGCAAACAATGTCTTGATAATAAAATTTCCATTTTATATAAACACCCCTTTCACTTTATGATGTGGGGCGTCTTTGATTCCAGTTAGGCCGGCGATTTCCCTTCATGTTGAATTTGGCTGCTCGAGGCAGGAGTATAGTCGCTTGTTCGCCGTGGCCTCCGTATCTGTCAAATAATCCGTTTCCTCAACCTATATAATAAACAGGTATAAGTGGCAGGTGGCATACGCCATAGTTTATACTTTATGCGACCATTCTGTACCTAGAATCAGAAATGAAATGACTTCACACACAGTGGCAGGTGGCGATTTGATCATAGAATATCACTCGCCTATATGATGTAATACCAGGGCGAAAAGTTGATTGAAGTGCGAACCACCACATGATAAGGGCCGTATGTGACTAGACCAGCAAATTTGTCCGAGTGCTCTGAGATAAGCCCATGCTATGGGCTAGCTATAGACCAGCACCATGACTTAACAAAATAGAGGTTCTGTAGTGGTTTGTTCCGGGGCCGAGTTATAAGCAGATGGGTAATGTTGTTACACATACTTATCGGTATCTGGGACACTAGAACTGAGTAGGGTACATCTATATCTTCATCGAACCAAGGCTTTCATACCATGTTAAATTTCCAATGAACCCTCTCTTTTCTCGTGCCAATGCAACTTTACGTCATGTATATCGTAAGGGGCCGGGGTATTCTCTATTCTTTGAAATTAGCTATCTATGCGAAATTTCTCTGGGGTGTGGCTGGCCCTGAAGGATAGAAATCTAACATAAATACTATGTAAATTGAACCTCTGTTGTATTAAATGCATCAGAACTCCACTAGTCCACTCCATCGTAGAGATCTAAAATGTAGGTATTATAATTACCCTAGTCTTACTTCGGTAGCCCTGGTTTAGTTGTCGATACCGCGGACCATCGATGGGCTACATGTATGTAGATTATGGCGTCCTTGTGGGTTATAGGTGGATTCACCCAATCGAAAGCTAAGGGGAGGACCAGAAGGGAGAGAGACGTCTCTAGCATGTTAGTGGCTACTGTGTAGCGATCTATGATAGCTAACTGCGCCGTCGGCCTGCATTTTCTTGAAGCCACGCAGCCACCCGTACTACTTTAAATCTCTACCGTTAGGCTTTAGCGGGGTACTGCATGCAACCATAGCCTCAAGTGAGCTGCGGACAACATTCCTTCTTTCAATGGACTCTGGCCCCCATAATTTCGCATGTAGAGTAAGTCTGCGCACGTGTTTGCATGGATCATCGCCCTAGATCTTCGGACCTCTCCCGAGATTGTAGCTATATGAACTCCAATATGGCCTGTTGAATATTGATGCAGATATGGGTAGTTTATTCCATTCTGGGATTCCCGAAGGACTGCAATATATTGGAGGCAACCAAGAGCTACAAGCTTGAAGCTTGGCCTCTAACAACCGCAACCGCAGCCACAATTACAACCACAACCGCGACCACAATCGTAACTGCAGCCGCGGCGAACATTTTCCAGGGTTGGATGCTGGCACATACTCGCTCCTTGGCTAACGCATATCAGGAGCTCCTAATTTGATATAATAAATCAAAAGGGCTTGAAAGTGGAGTTAAGCTACTTTTGAACACTACAGGTCAGAGAGTTAATTGTGGTATGTAGCATACATATATGCATATATATGTCTGGATTATCAATTAACTACCCAAACAGACGCCCTCACCACCACCGGAACGCCCCCCTCAGTGGAACAACTAAGCCTAAGAAGGAAAATATCGTCGTTATAACTGGCCTCCTAACCTCTGAGCCGGTTTTCCTCACCAAATATCAACCAATAAACATATGTTCCAGTAAGGGGGTCATGTTCCAGTGGAAGGGGAGGCGTCTATTGAAGCCCCTTCTCCTTCGGAGGATAAACTAAATACATGGCCAGCAAGTATTTCTCAGCTCTGCTTTCTACCTCAAATTTCGACAGCAACAGCCTCCATCATGAATATGATCTTTCTGATTCTTCGTCTAATTCCGGTTGGTCTAGATCTATTCTTCGGTTCTAATGTCTGATCTCCTAGACAGACCCCAAGGCGTTGACAGATCTCTACAAGCCTTGACTTGAATATAGCGTTGTTGACGTTGGTAGCACCAGGTAAGCGCCCCTAGCTGTTCTTCATATAACGATGGATAATGATGGTCTCGTTTATGTGTATAAGCCTTATAGGATCGAAAAGAACCCATGCAGGAACGGTAGCGATAGTATAGAACTCCCGGTGAAGTCGAAGCTTCGAAATACTACTCAAGGGCCGAATCTGTTGGGTATAAACATTTATGTGGCCATCCGTTTCTCTCTTAAGCTTAGTCGACAGCTATGATAGGCTTGATCAGTGGATGTGCTGATATGACGCTCTCTGAGGGGCCTCTTCTTGCCAACTGGTCTGAATGGTTTAAAAACTGTCCGTCCGTCAGAGGAAGAGCTCTAATCCGCAACGGCATCTCAAAAGGTATCAAATGGATCGGGGACATCAGCTTGAGTTAGGTATAGAAACTCCATAAAACAGATATGGATTTGTTAGAACAAGGATATTTTACATCAATTAGTGTAATTCACCGCTGAAAAATGAAATTATTGAACCCCTCACATAACGCCGCATTGATCTTATTGTGGATCTTATAGCTTAGCAAGTACCGTGCACGCGGTTGAAAGCTGCAGGCAATAAACCACCAAAAACCATTTACTAAGCGCTCTGTCACTATCATATACGTGCAGCCTCTGACTTTCATAAACCAAGTAACCCCAACTATGGACCTTCCACTTGTGTTTGGCAGCGTCATGGTTAAAGTCCAGGGATGGGGTGAAAGAAGTAACTGTATCTTCTTTCCTCTACGATTTCTGTGGTATTGGGAGTGGGCAGATGTTTCCGAGTCATGAGATATCACTCGGGTTTATAACCTATGCAGGGGCGACGAACGGTTCTCACGGTGGAAGGTACCATAATAAGATGGTGAGCTATCTAAGAAGGGAACTATAGTAGACGCTTTTTGTAGTTTGATCTAAGGGTGGTAAGTCATGATTAAGATCTTCGATGGGCAATCAAACAAAGGTAGTTTGGATATTGAGTCTTGTGATACTTATGATCTTGGGAGCCATGTCAAGTCATGATTGAATAGAAAGATATTTAGTATACAAACATACACCAAATACTTATATGCATAATACCAAGTGGCTACAAGAGGTTGGTGGGCCATACCGATGTAGATTGTCATGGTATGAGGGTTAGGTATCCATACCCTCACCGTATACATAATCGCAGCTTGAACTATCTTAGCTTCTCTCTCAGTATTTGGTCTTTAAAACATTTTCAGGCCATATTATAGTAGATACATGGTCACGATAGATTGTTCACGACCAGCTGCGGGTTGGTTTATATAACCTACTCCAACGTCAGAATAACAAAGTAGGGAAGCAATACTACTCATCGAATCAATTAATTTTATACACTCCTAGCTCCTTACAAATATATATGTAGCAAGTTGTAGTGATTATATCACGCACACTCGATTGTTTCGTTCAATCGTAAAGCATACCTATATTCGTTTCAAAGAAACAAGACAAAATAAACATATCGCATCTATATCCATGATCCCTTAAACTGCCATTGACCCGCGCCAAAATGCTCCCGGTTGCAAACAAACGCTGAAACGAAACAAAAAGAACCCGCAATATAAACAAGAAACACATCCCCGCGGACATGAACCATGAACCATGAACGAACCCAAGCTAGGTAGCTCCCAGAGCCCCCCCCCCCCCCCCCCCAGAATCCATAAGTAATAATCATTTACTCATTTACTCATAACCCATTACCCCCAAGCTCCCACATGCACAACCACCACCCCCCACATCTCCTCACAGCACCCCTCCCACGACCCCCACCACCAACCCCACCGTCCCCCACAACCACCACCCTCCGCCCCGCCCGCGCCCCGCCCCCGACCCGTCACTCGCCGGCGCAGGTATCTGATACTTTGTCAGGTTCTGCGGAATGACATAGCCCGTGCACGCGCTCTGGTACGGGCAGCATGCAATGGTGCCCAGGCTGTCGAACGTGCACACGGTATTGACGGGGCAGCAGACCTCGGGGTGCTCCACAGTGTTGCAGGACAGGTAGCCGTCGCGGCAGACCGGCGGCGCGAACGGGTTGGTGGTGTCTGCTTGGGCTGCAGCTGCTGCTGTTGCTGATGCTGACTGGAGGAGGAGGAGGAGGAGTGAGAGGAGGAGTGAGAGGAGCGAAGGGAAGAGTGGGGAGAAGAGTGGGGAGAGTGGGGAGAGTCGCATGTTGGGTGCAGGTGTGCTGATCAGAGTGGGTTATGTGGATGATGATAGGTATATGTAGGCTGTTCTCGATGATCTCTAGCTCTCGTCTGATCTCACAATCTCTCTCTCTCGCTCTCTCCAGCAGGTATGTCGCTCTCTATGGCTGCGACTAAAGAGCAGCACCGCACTCTAAATACAATAGCCCCCCCAGCTCCAGCTCCAGCTCCAGCCGATTGGGCTGGTCTGGGCGCTTATATTCTGGTTCATGGTGTTGTTGTTCCAGCTTGTTGTCACCCGTCTTGCGCGGGCTATCATTGGCCGTCCTCCTCGGGCTGGCCAGGCACCCGTTGCCCAGCAACCGTGGTATACGGTCCGCCCTGCACGCACTGCAGTGCCGAAACGGCGGATGTGTCAGGCATGGTTGGGAGGGGCCAATCATTGACATTGGGGTTGGAGAAACTAGATGGTGGCGTTCTGTGGGTTAAGCCACGGAGAGTCGAGCCACCGATAAATGGCACCTTTATATAAACAGTCTTATGACTATATTTTAAGCGCATGGTGGCTATTATGATAGCTGGGGACTACTCAAATTCTCTATCGGCTTGCTGGGACTCGATATATAAGCGATTTCTATGGAAAACCTTGAAGCTTTCACCTTCAAAACTGGCCGCGCCATAGTTAAAGCTAGCATTGTGGGGCGACGTTTTAGCTATTCCTTGGGAAGCACGACTAAAGAACTGAACATCAAGTTAACGAGGATACCTGTTATCGGTGTTTATGTTTTTATGCTTCTGTGGTAAACAAATAGTGATAAAGCTATCGACGTCAACAACCAAGCTCTTGTGTTCCCTGTCTCACCTTCTAATCCCGAGATGCACACACTCGATCGAGTGACCACTCATGTGGCCATGGTGCCTGTTAATATATTGGCTCCCCGCTATTCGATAAGAACTCGACGCTGGATTTACCCCTGCGTTAATATTTACTTTGTTAACTATATGTTCTCACCTATATGATCTGCTGCCAAGTGATGCTTAAACATACTAGGTGATTGAATCATGAAGCCTTAATATGCGGAGCTGGAGACCACAATATTATTGTCCCAACGACAACCAGACAGATGTTATGAAAACCTTACCCACAGCCTCACACACATCCTCCAGCTCCACCGACTCAGTTCAGCTCTAAATCGCATCACCGATCCCCTCGGCCAAAAACCCTGCTTCTTCCTCAGTCACCAGGCACTCCAGTCCTGATCCCAACCACGACCACCCCCTCGCTTACGTAACACCCGCCAACCCCTTTCGGCGCCCGCATCACAACCTCACTCCCACACCCGCACGCCATCTCCCCCACTACCACCTCACCTACCTCACCCGCACCGCAATCTCCACTCCACACTCCACACACAACACTACAAAGCCATGCCCGCCCTCCGCGCACCACCGACGCTCTCGCTGCTCTCGCGCGCGTCAACGACTACCTCGCTGACACACCTGTACCCCACGCCGCTCACGCGCTCCATGTCGTCGTCCCACGGCTCCCATTACGACCCGCCCACCGGCTGGTTCCTGGGCGTCCCGCCGGGGGAGAAGCAGGCGAAGGAAGGGTGGGAAGGGATCTGGTATTGGGGATTCTTTGGGGGGCTGTTTGCGGCCGGAGTGGCGTACGCTTATAAGCCGGATACATCGTAAGTTTTTCTTTCTCTTGCCCTTTTTTTGATAGTGGGTGATAGTGGATGGGTGCTGATTGTGGTGGGTGGGCGTGTAGGATTCAGAGTTGGGCGCTGGAAGAGGCGAGGAGGAGGCTTGAGGCCGAGGGCATCATTGAGGACTCGACGAAGGGGCAGAAGTCGTTGCTGCGTACGGTGTCGGGGAGTCTGCCGCCGAGGCATTGAGTCGGGTGCTATCTGCCATAGCACGAAACAATCACACCCCCCACACACCCGGTATTATAAACGCAGCAGCAACAGCACCTTCTTCATCATCAAGTCATGTACGGAAGCAAAGCAAAGCAACCACAATGAATTTTTTTTCTTTCTTGCTCGTCTGTCCTGTCATGATTGTGGTGAGACTACCGCCCTGTATAGAGATTGAGAGATTGAGAGAGAGAGAGAGATTGATTCTACCCCCCGCCCCTTGTGCTTTTGTTTCTTTTCCCTTTCCTTTCTTGCTTTTCTTTCTTATGTTTGTTATATTGCTTTCCCTGCTTTTATTGCTGCTTTACGTCCTTCGCTCGTTCATTCTAGTACATGTTTTTTCAAGTCTAATTTGCCCCAGGATGGGATGGGATGGGATGGTATGGGATGGTATGGTATGGTATGGCGATGATGGGATGAGAGGGTGGTATTGCTTTGTCTGACATAGAGCCTGGAAGAAGAAACTATACCGAATTATCACTCACTCACTCACTCACTCATTAACTATATATGCTGCGGATAGGATAGATTAGAAAGGTTGGGATTGGGGATGGTATATAGGGGTTTCGAATGGGACTTTTATTTATTTTACACTAGCATTGTAGGCAGTTCTTCCGCTCTCTCTCTCGATCTCTCTATCGTGTCGTTCTTGATATGAGGTCCACCCAGTGCACCGCGGAAGAGTCATACATTGCAACCCAACCGAACCCCCCAACCCAAACATCGGACGAAACCAACCACCACCCGCGTACCAATTCCCTCGGCTAACATCCCAATCACACACCTCCCAATTTCCTCCCTCCTACCACTTCTCTCCCTCCCTCCCTACCCTTCTTTAACTCCCCACCATTCACACCCCTCACTCGGATTGGATTGGATTGATATCGCCCCCCCTCGGCGCGGTGCGGCCGGGTAAGCCCAATCCCGGCCGGGCTACTTCGGATGCGGACTGACGTTGGAAGTTGGTTGGGCTGGGTTTTAATTTAGCCAAGGATTGGGGGCCCCATGACGTCGTGGACCCTAACCCTGGTTTTGTGGGTTGGGGGTGCCAAGACTAAGAGTGCCTGACTGAAATGGGTATCGAGATACATGTATCAATGGAACAATCGTGGTGTAATACAGGTCGGCTCAATCAAATAGAGAAAGACCAATACCTTTCAAGTGCCATGGATTTCGAGGATGAGAAAGAAGGTGAGAGGGAACATCACTTGATCATTATCATGATGTTGGGGTCTGAACTCCGTCCTGAGCATCAATCGTAAAATATTCATTGGCACATACATGCGCATCGTCCCTCAGCGCCATATAAACGCCTACAAACAGATTACTATCCCTCTGAATCTCGCATTACTTACTTGCTATTTACCACCTATTCTAACCCGCTCCGTTCCGCTCACAAAGCCAGCCAGAAAGAAAGAGAAAAAGAGAAAAAGAACCCTATTATCCGATAAAAAAACATAAGAAAAAGAAGGAAAAAACGATACCCAGCAGACGGTCTATCCCCCATCCCCCCATCCCCCCATCCCCTCACCCCATACACTTCTTGCTTCACAACCCATCACTCGTCATCACTCGTCCATCAAAACAAAAGCAGAAAGAAAGAGAAAAAAAACTAGACTCCCGCTCACACAAGTAAACCAAGAACCAAAAGCCACAATAATATATATAATAAAAAAGTAAAAAGAAAAGAGAAAAAAAACTACAACAAACTATCCCACGCGTCCAGCCCCTTCTCCTGCTTTTTCGCCGTCAACACCCCACTCCCAATCACCAAATTCATCCCTCCACCCCTCCCATACCCATACCGCCTCCGCCACCACCACTCCCAGGCGGCGGCGGTATCATAAAGCCCGCAAACGCGCCTGTCCCTTGCGGCGCTGGCGCTGCCTGCTGCCGCGTCTGCCCATACAGTATCGTCGGATGGCTCTGTTGCTGCTGTTGCGGCTGCGGCTGCAGCGACGGGAACCCATTGTTCCGGTTCTGGGCCTGGGCCTGGGCCTGGTTCATACCCATACCCAGTCCCATACCGTAGTTAATGGAAGTGCTCGGCTTCGGCGTCAACGGCGCCGTGCTGAGCGTTGGCTTCTTTGTACCGGCAACGGAGGACCAGTCGATTGTCATGCCGCTCATATTATTCTGTGTGTTTTGTTGCTGCTGTTGCTGCGGCTGCTGTGGGCGGAGGGCGGTTGTGCTGCCGAAGCCGGGGGAGGGCTGCGGCTGTAGTGTGCCCATACCCATGCCCATGCCCATGCCCATTCCCATGCTCATACTGTTGCTGCTACTGAGCGGTGGTGGAATTCCCGGTGACGATGGCGTCAATGGCGCGAATCGTGAGTCTGGTGTGGCGGCCCGCTGTGGTCGCAGGCTGGGCGGCGGACTATGTGTTGCGCTGCTGGGCGTGGACCAGCTGAACGATGCCGTCTCCTGCTTCTTTTGTGGCGCCGGGCCCAAGCTCGAGCCAATATCATTGTTGCTGCTGCCGGCGCCGCCCCAGCCGGGGCTACTGGTGCCATTACTGGGCTTGCTCTTGCCGAAGACGAGGTCTGCGAAGGCGTCACCGTCACCGCCGGAGGAGCCGGTGTTGGCGCCGGGGATGCCGCCGAATGATAGGAATTCACCCGCGCCGTTGCTGGGGTTGCTGGGGCCAGAGGAGGAGAGTTCTTGGAGTTTGCGGGTTTGCTCTTGTTCGATCTTTGAGGAGAGGGATTTGATTGTGGCCATGAATGCTTGGAACTATAGGAGTGAGTCAGTACTGGAAAAGACCACTCGAACACCGATATAGGTAGGGTCGAGATACATACCTGCTCCAGACCCAGCAGCGGGCCAAAACTCATGGTCCACAGCCCTGGCAGTAACTCCATTGCTACGATTTCCCGGTCACAGATCTTCCCAATCTCTGAGAAAACCTCTAGTGCTGCCATCATCACTGCTGGCTCCTTCGTCTTGATACCCTTCAATAGCGGCACCACCTTCTCCTGAATCGTGTACTTATCCAGCACCGGGCAGTCCCCGGCTCTCTGCTTCTCAATCTTATTGAACCCTTCCAAGCCATCAGTATTAACCGGGGGCGTCCCCCCACACAGCACCTTAAACGCCTCCAGCCCACGAATCTTGATACCCAGCGACGAGGTCTTCGTGAATACTGAAGCCACCACGGGGAACAGGTCATTTTTTAATGTCGGAAAGTCTAGCTTTGGGAGTATAACCACCAGTGACCTTAACGCCAGGTCCTGCAGTGCATGTGTCGGCGACTCGAGCGCAAGCTGGTAAATGGGCAGGATATCCTCCTTGAACTCGCGCGACGTTGTCTTCTCCATTATGATGGGTAGGCTCGAGATCACGACCGTCAGCCCGCCTTCACGCCCAGCTTCCTTCTCACGCTCCGCGATCTTGGCCGCGGCGGTCTTGGGCTCGGTGGAGGGTGCGCTAGTGCCGCCGGGGGGTAAGAACACTTCTTTCAGCTTGTGTAGGACCTTCTCGCTGAAAAGGCGGGCGGAGCCGGCTTCGGCAATGGCGAAAACGTTCGGAAGGACGAGCGCTAGCATACTGCCGTCTCGCAGCTCTTCGACAAGGCCCGGGAGAATCTTCTTTTCTAGAACGCTGCGGGGAAACTGTGGGAGGACCTTTGGGAGGCCTCGCATGAAAGCAGATTTCTCACTAGGGGTTTTGGCGGGGAGACTGTCGAGGAAGCGCAGGGCAGAGACGAGGATGTTGTCGAAATACTCGTTCTCCTGGAATTCGCGCGCAGTGATGCGGCCAGCGGGTCGGCGGGTGAGAAGGTGCGGGAGAAGAGCATCGACAAGGGCTCGCGGGAGCGGCTTCGAAGAAAGGAAATTGTTGGATGTATTCGGGGTGGTCGATGGTGTGCTGAGGAGGCGTCGGTAACTGGAAGTTGAGTTGTGTGTTTCAAGAGGGGATTTGTGCGGGTGGTTGTACAGGGCCACGATAAGAAGCCCAAGGGAAAACAAGTCTGTAGATGGTGAGATGGAGTTGTCGAGAACAAGTTCTGGGGAAGCGTAGTCGAGAGCAATCTGAACATTCGGAGGTAGACGGGCGTCGAACGCCGGTGGGAGTGGGGGGTTTGTAGATGGAATCGTGAATGATAGAGAAGTGAGCTTCCAGTCAGACTATAAAAGGTTGTCAGCATCTGTAGAAACAAAGAACAGTTGAGAGGGTGTCTGAAAGGATATTTACGGGATCCAAGTACCAGAATGTGTACAAGGGCCGTGAATATATAGCTGTCATGGAGCTGTAAATGGTAGTAGAGGAGCTCTCCCGGGCTCACACATGCGGAAGAAATCCGCTTAGAAACACAAAATATTACCAACCTTAGCATTGATCATGACAGCATCCGGCGTGATGTTCCCATGAACCAATGCTGCACTCTCGTGAAGAAACTCCAACGCCTTCCCGATCTGCAGCAAGCCCTTCTGGATCTCCAACTCGTCGATATCAATATCTGCTCGTCTCCTACCACCTATTGCGCTCTCCCTTCCATATCTCCCATTACTTCTGCCCTCCTCCTCATCCTTCTCTTGCAGCAGCTTCGAAAGACTGCTCAAGACAGCCTCCGTCGCAAACATCAACCCCCCACCTCGCGTATCTTCTACCGGCTCCGCAAGTTCCAGCACGCATGGGTGTCGCAATCTTGCAAGTAAGCTGGCCCCTTTCTTCAACCTCTCCACAACTTCGTCCTGTGCGGCCTTGAGGCCATCCCTGGAGCTACCACCACCACGGAGCGAGAGACCATTGCTGGAGCCGCCGCCCGACTCAAGCGATTTCCGCTCAAAAATCCAGACAGAGACGGCTTGGTTCGTTTTCTTCTTTTTTGCGTCGTGGATTCGCCATGGGCCGCAGTAGGTGGTTGGTTCGGGAGAGAGGATGTAGTTGGAGGTGATGTTGGAGGTAAAGGATTTGAGGGCGTTTGTGAACATGGTGTCCTTGTGTGTCGCGTGTTTCGCGGTGATAATTCTAGGGAAACGATGGTGGATTTCTCGCCGGGAGAGATTCTGGTGCTTCTGTGCCTAGTGAGCGCCCCACACACGAGGGATGAGGCAGTAAGGTAGTGGGGGTGGGCGAGTGAACGAGTGGGAGTGGTAAAGATCGCACTCGGGTCTGAGATGTTCTTGTCTTGAGGTGTTGAGCTCCTGAAAGGTTGCGGCTGAATGCAGACAGAAATAGCTAGGGTGTATGCGCAATTGATTCTCCACCAATGAACCGGCACGTCGTCACGGAGGTGCAATAATAAGGTATATATAACTTCTGTGGATTCTATTGGGAATATTTCGCTCGCTATATAGCTATGCTGAACGAGATGGCCCCAGCTTTTCACTTTGCGCATGAAATCTACCGACAAAGCATCTAATAGAACGTAGGAATATAGAACCTACAGCTCCGGGGTTCTTTGTTGAAACTCCTTCGAAACCGGGGGTGAGATGTGGCTGGCCGGTGAATCCAACTGCACTGGGCCAAGGGCTCTGGACTCGACAACCAAATGGACATAAGTTTATCATAGCTGTACGGATACCGAATTTTATTATTTCCTAATTATGAACAGCTACAGCATGGCGCCTATATAATTATATAAAGAAGAGCACATCGCTGTACATATCAATAGTAGGTACATACATGGATGGCAAGTTCTCTGCTTATTATTCGGTTATCGAGGCTGTGAAGTTATTAATGATTCACGCCCATATCAGTATGCCGTATTAATCACCATAGAGTGCGTAGATTGCTGACTAGGGCCCAGAAGGAGCAGTATGTTTGTTGATTAACACAACGAGTGATAAAATATGACTTATTGGGGCTTCAATCAAAAGGATGATATATAGGCACCGCAGGCCTGGCGTAGGATCTCCGGCCGATTGGCGCATGCACACAATTGCATCACCTTCCATATGCATTTGAATACAACTCAATCACCTTTACTTGATAAGTGTTTGGTTTGTATTTGGGATTACGCGCAGTGCGTGTTGTATTGATACTTGTGCTCAGATACATAACAAGTCACACTAGCAAATTTGTTTCATCAATTACCACCACACCTCACCTCCAAATACCGACATCACCTCTCCATTACCTACCCCACGTCTTATCACCCCACCCACCACCTTCCCCAGAATCAGGCGGGGCCGATCCCTGGTTTCCATCATTTGGTAGATAACGATACCAAGATGAACATCTTTGCACTACTGCGGGGTGGGGGTGTTTCGGTTTCCTGCCTGGCAACGCCTCATGTGTCATCATGTTTGATAGCACAGAGGTATCGGCACAGGTAATGACAGCTGATGACATAGGAATCTTTTACAAAAAAACGCAGTCTACAGACGGGTTGGTACGTACCAGCTTGCTGGATTTTTTGTACTGATTTACCCTCTTTTCTTTTTTCACTAAATTGCAGGAGCGCATGACAGAAACCTTGGCCAATCAATGCACACCCGAACGATTCCGGGGTAGTTATGGGGTAGCTCGCCCTTGTAAAACGAAGTGGTAGAAAGGAAACGCTCCAAGCAATACCTCTAGGACTTGTACTCCAGAACAGTTCCTCCAGGGGTGAACCAAGATCGTTCACGACGGTGTCAAACGGTTGTCCTGTGCAGCAGCAGTCTAGCTTGCCAGCAACAACTTGCAGAGCTCGAACCAGGGGATACCTACCTACCTACCTACCTATAATTCTCACATGATATATGCTTCCTTCTTTATCCCCCTTACTCCACCTTTCCAGCCTCCCTATTAAATAGCAACGCGAATCTCGTTTCCAACCATCCGTCTTAGATACAGAGCGAACAGCTCCCGATTTTGAGAATAGGGTCTTGATTCATTTGGTTTCTAGAGAAATCACCGACGAATTTAACAGCGATGGAGTCACGGAGGCCGAGGCCATTTCCAGGGAGGATCAGTAGTCTTTTCCGACGAAAGGGGAGAACTACTGAGCCTAACTCGCCTACCTTCAGCCCATCTGATATCGAATCAACATCGTTCCAGGCATATGGGCTTTGGAGAAAGGGTATGTGGAAAGAGCTCGAGGAGCTTGTACTTCCAGCATTACCTACGATGAAAAGGACACTCGGCGAGACGAATTATGCCACCTTGCGGACAATATTTTTTCTTGCGCAAGCGTTTGCGGAGCAGGCTAGATGGGATGAAGTTGAGAAGTTGCTGTCGCCGGCTTTGCCGATGCTAAAAAAAACTGTGGGTGAAGTTGATCCAGTTACACTGCGATCAACGGTTCTCCTCGCACAGACCTTTGTGCAGGAAGGATGGTGGGAAGGTGTGGAAGAACTACTCCTCCCAGCGCTGCCAAAAATGAAGGAGACACTAGGTAACGAGGATACAGTCACACTGTACTCGACCTATTTCCTGGCAGCGACTGCTCTAAACCAGGCAAAGTGGGTGCAAGTAGAAGAGCTCTTGAAGCCATCTTTACCGATGATGAAGAAGCAGTTGGGCCAAGGGAATTCCGCCACCCTGCGGTCAACCTTTTTCCTTGCGCAAGCATTTGCCCAACAGGCTCGGTGGAAAGAGGTGGAAAGGCTCCTTTTGCCGTCGTTGCCGAAGATGAGGAGAGCACTTGGTAGCATGGATGCAGCCACCTTGCGTTCGACAGATCTTCTTGCACAGGCGTTTGCGCAAGAAGATAGGTGGGAGGAAATTGAAGAGTTGCTGCTGCCAACGTTGCCAAAGATGAGAGAAGGATTGGGCGAGGCAAATCCAGTAACTTTGGAATCAATATACTTTTTAGCAACAGCACGCTTGAGCCAAGGTCGATGGAAGGAAGTGGAGGAGCTTCTGGTGCCAGCGCTACCAGTAATGAGAGGCGAGGACGAGACTCACCCGGTTACCTTGGGGTCAACGTTCTTCCTCGCAGATGCGTTATCTGAGCAAGGTCGTTGGATGGAAGTGGAAGAGCTCTTAGTTCCAGCACTGGCAAATATGAGAAACTCAAGAGATCAAGGCAAAGCTGATCCGATCACTCTACGCTCCACATATCTTCTCGCAGAAACATTTTCAAGAAAAGATCGATGGACGGAAGTTGAAGAGCTGTTATTACCGGCGTTGCCGATAATGAAAAACATGGATCCATCCGATCCAGCCACTTTGGGGTCAACATACTTCCTTTCTGAGGTGCTCTCGAGGCAAAAGAGGTGGAAAGAGGTGGAAGAGCTACTTTCGCCAGTAATGCCCATGATCAAGATTTTGGGAGAAGGTCATGCGCTCGTTGTCAAATCGTCAGAGATCCTTGAAAAGGCAACCCGGGAACAGAACCCAGACCAAAAGTTGTCGAATGAAATAAGTAAAGAAAAAGAATGTGTAAGCGTTTTGCAATTTCCAATCTCCATTGCCCCCACCCTACCCGGTTGGAACGAATAGTCAGAACATGAACCTAAAGGAACATCTTCTCACGAAGTCTATAGAGACAGCGTCAAAATAGGTCGAGCAAGGAACCCATACCGGAGAGCGCTATCGTGCCTTATTTGAAAAGTATCTTTGGTCATAAAGATATCGGATTTGGATTACGTATAACCCTCCAGGGACTTTTATCGTTACCGTCATCCACCACCGAGATATCTGAATGCGTTATAGAGTTCAGAGATTTCCAAGTCGAGTCGATGCCCAGCCCAATTGTCATGACATATGAAACCCAAGAGAACGAGAAATTGATATTTCAATCGAACAGGGATAGTAATAAATATAGCGAAGAAGGGCTACTGGATCTTTTCCGGACTTCTCTTTCAGGCCTTCTAAAGGGCGCATATGTCCCCATAGGGGCTGAGAAGACGATGTCAAATTGCCATGTACTGGCGCAAAATTTCGACGACCGTGCGAGGTCTACTATTTGGTCAATCGTCGAAGGGATCGAGGGTGTGGAGAAAGTTGAAGAAGATGGCACAAGGAACGTTTTTGCAATTGCGTACCGCTCCCCGAAATTCCAAACTCTGTCTCCCCTGCAGAGTACCGTACTGCCTTGGATCGAGATTCGGAGTCTCCACTCGAACGACGCCTGCGGCCCAATTGTCGAGCTTCTGACGATACATCATGTGTCCTCGGATGAGACCTACCCCAAGAATATTTCCCAGAACGTACTTCCGAGTCCTTCGACGGTGTCTTCTTACGAGTACTCGATCCACTCATCGCCGAATTCATCACCGAATTCATCGCCGGAGCAGTTGCCTGATGACAAGCCCGGGGTGACGAGGGAGAGGGCATTAGAGGTATAAGGCCACATATTCGTGATTTTCGCTGGTTTGGAAGGTTGTAGGTCGAAGGATATATGATGATTGGGATATTTGTAAGAGGTTTGATACCAAGTGTTGGTGGGCTTTCTTTATTCTTTCGGATGGGTTGGTGTGTAGGAATAGGAATTTGTAGCAGAATTATTTAGTAGTTGCGTTTGTTGATCCTTTCCTGTATTTGGTTGTAATTGGATTGCTTAAATATGAAACCAAAAGCTATCTACCTGTAGTTAATAGTGTACGTCTTTTGGGAAAGAACGTGCAGTGTGCAGTGCTAACGATAACAGCCGGAGGAGGGAGACCAGGGCTGATTTAACCGGAAGAGAGAGAGAAGAAAATTCTTCAAACTGAGCTACGTATGTACCAGGTTGAATTGATTCATCGTGAATTTCAGCTCTCGGAGGTCTCGAGTGTCAGTCAGGCTCTTGGCCTTTTGCTTCTAGCAGAGCTCTACTGAGGTGCTTCTTGGTACTAACTGCTTGGTTAGTAGGAGCGGAGGCTCAAAAGGGAAAATTACCCCACCACCCACCCCGACTCCGCGCTCAAAATGGACAGAACAAGTCTAAACAGTCCGAGATAGGCGATGATTCTCGTAATAATAATTTGCATTGCTCGCACGTGATGTCTAGATACAATGTAGTTAACTGACTTCCACCACTAATCTCCGTTCAGGTCAGCCTCATTAAAAACCTCCATTGTTATCTGGCGATACACAATCAATTCTCTCAGCATCCCCCCCCCATCAAACTTCTCCGTGACCACCACCACCATTACCCCCCTGGTCTAACACGTAGAGTCATAGAGTGGTGCTCTATATAATTTCTCCTCTCCTCCTTCTTCCCCCGCTCTCCTTAACCCATCTCTACTCATTCATACCATCCACGATGTTGCGCACCTCTCTCCTCCGCGCCCCGCGCATGACCTTTGGGCTCACTAGGGCCTACAGTGTCCAGGCGCCTAAGAAGCTCCCAGATATCGATGCTTCAAAATTGACCGTCACTCGCACCCAGACTCCCAAGGAGATGCTGAAGCCGGAGGAGCTAGTGTTCGGACGAACCTTTTCCGGTGAATTTTTCTCCTCTGTGACCATGGTCACCCCCGTCCCCGCACATATCGTCCGGGAGGGGGTTCAATTGAGTTTATAATAAAACTAATGCAATGGAAATTAAAGACCACATGCTCTCCATTGAGTGGACTGCTCAATCCGGATGGGCCACTCCCCAGATCACGCCCTACCAGAACCTCTCACTCGACCCCGCAACATGTGTGTTTCACTATGCATTCGAGTGCTTCGAGGGTATGAAGGCCTACTATGACACTCAGGGCCGTGTCCGCCTCTTCCGTCCCGACCGCAACATGGCCCGTCTCAATACCTCCTCTGCTCGCATTGCTCTCCCAACTTTCAACGCCGAGGAAATGATCAAGTGTATCTCCGCATTTGTCGCCGTCGACCAGAAGTTCGTGCCAAAGAAGAAGGGATACTCTCTCTACCTTCGCCCGACAATGATTGGAACGCAGAGGACACTCGGAGTTGGCCCACCAGGTAGTGCGCTGTTGTATGTCATTGCATCCCCAGTGGGACCCTACTACCCAACCGGCTTCAAGGCGGTCTCACTCGAGGCCACATCCCAGTACATTCGTGCCTGGCCCGGCGGTGTCGGAAACATGAAGCTCGGTGCCAACTACGCACCCTGTATCGTTCCCCAGCTCGAAGCCGCTGGCCGTGGATTCCACCAGAACCTGTGGCTGTTTGGCGAGGAGGGCTACGTTACTGAGGTGGGCACCATGAACTTGTTTGTGGCATGGACACTCCCCTCGGGTGAGAAGGAACTCGTCACTGCTCCGCTGGATGGAACCATCCTCGAGGGTGTGACGAGAGACTGTGTCTTGGCGCTGGCGCGTGAGAAGCTTGTTAAGGAGGGCTGGACCATCTCCGAGAGGAAATACACCATTAAAGAGGTTTCCCAGGCGGCGGATGAGGGCAGACTGATCGAGGCATTTGGATCGGGTACTGCAGCGGTGGTGAGCCCAATTAGGAGAATTGCATGGGATGGTGGAGCTGCCGGCACTCCGAGGGACATCATGTTCCCATTGCAGGAAGGCAAGGAGGCGGGAGTGATCGCAGAGAGAATGTGGAAGTGGATGGAAGAGAGGCAGTACGGTGAAGTTGAGAGCGAATGGAGGTAAGTTTGGACTTGACGGTTGATTGGTTAAAACCGTGAATACGGTATGCTAACTAGAGATGCAGTCATATTGTCCCCAACCTCACGGCCTAGTCCGCCGGGAAAGTTGTCAATTGAACAAGCCAACAACCACACATCTCTTTCTAAATAAACTACCTAATTTTCATTCTCATAGCTATCCATAGTTTTAGATGAGATCTTGAAGATTTCCCTCCCTTCTTTCTTTCTTTATTAGGATTTTTTGCGTTTATTTTATTTTTTTTCACACCCCAAAAAAGGCTTTTAGCGGGAGGGTTTGCTTGCGGGTGCGTGCGGATTGCTGTTTTCCTTTTTTGTTAGAATCTGTTTCGGATGAGCTTTCGTTTCTTGTTTATTTTAGAGTGTGGATATGAAATCATAAACGGAGATGATTATGTAGATCCGAGTTTCACGTGCCGTATATACTCGAGTGATCGTTCATGACTAACAGTTTTTCGTGCACCCCCAACCGGTTTCATACGGTTTGAACAGCAAGAACCTAAGTGTGGTTATTTAGGGGTAACCAACCCCCAAAGAGCAACAGAGGCTGTATTCTAAGCATGTAATGCCAAGATTATGGTGTATCTGTTGGATGGATACGTACATGTATGTACCGGGAGCTGATAGGCAGAGCAGCCAATCCGCATGAGAAGCATTTTATCTACCGGTGAACGAGTCCGTCTGAAGCAACATGAATCGCTGCAGCCGTCCCAGATCGATGGTAGTTCTCGACAATAAGGCTACCGAAAATGGTTATGAGATCTGCATATGTTCAGGTATCATCCGCATCGATGGCAGTTGGAGGAACAATCTTGGTCAAGGAGAGATATATAGAATCTAGGCCGTTATATAGGAATCGGGATAAGAACAGGACACAATGACCTCTGACTTGAGAAATCCGATAAACACCTTCCCTGGTACAGGCAATAAGAACGAAATACGTATATATATCTCGATTGAACGATATCTATAAATATCACTGACGCTTGATAGATTCTTCTAGATCCTGATGCTCTTCGAAAACCGTGCTCGGTAATCAACACTTCACGGGATCTCAGTGTCACCAACATAGTATGAGGATCTGCATATATATACTTACTAACCAAAGCTATTCGCGAATCGAAAGGCTACTGGCATGAGTTAGATTCACATTCCAGGTTAGATCCAGCTTGTTGCATATTATCCCCGCATCATGCAGAACATACATGTATCTACTCTTCGTGGTTATGATAGCAGCCGACAGCAGCTCCCGCCTCTTGATTATGAAGCGTATATAGCACCACACCTCATATATTCAAGTATAAAGAACCCAATAAACCACTCATCTGGCTTCCATCCCTTCATCTCAACTACATCTCCTCAATTCCCTCAAGATGCGTGGTCCACTCTCCCAAAAGCTCCTCCTGTTTCTCACTTGCATTCTCCTTACCTCTGCCCGAGAAATCGACATCCACATTGATCTCGACTCTCCCAAAAGTCACCATCATGAAACGCCCTTCCTCAGCCCAGGCCCACAGCAAGTCCCCGACCACTATGCCAAACTCGGCGTAATTCCCCCCCCCCCCCCCCTTCCCCCCAAACTCAACTGACTACCCACAGTTCGATGGTTTGACGGAAGGCGACCTCGTCGGTAAACATGCTTTTCTTACCTTCACCAATAACATTCGCGTCGCCCACGCAGGCCCCCTCGCTTCTTCCCAGCCGAATGGCGTAATCATGAACCAGTACAACCCCGACGAAAGGCTCACGAACCCCGGGTTCGGCATCGACAACACCACCTCCACATTCGAAACCTTCGACCTCCTCTCGCTCTACATGGCCCCCATCTACGAGCCCAAGACGTTGCCGCCGCTCGAGTTTAATGTTAGTGTCATGGGCTTTGGACCGCAGCCCGGGCGGGTCCTGAGCAGAATGGTGACCATCTGTGGGCCCGAGTGGCCGCAGAAGATTGAGCTTGAAGACTTTAAGGAGGTGGCGAGTGTGACGGTCGAGATGACGAGTCAGATTGCGCCGACGGGGGGCCCGTTTATGCCGTCGTTTATAATGGATGATGTGCATATATATTGGAGGAGGGCGGTGCATGATGGTGAGCTCTGAGGTGCGGTGACAATGATTTTGCGGTCGTTTTTTGTGGCCTTCTGTTGAGTAGTTTCAATCGATATAAGCAATATTAAGTGTGCAGTTGATCAATTGAAGAATCTGTGAACCTGCAATCAGTAATAGTAAGGCCTTAAAATCACCACACGCTAAGAAGTCTGACCATGAGTTGACTAGCTCTAGAGAGGTGGACCAGCTGGCGAGTGATAAGCACAAGTGTAACGAATAGCCACTTGTAGCAGCAACCAATAAATTCCATATAGTAATAACGTTGAGTCGCAATAAGAGAGCAGGAATAGAGATCAAAAGATAAATTATCCTAACTCCAAACCCCATACATCTACTTCTGCTGCCAATGATTTTAATACATCGCCAAACCAAAACAGAGCAGAACAGCGCAAATTCGGGACAAAGTAAAAAGAATAAACGAAGGACATAGTTGATACATAAGAAAGAAGAAAAAGTCAAAGATTCATTACCCTCCTCTTCCCCAACACACAACGCTTTGCACCATTTCCGCAAGCCTCCCTCTCGCGGTCCCACTCACCTTCTTCCCCATACCCACCCTAATCTTCACCGCACTCCTCACCACACTCCACCCCTGCCTCTTCGCCAATCCCATCTTCATCTTGCCCTCATCCCCACCTTCAAAGATCTTCTTCAACTCCCCCAGCCCCGGCCTCTCCGCCGGATCTCTCCGCGTACACATCTCCACTACATCTCTAATCGGCCCATCAATGCCCTCAAGATCCGTCTTATACACAAAATTGATGTCTCTGAACAGCTCCATATAGAGCTCATTCATACTCAGCCCCTTGGTAAGAATATACAGCGTCCTCCCCAGCGCATACACATCCGCCCTCTCCAACGCCTCGCCGCTCCACGTCCTCGGGAATCCACCTTTTGCTTCCGGCGGCGCAGTCGCAGCAGTTGACTCGTCCTGCGAAAAGTCTATGAGTACCAACCGCTCCTCGCCCGAGGGTGAGGGGTGGACGATGATGTTGTCGGGCTTGATATCGCCATGGAAGGACTTTTGCTCGATGTGGAGCCAGTGGAGCGCGTTCACTAGTTGGTGGCCCCAGCTCCAGAGTCTTTCTGGTGGTGGTCTGGGTGTGAGGGTGGAGCAGAGATGGTCGAGGTTGCCGTGGGGGTAGTACTCGAGTAGGAATCCGACAACTCGATGGTCGGTTGGCGAGACTGTGATGAGTCCATGGGGTGGGGAGATTATGTTCGGGTGTGGAGGGAGGGACAGGAGGTTTCTGAGCTCTGAAAAGTTGTTCGTTGGGCCCTTGGCAATGTACTTCTTTTTTGAAGCTGGAGAAAGCGTGACGAGTTGGATATGGGAGGACCATGATCGCGGTGAGCTTTGAGATAGTGGACAGGAGTGCAGGGAAGATATCGGGTAGAGCTTTGGTTTTGTGCATGTATTTTCTGGGATTATCTCTTCTGGTAACTGCAGTTTCTGGATAAGTCTGGGATCAATTTTTTCTTCCACTACCAGCTCCCCACTCCCAGGGAGAGTGTGGAGGAACGGGGACAGGGAAAAACGCGGCGGATACACTGGGTAGTGCGCCTGAATAGTCCTCAAGATCTTCTGTAGTGCGGAATTTCGGGCTGACTCTGGTAAATTTGGCCATGCAGATATGAGCTTTGTTTCGAAGGCATCTGGCAGGGATGGGTTGGAGTTGAGAAATACAGTAATTGGGATATTGTGGGATAAATTCGAGATCAAGATCTGAAGTTGAGGGGGGTTGTTATGTGGAAGAAGCTGTGGGCCAAAGGTAGTTTCAGACATTGTGGAAGTATATGAGTCTAATATAAAACGGCGTCCTTTGGGGTGGATTAAGCAGACGTCTGTGGGGCACCAATGCCTATTAGATTAAGACTACTGTCTACTCAGTCGTTAATTAAAAGGTCGGAAATTTTAGTTGCAACGATATCCGACCATTTAATTAACGCGCGAGTATATATGTAGATGAAATATATAGACAGTCCCGCCTGGCCCCACTTAGTTTGAATGCATCAGTATCGGGGTTAGAGCCGTGACTATGATAAGTAAAGACGCTGATAGGTACTTGGATGTATACGCATCGGTAGAGAACTGACCCTCTTCCTGCTCCATTATCAAAAAGCGAAGGGGTTAGAAAACAAAACAGCGCGTCCAGCGTAAGTCCCAACCCCCAAATCTAAATCAGAGAATTTTCTCACTAACCACATATCACGGAAATCCTTCTAGAAGTGACTTTTGGACAACGAAGATTGCGACCTTTCGAGCTGTAGACACATACCGAGGAAAATAACGGGGTGGCCAGGTATCGACAAAGAGATCTTCTATCGAATAGGACGGGGTGTTTTTCCAATTCTTCCCTACTTGATCCACTAATGCAACGTGACTAGCATCTCTATCCATTGGTGTGCTCTGGTAATACTTGCAGATTCGGGGCCGAAGAAGAGGCACCGTATCAGTGATAGACCGATGCCTGTAGAAACTGAGTTCACAATGGTAGGCGAGTGTAGAAACAGGGGTCTAAAAACAGGGTTTAAGTGGCTAACCCGGCCAGCAATAATTTTCCAGTAAAGCACAGACTCATGGGAAACCATCAGCTATTCGTCAATAGAGACTTTGCGCTGGAGTTTTCGTTATAAAGCTTTTACCGAAAGTAGTAAAGAGGAGTACCTCCACTTTTGACCGTACGTAGCTGAGGTCTGCACTCCAGGGAGGCTGTAGTTTCCAATGGTCATGCATACCACTCCTTGTGATGATGATGATGATGATGTTGCTCAAATACGTAACTTTCAATTGGATCGGAGATTTTGTGTCTTGCATCCCGTCCCCAGAAAAGCGTAGTTGTGTTTCTACTTCACCTCAAAATTGCAGTGGAACGCGATTTGATCCTTGTACAGCGGTGGGTAATAAGTGATCAGACAGAACGCCACCAAAATACGCGTTTGCAGGCAAAATTGTCCGATGACTTAATACCCACCGCTGTAGTTAGGGTTGCAAGTTCACACCCATGCAACTTTGCCTTAGGTTCTGTCTCTTGCCCGCGTGCTCAGGTATGTATGGCCTTTCACGATATCACAGTAGGTACAAGACCGGATAATTGGGGTATATCTGTGTTAGCCTGTCTGTGGGCCTGTTCGTTTTTGATATGCAGTATTGCAGTTTATTAGTTCAATGTTTTCCTACACACCAATACACTGTATCTTCCTCACATGATGTCGTTTCCTTATCAAGCTTGAGCCGAGTAAGCAGACATGTAGTTGCTCCGATTGGCCAATCCCATGATACATCCGGTCCAAAGACAAAAGAAATTTTCAGAGTAGACTCCAGTGTTTTCAAACTAAGCCCTGAGCCCTTCTTGGGTTCCTGTCAAGGGTGCCAAGCCACTTCAGATCTAAGATCTTGGATCTTGATCGTGGGCCCCCTCGCTAGACTGTCAACATGGCTGGCAGTGAGTGCACTGGCAGTTGACGTGGGATTAAGGTTATCAAGACAGATATGGAATATTAAGCGAGAGTACTTTAATAATTCACTGCGAGTAAGCTGACACTGTCTGAACAGCACCCCCCTAGAGATGTATGTACCTTGATCTACACTCATGAGTAGAGTACTGTGAAAAATACATGTATTATATTATGTGTCTACTCGTCACTCATAGGCTGGTGTTACACGAACACGTAAGATAAAGCCGGTCCAAAAAATACCCGCAGGTCATTATTCAGTCCGGCCTTGGACAGCAAAATATAAAGGCTACCCTCAACATCGCTCTTCTTCTTCTTCTCTCTATCGTGTTGATTGATCCACTCCAGTCATCCAACATCAACCCCCCTCGCGATATTCACCCATGACCAGGAATCACATTCTGTCACTCGATCAGCCCATTTTGGATTGAGGCTGAAGCCCCACTTTGGTGGCATGCAACCGTGGCACAGCTGCATGATGTAGCGGACTGGGCGGGGCCGGCGGGCCGATGAGAGACCACATTGACCCCATTCCCTGGTAAGGCTAAGAGCTACTTGCCAGATTTTTTTCTGTGTCCAGCGAACCTATTCTTCCTGATACGGAAGAGTCGCAACGACTTTATCTCACCAAATATCTATCAAATTCACGAAGTTTTAGGGCCGTTGCTTCGTAGCACTCCCATATTTCCGGATGAGGAAGAAACAGCTGGACACAGAAAAAAATCTGGCAAGTAGATTGCAATTGTTGGGGAACCATGCACTGATATTAACGCAGCTGATAACAACACGTCGACTATATAACCTGCCAATTCCCTTGATTTGGAGCTTCTCAGAAGAGACAGCAGTGTCGACGTCGAAAACCAGTGCACTACGAACACAGTAGGTCCCTCGATTATCAGGAAAATGCCACCGTGAGTTGATACTCCCCTGTCAAGGCTAATGATGGTACTAACCTATATAATTAGAGCCACTGCCCGCTCCGGATCCAGATCTGGCAGCGCTCTAAATCTAGGGAACAACAAAGTCCGCTTAATCGTCGTTGCCTCGACTATTGTCGCCTTCCTCTACCGTTCTTTAACGCAGCGTTCTCCACTCCTCTTTCTCTCTACCCCACCCGCTCTCCCTAGCACCCACGGCTGCACCATCCACCACCCCACAATCCTCAAAAATTGCGAGGACATCTCACAACTCCCCGGTACGCCCTACACGTTCCTCTCCTGTGATCCTGCCCGGCGAGAATGGTCTCACGCCTTCGGGTCCTACCCCAGCAAGGCTCCTGTGGGTGAAGTCTACCTCTGGAACCATCTCACACCCGAGACCGAGCCAATTCTCATCTCCGGGCATACCTCCCTCGGGGGCGACTTCCATCCCCTAGGTCTCTCTTCCGTTAACGTTACCGACGGGGTCGCCCGCGTATTCGTGACCAACCAGGCGAAAGCGCGCGCGACAATCGAGGTGTTAGATGTGCTACTTGCCACGGGAGAGAGCAAGCACGTAAAAACAATCTCCAACGGCAGCATTCACTCCCCGAACGGTATCGCGGCCTACAACGCGACAAGCTTCTATGTCAGTAATGACATGTTCATGGCGCGACGTTGGTCAACCGCTCTACTCCTGGAAGCAATCTTCGCTATTCCTGGGGGCACAGTCATGTTCGTCTCTGTCCCCGCCGAGGCATTCGCTGCACTTGACGCAGTCGTCGAAAAGAAGCGCGAGGGAGCAAGCGAGATGAGTGTTTCCACGATCGCACGCCTCTCACTCGCCAATGGGCTTGCTTACAACCCGCATGACTCGCGCCTCTATGTTGTGTCCTCCACACATGGAGTCTACACCTACTCGCTCCCCGACCCAAATTTACCCTCATCCGTCCACCCGCATTCCTTCCACCGCACACCGTTCGCGGCCGATAACCTCTTCTACTCGCACACCCAACGCACGCTCTATATCAGCGGCGTGTCATCCCTCTCTGCCATCGCAACATCTATGGTTTCTCCTGCAGCGCCCCATGGTCCATCCTGGACAGTAGAGCTCCTTCCAGAGCTCCAGCGCATGGGACAGGTCGATGAGGGCGTTCTGAAACGCGAGAAGGCGTTCCGCGCAGTGGATCTAGCGAATCGGCCGTTGAGGGAGCAGGAGAGGCGATGGAGGAGTGTGTTTATGGATGATGGGGGGTTCTATGGCGGTGTGAGTAATGGAGGTGTTGTGGATGAAACAGGCAAATTTGTCGCGGTGAGTGTGGTAGGGGAGGGGGTGCTAACTTGTCCTAGCGTGCTGGAGAGGAGGGGCGCTCTAGTCAAAGAAGAGGTTGCGGAGAAAGATGAGTTATAGGTACATGTAGTTTAGTATTTCCTAGGAGTACATGAATTATATTATTAAGCGTATTTATGTGTTTAAAAGAAGGATTGTTAAGAGTCCGTTTTGACGCGAAATAGTGTGGGAACAATCATTGACCATAGCACTGTATCCCTAATCCTACCGAGTAACTACCAACCAGCAACCCCAACAACGATTGCGACCCATCATTGGGGGAGGACTTGACACACTCAAAGTACAATTCGCGGTGGCGAGGTGTCTACCCCAGTGTCATTGTACAGCATTTCTACCGAATAATGTGTCGTTCTAGAGTAGACCTTTTCCGTGATTCATCACACCCTTACTTATTTGTGCTTTACCAGATCACCCTAAGGGTTTCCTTACTATACTTCAAAATCGGCCTTTTGAATTTTCACTACCCAGGCCCTAGATAGGTACATTAGAACCTAGAAGGGCTTTAAGGATAAAACGAACAGTCTGCCAAGACTCTAAATTTATAGGGTGTAGTGGGTCTTGGCAAAACGTAGTCCTGGACAGTGACTCCACACTAGTCCCGACAGTAACTCCCCCACATACTAGAAGCCACGCCTCCATAAGAACGCTACGATATGGGCAACTCCCGTTTCTCGTAGTAAAAAATTTCTTAATCTCCCAATATATAAAAGGTCAAGACGAGGTGAAATTTCGCAAATGGTGGGTGATGATTGGCCCTGCACCCAGGCCGCTACCTACATAGAACGTTAAGGGTGTACTGGAATACTATGCCGGAACAGCCCTTCAATAAAATGATTGTTTTGTTTACTCCGCCCGGGAAAGTACATGTACTCCCAAAGGCAAAAGGTTCCAGGCCAGAGTAGCAGGGAAAAGAGAAACGTAAGGCTTTATTCCGCTCACCAACCTGGTTTGAATTGATAGTATAAATTGAGATGGGGCATCATGAAATGATTCCGGTTGGTAACAAACGGGAAAACCTCCAGTATCTTATATAGAAGGTAATATTTGGTATAGAGCCGTTGGCGTGTACCCTATGTGCTATTTCTTATATATATATATATTGTGGGTTGACGAAAGTGCTCGTGATCCCACGCGTACGCGGATCGATCGGGGTAGTGGGCTAACAAAGAGCCTCAAATGTATTACGAGCTTCACGTGCCAGACGCCAGACCACCGGCACCACAACCACCATACTACTAGCAAAGACGCAAAGTCTCCGGGTCCCGTGATTCTTACCCTAGTCCTCCCACCATGATGCCAGAAATAGCCTATCAAAAAACGGATGGGGGTTAGTACGGTAGTACTAGGTATGTTCATTTGACAAAATTAGGTAGCACTCCGGTAATCAAAGAGTAACGCCGCCTTTCAAATGCTCTATCAATGCTCTACCAATACTGTATTATAGAATCTATGTATTCCCTGGGTTTTGTAGTGTGGGCGATAAATTTATACTACCCTAGTGCTTCCGTATTTCCTAACATACGGCATTGTTGTGGTATTTAGGGCAATGCCATTCCCCCAACCCTGCAATATCACATTTGGCGATGAAGCATTTCAGAATCAAAGATCACCAGATATTCGTTAATCCATGACTCCATCAATTCTTATCATCTTGGGATAGGCTTTACACAATTGGGATATACTTTTGAAAAATAAACTTTAGCCCTTAGGCATACATATACCCGTGATTTTAGATGGTGAATTAGCAATTACATGTACTATTCGATCATGATATAAGCTCGTGGTGATAGTGATGATAGTGATGATGGAGTGGTGGGTGTAGGTCTAGTCTCTTACCATGGGGATGGGCCTAGGTGTGATCCTGGTCCTGGACCTGGTACTGGCACACCGGACCTGGTACCGGCGTGCCCAACCTGCTCCTGGTCACAGAGCTAAAAGATGTCTATATTGCTGTGATAGTGCTACGGTATTGCTACGGTACTGCTACGGTGTTTTATAAAAAATATTTTCCTCAAAATGCCGAAATAATGCCACTATCCTAAAAATACCCTATCATGGCAGCGCTACTGTAGTACTACGGTATTAATCCCTGCCCCATTTTTGGTATTGTAGCTTCCGCCCATATCCAGGTAGTCCAAGGCTCCTTATATCTTCTGCATATGTTTCGATCTATGAGACGCTGGCTGATCATCATGAGCGATTATAATTATTTCTCAATAGCCCAATTGGCCAACCTGACTAGCTATGTACTTCTTATTTTTAAGCATTTCCAAACCGAACTGGGTCTGCATATGGGCGAAAATCGTGCATAACAAACATATTTTGGTGGTATGCAGACCCAATCCAGTCCGGAAACGCCAAAAAATAACGAGTAGATTCTTGATCATGATAAAACCCAAGTGTTTCCCTTCCCCTCCTTTAACCTTCTGATCGTTCGTATTAAGGCACAGGTCATAAATTAATCCTCAGTGAGCAACGGATAGGAGACCCCAAAGTGCTCTTAGTGGCATTCAGTCAATGGCCTATCACAAGATTTGGAGCCTCGTTCCCAAGCTGATCTCGTAGCCAATCATGCATTTTCGCACAGCGACCAACAGAAATAGACCAAGGTACTAGTTCACAAAGTCGATAACCTATGAGTTATGTCCTATCAATCTTCAGCTTTCTAATCACTTAAATATCTCTTCCATATACGTATCTTTTGCAGTTGTGGAGTTATAATCGTTCCATGATCTATCCTCGTATAAAATCACAAGAATTTTTGCCAACCCACAATACTAACAGCAACCTATCAGTATCCAGGCATGCTATTACTATTTGAGATCACGATTCAGTCTCCAAAATAGAACAGAAGAGATCTCGTGAGCTTAGAGTCCCACTGCTAGTAAACATAAGAGCTTGCTTATATTCAACTTCCACGAATATACCAAGAGCTAGCTAGACAGATCTAACCATGATCATAACAGAGTGATCAGAGACCATTCTGTCTAATTTCACGTTGCCAACCCAGCACCACAAGCTGCTCTGCCCTGTACCTACGGGTTATATCATCCTCTAACATATCCTTATCTTTAACAAGCTCTAAGGTCAGAGTAACCTTACTCGGCCCCCATGACAACCCAAGCAAGAATGATTCTTCCTCCATCAATGCTACCAACTTCTCTGACTCCCTGGCCAAACACTCTTTGATTCTAAATCACACAGCAGGGATAGAGTAAGCAGCCGCATCTTCAAATAGGGAATACACTTTAGGTGGGAGGTACCGGTCGATCTCATCCTTAATACACATTTTCATGTTTGAATCATCTATGTTCGTAGAACCTAGTACGAGGGTTGAATAATCGACTTGTGGTGCACATGGAATCCCGATGCAATAGAGCTCTTTCCCCATTGATAATGGACTGGAATTCATATCCGGGGTTGTTGGCTCCCAATTGAGCGTCGGCGGATTAAGTGCAGGAAGCGGCAGCGGTAGTGGTTGTGGGAGGATATCACCGGCTTTGTCTATATAGCTTTTCTCGGACGCTGGGAGAAGAGGTGCATCAAGATTTTGTGGGACAGATAGGTTAACACTATATTGAGTGTGTAATGGGGTAACATCCCTATCTAATAGACTAGGTATTGGTTCTGGCGTTGAATACTCGATACCCATTCGTGAGGTGTCGGTGGTAGCTTAGATTAAATTTTGTTAACAGTGTAGAAGAGACCAACTATAGTAAATACATACCCATATCACGATTGTTGATCGGGAGACCAAGCCCTTTCTCTTCTCTACGGTGCCTCCATTTAGCACGTTCAAGTCTTTCCTCGGTAATGAGTTGACCACCGAGTCTGAACTCTGTTTTTTTGCCATGTCGAGCCCGCGTTTGTTGAATATCTAACATCGCATTAACTTTAATTTTGGGTAAATATTTTACCAAGCCCCATTTCTTTATTATTGCCTTGCATTGTTTTTCGCTAGGAGACAAAATTAGTTCCTTTCTATTAACTATACTCGCATTATAGGGATATTATACTTTGCAAAGAACCCGTAACTCTCCGCCATTATCTGTCTTACTTTCTCGAGTCCAAAGCCCTCGGTGATGTATAGCCTTGTGAGGTTTTCTTGTTGCTTGTCCCACTCTTCTGCTGTAATAACTCGCTTGGAGTCTTGATATTTTTTTTCCCAGCTGGCTTGCGGTTTTTTGGTGCGAGTTTTCATGTTCGGAATTTTGAGATACGTGTATGTTACTGATTTAAATCGTAATGTGTATGATATATAGCTAGGGTATGAATATTGATGAAGCGCGAAGGAGGCTCGTTGTGAAGAGGGGACTCTTTAATTATATACGTTGCCCCACTAAGATACAGTAAGATCGAACCCGCGGTAACGCGTACCGTAGATTATAAAACTAGAGGAGAGAAGAGACCTTAGACGAGACCTGCGCTTCAATCCGGTGATGTACAACGACCAGAGGAATAATATGATCCCTGCATGCATAGCTGGAGGTAACCGTTCGTGTGACAAAGATAAAGAATATCGTAGGAAAGGCGACTGCTTCTCCCCCCGGGCATACTGGCGCTGCACGTCGTAAACCTCGAAAGTGCCATACAGGTCTTGGCAGCTTGATGTCATACTTTTTTACATGCCATGATCTCAAATTACCCCAAACCCAACTCCCCAAACTCCCCACTCACGCTCCCACTCCCACCCACTACCACCCGCGATTCGAATCGCACTATTCATCGTAGAGTGAAATTTAAATATGACCAGATACATGTCCGGCCGTGGAACTATTCTACCACTGTGCTACCACCTGCATGTACTTTATACTAAATGTATATAGTCTAGCCGATATGTTATAGCAATTGCCTCGAGCTCTTTATATGTTCGAATTTTTATGTAGGTAAATACATGTATGTACATAAGCATTCCAGAATCAAATTCAATTAAGCTACCTAGTACATCTTACGCACAGAGATGCCCAATCCCTTCCTCTCTATGGTTCTATATGGAGATACTAAATTTGGGTGTTGTGTTTGAGGCGTGAGGTCCTCCGAATTAATGCCGCCTCAACTTATTGCGCCCTAGTCCCGCAGTTAATGTTTCCCGCAACAAAAATATATGAAGAGGATATATCGATATACACTATAGAAAATTATATACATTTCTAAAAGAATGCAGCTCAAAGGCCGGGTTCAAAAATATGTTGCCAGTATTTGCATAATTACGGATATCCAGTACCGCAAAACCCCAGGAATAACGATTCGGACTGGGCTGGAATACCACTTACCTATTGGTCAAGACGACCAAAAGCTACGCTTTGGGTCTGTCGGATTGAGGCTCAACAAGCATTTGACCAATCCGAAGCACAATATTCCAGTCCAGTTCGATTCGTTATTCCTGAGATTTTGCGGTATGTAGGTATGTACTGCGTCGGCTTATATGCAGTACGCGTACGGATAGTGGATGCCGTGTGCTGTTCATCCCGCCACAACCTGTCTAAGTGGACAATTATAAATGAGACGGACGAGTTTTTGGCGTGTGACTTGTAGTTCTTTTTGACCTGATCATGATCAAGTGTATATATATATACAATAGTGTATATATACTTGTGTACTTAGGACAGGAATAAAGTACCGCTGTACCGGACAATGCAGGCTTTTGGCTTATAAATGGGTGCATGTTCTAGGCGTGAACTACTTCTTGCATTGTCCAGTACTTTTTGTCCGCCCTGACCAGTGATAATTTTTCGTCATGAACCCTAACTAGTGATGGGCACGCGCGAGACAAGTTTTCTCGAGACTTTTAGCAAGAGGAAACGAGGCCAGGTCCAGAGGTCGAGATAAATCTGACCTTAATTAGCAGTTTTCCCAGCCCTGTGGTCACATGACGAAAAGTCTCGTAGATGAGGCAGGTGATAGGTCCCTTGCCTCGTGCCCACCACCAACCCTAACCCCGCCACCGCCTACATGGAACTTGGGTCGTGGAGGGTACATGTTCAAATCGGAAAGTGATATTAATCTAACCCTTCATCCAAAGCCTAATCCAGTGAAGAAATCAGTCTGTACTAACTCGTGCACAGGCCAAGTGAATTAAACAAACATGATTGGCTCAAGACTAAATACAGGCGTGATGTACATGTGCGTCCGAGAAAACAAAACTCTTCTACTGTTTTTGTTTATTACCTGTATTGCGTAATAGACCCCCCGAGTGATTTATAACAGAGCCTCCTGCTCGTTACCCCACTCTTTATTCCAACCGTACATAAGCATTGAGGTGCGGCCCGTACACATGTTACACATGTTAGGAAAATATTGCCTTGCCATAATTAACCCTTCTTGGTAACCGCATACAGTCCGTTACAGTTTCTGGTTCCTGTACGACTTCTAGCCATCATACCGCAGAATCTCAAGAATAACGAATAGAACTGGGCTGGAATACCACTTACCCATTGGTCAAGACGACCAAAAGTTACGCTTTGGGTCTGTCTGATTGAGGCTCAACAAGCATTTGACCAATCCGAAGCACAATATTCCAGTCTAGTTCGATTCGTTATTCCTGAGATTTAGAAACCGAACTAGAATCAACCTACATACGCATCAGAATATTTTCTCATTCCGCGCGCAAGAGTGCGGGATGAGACGATTTCTTGTGTCTTAGCTCTCGGGGAAGTAATTTGAGTTAACCTAACTGATGGAACCTTCCGAATTGCGTGGATCCAGCCTAACTGCAGGGGGAGTTAGAAGGAAACGATTTCTTCTACATGTGGAGAATTTATTGCAAAACCAGCTACAAACTATACGTATTGCCACATGTCCCAGTACCTATGTATATACCATATCTACTCGTCTCATATCTTAGGTAGACATGATTCTCCTCAGGAAATAGCCGAACCGAGCACCTGTGGTTACTCAAAGACGGAAACTAGAGCATGCGCAGAATTCTAGAAACCGAGACATCCTTTATAGTGTTGTCAATTCGTGAGGCTAAAGCTCTCCAGTTCATGGATTATATCACTCCAGCTCCACGGGTGAGCTCGTCCATATCCAGGTATGGACTAAGCTAAACCCCGCAAAGAAGATGTGTTTAAAAGATGGGAGATCGATCGTTGTGTACGTGTAGGGAGAGTATAATATACAATACACTACATAATATAGGTACTCTACCTTTCAGATTTCTGTAGGCAGCTCCTGTGGTCAGCTCTGTACGAAGCGAGTTGCCACCCTTGATCACAAGCTTCGCATTTTAGCCTAAGTGCCATCATTCTGCATACTCGCAAAACATGAGGCATCACGGTCCGTACCGAATCCTCGGGATCTTGGCAATACGGGTACACCATACTGTAATTTGGGTGCAGGGGTACTCTACAGCCGCTTAAGCTTGTGAGAGGGGGGTAGGAGGATTAGGTAGCTATGGAGTTGAACAAGATCGATTTGGAGGCGTTGTATGTAAAAAGCACTCGAACTACGGCGAATCTAGTGACGCACACAACACAAAACAAGACGAGACTTCCATTATCTCGTCTCGTCATGCATCTGGAAAGAGCGGGCCGCGGGTCTTGTGGTTAAAGAGACCTGGGGTAGGTATCGCGAAAATTCTCGAGAACGCAGCTCGAGCACTAGAGTAGACGGTTTCCCTGGCCACCCAGACACCCCCTTCACTCGGACAGTTAAGGTAGAAAAGATAATATCAACGTTTTAAGTGGCTTCTGTACCTCCTCTCCACCATTGACTGGGTGTCCGAGTGGCTAGGGAAGTCGTCTACATCGAGAATTAGAGTTAGGGTTAGGTTTGAATGAATTCTCTACGAAATTTTTTTCGCGATGCATGGATTGACTTTCGTTTACTATCAGACCTCCGCCTGGAAAATGCTCCATTCCTCAACTTTTTTGCCTTGCACGCCTGTACCTACAATAGTCCATTCTTCAACTTTTTTTCTTGCCCACCTGTCTTATCTTCTCTCATGGCGTCCAAAAAAAACAAAGTCTCGAGACTTTTGTCTCGTGTACATGTGCATCACTAGGCAAATCCTTGGGAGAGTGTTAACTTGCCAGGATCTTATTTAACACCCAGGTGCAGAAGTACTCTACATAAAATACAGTACCGTCCAGGTAAAAAAAAAAATTACCCAAATAAACCAATTCCCGAAGCCGGTTCTCGGGACCCATACCCAAGGATAAGTTGGGCTTCCTAATTACGATCTATGTACTGCGGTTGCGGAGCTGTACCGGTACCAGTCCCATACAAAATCTGGTTGCAATGCGTATCGGGCAAGCGGATGTGACCACTAGGACACAGTCGCCGTTTTTCTCATATAGAAAGAGGATTGAGTAAAAAAACGGCGCTCGCGGTATGTCAGTCCAGGACCATATTTTCGTATTAGGGTTAGTGGCCCGTAACGAACTCAGAGCTCGAGTCAAAAACAGCGTCACGAACTCAGCCTGTCATGAACAGCAGTTTTTAACTAGCAATGCCATGAACTAACTTTGATGTCTACTCTAAATTCCCTAACCCATACCAAAATTCGTTTTCCACCACTGACTAGTTCATGACCATGACACCCAGCTTCCCTCAAGCCAGTTTTTAACCAGTTTAAACTGTCTTTCAGTAACTCAGTTTGAAACTTCCGGGCCCCTAATGGGGGCCTCAAATTACATGTAGGTACAGTGGCGGACAGTCAAAACCGACCTCTTGTACCTCAAGCGGGAACAAGTCTTAATCCGGAAGAGATTCTACCCAATTAGGATATTAAATTATCCATTGTCAAATTACATTACTCTATGCCAAATTTTCTAGAGTAGAGGCTATAGGGAGGTAACATCTTGTCTATTTTAAATACCTTCAGTAGGGGTGTTTAGAATAAATAACAAAACTATTTTACAGAACAATTTTCTTTTTCAGCAAGTGTTGCAGCGTTTAAGTTGAAGGATTGTTTAAGGGCCGCACCGGCCCTGACTGCAGGCAGTACTACAACCACGGAGATCTCGATCGATTTCTATTGGCCGCAACTTCCCCATCCGTCAATTTTAACAATACGTCAAGTGACGGCGAACGATTGTAGATCAAAAATTGATAGCCTTCGTAGTCCCCTGCTACCATTTTTTTCGATGGCGTTCTCTCAATTCTTCCTCCACCTCCTGTTTATCGATAAGCGAGTGTAAGTACAGCGAGAGGTGGCTAAAAACAAGGTTTGTATGGCTGGTTAAACATTAGACCACTCACATCTCTACAATCTTACCACTCAACCATCGGCACGATGTGTATGTGCAACGTAAAAACTTTTCTTGTGCAGTTTCCGCGTTAACCCACGTGCCGGGCTACGAAAGATCCTACTACTACGACAACAAAAAAAGTAAAGAAATCCTCTTATATGTAGTCAGTCATACACCGTGCGTAGTAGTCCGTGAGCCGTCTCGAGCCGAGATGGACCGTAAGCTGGAGCTGGCTCGGTTCCTTAAGGCCTTAGACTTACAGAGCTCAAGCCGTAGAGAAAAGCTCATAATATAACCTATAGCCCGGGCCCGTAAATAACCTGCATGGGGTCCATATCGCTTCTTCTAGAGATAGGTTCATATCTCACTTTAGATTGTATGCAATATAAGACTTCCAGCTCGAGGCTAAGCTCGCAAATCGGATAAACTTGGGACAGCTCGGCTCACAGAAGAAAAGGTAGTGTCATTCACATACACATGCTTTTCAATGTCTAACGAGAAGCTTTTATAATAGTTCACAATCCGAGTGACATATCGTGATATCGAGTTGAAATCGGCGGTTCGAATACTGCAGTAACTATGTATCTTAACAAACACATATCTATCTCATAAAAATAGGACAACCCTCTTAATTTATCTTTGCATTCGAGCCCTCATTTGCCAGAGAAATAACAGTCTTCACCGCACTCTCCAGATCATCAAATGCAAACAACGGTAATCCACTTTCACGTATCTAGGTTGCGATCATCAGCATCTTTATAAATAATCTCTAGAAAGTATATATATAAGATAGGAGGACTTACAATCTTCCTCCCCAAATCTTCATTTGTCCCTCTCAACCTAACCACGACTGGAACCTTGACGCCTAACTCTTCGAAGGCAATTACAATTCCTTCTGCAATCATGTCACACATTGTTATTCCACCAAATATATTCACTATTATGGCCTTTACACGCTGATCCTTTAGCAATAACCTAAATCCTTCTTTAACTGTCTCCTTAGTCGCTCTACCGCCAGTATCGAGGAAATTTGTTGGGGCACCACCGTGGTGCACTATCACATCGCATGTATTCATTGATAATCCCGCCCCGTTGACTACATGTACTTAGCGTTAACAAAAAAAAAAAAAAAAACATGCTCGTTTAGGTTAACTTACCAAGTGTTCCGATATTAGCGCCTTCTCCGGGTAGCTTGACATATGCAAACCCAGCCTTTTCTGCCTCTAATTCCTCTTCAACTTCGTTTTCAATATCCCGTAAAGCATGCAAATCTTTCTGCCTTCCTGCACTTCTAAATGCGGCATCATCGAATACGAACTCGACACTCTCCTCCTCGATCGATAGATTACCAGGTGTTACCGATATACTTGCTATGGACAAATTATATGCTTCACGAGTCCTAAAGATCTGCCATAAACTCTCCAGAAGTGGGAATATGTGCTCCAGGGCCCATTCCGGTAGTTCCAAGTGCTTCACAATGTTCTCCGCTGTGTGAGAGAGTGAGTCGGTATTATAGTCAACTGCAAATCCGGTAAGAGACGGTTTACTAGGTGAGCTGACAAAAAAGCACGGAGAGCTGGAGGAGCGATCGATTGTTAGTGAGAGTCCAAATTTTTGCGCAGTGTCTTTTGTGAACGATTCGTGAGCTTCGAGGTGCTCATGAGTGTCTATTCCAGTTTCTTGTAATATGTCGGCAGCTTGGCTCGGTCTGAGATGCAGGCTGCGGTGCTGAATAGGTGAACGGTACTTAAGTGGTCGAAAGCTTGTATGGTAATCTCGTTTCTAGGAAAACGGATTAGCTGGCTATCTTTTTGGGCGTGAAGGGGAACATATTCAAGCCTACCTGCACAGTCCGACCCAAGATTCCAAGATTACCTGCACTATGAACTTCTGGCACGAAGCCAAGAAGTTTTGCCATGCCTGGCCCAAATTGTGCTGGATCTTTTACCATAACGACCCCCGCCGACTCGAGCTACGACCCCAGCATAATTAGCAGTGTCAATAATCAATGTTAATGATAAAATACAACATACAGCCTTAATCTTATCACTCGCACCAACATCTCCCACTCCCCGAATGGCTCCTGCGTGACCCATTACCCTCCCTCCTAGTGTTGTGACGCCACCAATAAGTCCCATTACGGGCTTTCGCTCCCCCTTCCAACTACTCAAAATATCGGCCACCTCGAGCTCGGTATTTCCACCAACTTCACCAATGATAATGATACCCTTGGTGTGTTTATCCTCAAGTAGCACTTTAACTCCATCCACGAGAGTTGTTCCAGCAAGCCAGTCACCGCCTACGCCAATAACGAGAGATTGACCAAGATTTACACGTGTTGTAGAGGATACAGCCTCATAGGAAAGAGTCCCAGACTTGGCCACGATGCCGATACACCCAGAGGAAAAAGAAGGATACGGCATGAAACCGATACGGGTACGGGTATGTGGGTTGATTATTCTGAGGCGACTGTCAGAAAACGATACGCAGTAATGATTACAAGTTGAAGCCTACCCAGGAGAATTTGCCCCTATGAGCCTGGTTTTTGATTGTGTTTTAAGCATACTATGAATCTAACTCTTTTGTCAGCCTGTCCATAATTGATTTTAAGACAAATGGAAAGATAGGACGGACGCCAACTCAAACTCATACCTCGAGGATATCATGAACAGGAACGTGTTCAGCAACTGCAACTACTAGCGGGATTTCAACTTCAATTGCCTCCTTTATGGCATTGGCCGCGTACTGTGCTGCTACGAAGACAGCCGTTGCATCTGGCTTCAAATATTTCATGGCTTCTGTCATTGTTGGAAACAGGGGAAGCCCTAGATGAGCCCCCCTCTTATTAGGGCTCACACCGCCTACTATTTGAGTACCATAGTCAAGCGATTGCAGTGCATTTGCGGTTGCCTGAATTAAATCAGTACTTATAACATATGCGAGCGCCCTCCAAGAAAATAGACTGGGAGATGGAGGAGGAGGGAGCAGTTCTATATAAAAGAGTGTTTTTCTTACCTGCTTTCCTAAAACGCCAAACAAAAATTAGATAACTTGTTTCAATTGATCAAATTGGAGCTGTACTGCTGGTTTCCATGATATAACGCACGAACCTGTGAACCCTTGATACATAACCCTCGTAGACGCACCAACCTTCAAGTTCCCAAGCGTCTTTTCATATTTATCATTTCCCCCTCTGTAGATCAAGGGAACCTTTGGCTGTGTAGTTGAATAGCTGCGGGCACCGACGGACAAGCGGGAGACCACAGCCCGGTGCTCAAAGAACCTCTGCATTGTGCCAGCTTTCCACAAGGGATCTATAACCCACAACTAGATACCGTAGCTACTAACGAAACCAGTAGATGTAGCAAATAGTTCACGATCAAGCGTTTAGGGATGGAAATCTGCCGTATCTCTTCTATATGCGGTGTAATCGAATCGTATAACCCAACTGTCGTTGAATGAAATGGCTGTATGGAGCTCAATTGTCAAATGACAACTGTGCTTTACGTCTTTGGCCAACTAGATGGAGATAAATGCCGCAGTGAGATGGTGTACTTGCCAAAATAAAAAAGTGCTTTCTTTGATGCCTTACCTCTACCAACAGCTAGCACAAAAGCAATTCGGCAACGGCATGTTGTCAGGATGCCAAGCGTTGTGGAGAGAAGCCGAGATCCGGGGTATCTTGACAACGCTTATTTTCTCGCTTCAGACCCCTGCTGGCAGCAGCATCACACTCTCCCCTAACCCTACCTTTATTACCAGTAAGGTGAAGCATATGTAATCCGTATAGCACCGTCTTCCTCTTATCTGTATCTGTTTAACTTGAGCATAAATACTGCAACAGATGCGCTGATTTCTGTACATTTTCTAACAAAACTCATCTAACCTGGTTACACGGCTTAAGCTCAACCTCACCTCAAGTCAATGCGGTGAATCCTTAGCTCGTGCGAAGTTTTTGGTCGGATTCAAATTTGAACTCTCTTTTTCTCACGACTTAAGATCCCAAAATCCTCCTCTACGCTCCCTCTTCTCTCTTGTACCTATACCATTCTGTATTTCAACTTTACTTGTCCGCAAAATGAGCACAGGTATTCCATTTCTTTCCTCCTACCAACTTCAGCTAACCGTGGTTCCAGAACTCTCAGACAGTTTAAAAAAGCTCTCGCTCGCACAATCTGCAAAGACTCCCGCTCAGAAAAAGAAGAAGCTCGTGGTTGCCGACTCCTGGGAAGATGAAGAAATATCCGACGACGAACCAGTAGAGACTCCCGATAAAGTCCCATCACCTCCGCCGCCCACCCCTACCACGCCCCATTCACTCGGCCACTCACAGGATAGCTCGAGTGTATCCTCTATTGCCAGCCCACGAGGCTCCTCAAGCGCCCCTCGCGACAGTTACATTGAAACACCCGATGCACTCTCACGAGATGGGTCCTCAGCTAGCAGCGAGAGAACCGTTAGACCAAGAACGACAGATGCGGTAGCCAGAAGACTGATTGCCGGAGCACTGGGTGTGAAGTCAAAGAGCACAAAGGAGCAAAGGGAGTACGATGCTGCTGTACGAGCGGCTGAAAAGAAGAAGAGGGACGCGGAGCGAGAGAAGAAGAAGACTGAGGAGGCCGAGAGGGAAAGACTCAGGACATCAATTTGGGAAGATTAGAAATGAAATTGTGTGGGGATCATTTGCGTTAAAGGACCTGGGTTGTTTGCTTTTTGTTTGTTTCTTTAAGGAACAGGGTGTTTTGTTTGCCTTGTTAATCACCATATATTGGTTGGCTAGATGCTTTAATTGTAGATCTTTATCTGTGGGAGCTCACCCACACCGAACCTATCAATCTTGAGGCGCCATGGAGTCTTTTGGCCCGTGGATGCAACTGTAGCTGTCCCTAATCCGTTGTAGTACGTTACAATTTTAAAAAGGAAATGGGTACTGCTCATCGTTGACCCTTCTATCGTTCTTATTATATCCAGAAGGAATCTTGAGCTCAGCTCCATTATAGACATGTTCTTGGCCATGAGTGCTCTGATCAATTCCTCAACGGCCTGGTGGATGAGCGCCCTTAAAGTGTCGAGGTTCACTATAGTATGTAAACATATTTAATCAACAGCAGTTGAAACACGGAGAAATTTAGCCTTAGAATTCGTTCCGCCTCATATACGCCCATGTGAAGTTATATTAAAGTACAAGTAGTTTCCGGCCTTCGGCCGGTACTATATGTATATCAATCAGTCCAATATACAGGCAAGCCGCTTTGCGGCTTATTTGTCTATTTGCCTGTCAGTCGGGGCTCTCAGGCCGCTGCGCGGCCCCCGACCCCTCCTAGCAGGCAAAGTCCATCACTATATCTAGATCTGATCTGGTCAATATGTGACTTTTCTGATATATTATCCCCATATATCAACGGATAAGTCAGACAATTTCTCCAGTTAAAACTACAGGTATATCCCTTTAACAGCTACCAAACTGCTAAAATCGAACCACTATCGATTCCCAGAACCAGTAGAAACCCTATTAACACTCTAACACCACTCAGCACAATACCCTATGTTATCCAACACAACATGTTTCAAGTGAAACAAAAACATCTCTCAATGAACCAATCAGAAGACTATAAAAGCACATTGCATATGCAGGTTATAATTATATACTTATTAGATGTGTATACACACATACTACGAACACCAGGCTACTCTTAGGAACAAGACAATAAACGGTTTGCATCGACGCTAAGTACAATGTTACAGTACTGCAAGCTGCGAAATATCTGGCTTTCTGGATTTCCGATTCATGCCTCACGAAAACGTTCGCAACTTTCAATGTTTCCTTCATTCATAGGACACATCTACAGACCCACGTTCCAACACGACACAGGAGGTTTCCCGCGACTTTGTATCTCGCCTCGGTCCGAGTTACAGTACTTACTCCCAAAAATATAGTCACTGAGCTCATCAATATAAGATATTCATTCAACTTTTCAAATATTTAGGTACATAGCCTTCATTATAACATTAGAAATCGTGTCTGCCTTTCTACAAGATCTCCGACTCTCTATCGACATACACCTCATAAATTTTTATGCTATATGTATTTGTGCTTTCCTTATTAAGAAAATCTCTACTGCTAGCTTTCGCGTGACCACATATATGTAGTGACTCTTCATAAGCAATGCGTGGCACAAGATCCCTTTCGCAACATGAAAGCTTTACTTCCTCAACGGCCACAACTCACGCTCTTTCATCATATGGCCCACCGCTAGAGCCAAACATCACATCGGGGTATATATACTCAGCAAGCAAAATCGACACCCCATGGGTTAACTTATAATAGTGCTAATCTTCGCAAGTTATCAAACTAACACGTACGCTCTTTATCGGCCTGTAGATACGCATTCCTTTTCTCCGGATCCCAGTTAGAGACATTGAGCTTTTTCGACAAGTTATATCTTCGATATCTTCAATTGTGCCACCATCTATTTCACAACAACATAAACATAAACGGCCCCAAACCAGGCTTTCACAAAATGTGGTTTTGTACCAAGACTCGAGTGATTTCTCATGATGTAAATTTGGGTTTGATACATTAATTGATTAATTCAGGTAAATGCAGCTCTCCAGCGCTAGCTATAATAACTTTGGACACCATGGTCACAATGTCTGCCGAGGTTGGTGAATTCAACATCCAATCCCGTCAACGATCGGCATACAAGTTACTTCCATCTTGAAAGATGCGATACGAGGTTCCTTCAGGTACGTTCTTCTCTTTCATTTTTTTGACCCAGTTTCAAAGCTACAGCTTGTCATCTTTGAAGAACGTATCCTATATAAAAGCCCCACAATTCGTGTTTTAAATCTTCATCGCCATACCTAGACACAAAACCGCATCCATAACTATAACTACAACCTCACGATATTAACTCACAGCTGCAACTAGCTTCCTTCAGTTACACACCACCATGCAGCCCACCAACACCCAACACACCCACATCATGAATCCCCAACTCCGCATCACCACCACCCTCCCCGCCCCCACCACCGCACCTCCCCGCCCCACCCCGCTCGCCACCGCCCGCCTCGCCGTCTTGCACTTCTGCCAATCCTTCCACGACCTCAAGACCCGTCATTTCGCTTTCCGAGCCCATCTCCAAGAGCGTCTCAACTACAATATCTCCTTCCACCACTACTGCGTCGTTGAGCAGCTGTACAGCGAGGACGTGCTCGGCCAGATGCACGCCAACAACGTGACGCTGTTTCGGAACTTTGCGGAGATGCGGCGCATGTGGGAGGTGAGGGAGAGGAACCTCTTGGAGAGGTTGGCGGTACTTGAGAGGGCGGTGTGGAGGTTGGAGATTGAGGGTTTGCAGATGAGGGACTAGTATTGTGTGGTTTTAGGCATGCATATTGCGCAGTAGTACTGATGTCTAGATCTAGCTCGCGATTGTTAGCGGTACTAAAAAAGATAAGATAAAAGACTAGCTTATCAGCAGTACTGAAAAAGATAGGATAGAATTAAGACTAGGTAGTCGGCATTACGGCCCTACGGATGGGCAAGAACAGGGCTTAATTTCGGCCATCATTATTTAGGAGCGAAAAAATTGAATCCATTCACCCGGCCCGGCCGGCCAATACTTACAAGCATTCCCTCCTACATTTGGTTTAGTCGACCAAAAAGTCTGATCTCGCCAGTTTAATTTAGCCTAAGTGACTTCTAGTTATTTCCCAACCACAACCTAACCCAGCCGGCCGGGTCTTCGCCGCGGTGAAATGGGTCCCGAGATAGTTCACACACGCGTCAACGGTCCCTTCTTCCCTCCCTCCCTTCTTCGTGTCAAGCGAGGGGGGCCACGTTGCGGGCGGGTGGAAATTTGATATCCGGGGAATTGGGGCCGGGTTCATGGGTTGTCACTCGGCTGGGAACAGTATCCGTCTACTCTATCTATGCCTTAATTATGTAGTGTCCCTGGATTTTATTAGAGTAACGTCTGCTAGTGCTGTGGCTACACAACCCGGACGCAATCCGTGTAATATTTTCGAATAGACGTTTGTGACCCTCCGGCCGCGTAGAGACTGTTAGATACGCGTGTTTAGCTCACGTCACGTGTCGAGTACGCGAAGCAGTATACATGTGATTCGTACCTGAAATACATGTAATTACATGTGCGGAGTAGAATACATGTAGACATTTGTTTATCGGTACCATGTGAATCTTCGTTCATGTGCGCTTACTGGGATTACAATATGATCATCTTTCCATTCCATTAGGAGACGCCTTTAAGTTCTAGAAAACATTCTATCAACGTTACCGAGTGACATCGTATGATTAACGATACGAACGCCCTATATGAGATTCTCTAGATCGAATACATAGCTGATATCTCGAACCAACATAAACGGCGCCCCCCCCCCCCCCCCACGGAGAGGCTTTAAGATGTTCTTTTTCCTTTCATACTTGGTTTGAGATTGTCCCATTCCGTGACGTGGTGAATCCCCTCCGCGCGAGCTAGCATCGACATTCTCCTTTGAGGTTCCCTATCAATTCTCAATTCGTCCCTCAGAACTAGGCCTACTTCCTTTTTCAGCATGAACCACTCGGGGGTACGTCGACTTTAGGTTGAATAGACACATCAAACTCAGCTCAAACAGTACCTGGATCGATACGGTAGATCGAAATGGGCAAGTCAGACTGATTACTTATTGTCCTGCATTGGATCCAGCACAACCTGCTACTGCAGGAACTTGTTAATATGTATGAAGAGTAGGAGGCCGGTAGAGTATGGGGTTGGCCCTGGTTGGGGGGCATGCGGCATGCACACCCCACTGCAGCTGCCGTAAAGCAAAGCGCGTTGTTATTTGATAGACGACCAGAAAAAAAAGGCACATATGTGAAATCAGTCAGACATATGTCCACCATTGGAAGTTCCCCCTAGTTCATTACTCTACTACGGCATTTCGTGAGTTCCACGCAATTCACCACTGACCACCCTTAAGCTTGAGCTTGAGCTGCTGTTCTGCACCAAGCACGACATTTCTTTTCTGCCCTCGACCCCATAGTTAGGTTCTGATCTATTTCCCCTCTAGCACTCCCGAGAGTCCCAAAGAAAAACCCACACTGACCGCTCTCCCAGCTTGGCGCAACCGGCTCTCCCACTCCCGCTAAATTCCAGGTTAATGGGACCAAATGCACTGACATTATCTCTTTCCCCTACCTCGGGAATGACGACCCACGAGCTTGGGGATTGGAGCTGTTTCGTTCTTCATTTCAATCCCAGCATCGTGACCCAGCTAGCTGGGGGGAAGGAAGGAAGAGGACAATGTCCAATGTCCCACGGAGATTGTTTCTCCCACTCTTCTCTACTCTATGTGCCCCCCCGGGTTTACGCTAAAAGGGTCACCTACCTGCTATTTAATATATCTGGAGTTTTGACCCATTTTTGCGACGGGACCGGGATGACTAGTTTCCATGCCACCGGAAATCCTGTCGGACCGTCCCATCCCATCCCATCCCATGCCTATCCATGCCCATGCCCATCGTTTCTGACCCCAAGCGTGGGAGGGTAGAAGGCACGGTAGAATGAGCTTAATCACCAATGTAGGTACCAAATGTTTTCTTACCAGGAAGATTGAGGTCGCAGTTTGAGTAGAGTACTTAGTTTGCTCGCTCCCCCCCACGGTGGTTGTGTAACATTAACAGCTCGCGCTAGGGTACCGATAGCTAGCTGGGTACCCTAGCTAGAGAACATCGGGAACATAGAGTAGAGTATTCCCCCATCTCAGTCCCCTTCCGTATGTCTCGCCCGTCCGGCCGGGTTTCCAACTACGGCGCATCGGTACGGTGTGGTATCTGTGTAGTAAGATACAATATCAAATATCATAATTATGATATGTACCCGCTACTCTAACTACACCATGTAGAGTGTATGTACATACCCAGCTAGACTAGAGTAGTAGTAGCGCATGAGCGACATGATCTGAGCTGGCCAAAGCCTCTAGCACGAACACGCACTGCTGCTTATCCTAGAGTAGAGTAGAGCTGAGTAAGTACTCTACTCTACACACGTAGAGTACATATGTAGAGTACGCCCCAATTGCAATGCATTGCAAATCTGGTCGTCAGCTAGGGCACGAATATACGGATCGCAAAGTGGTATTTCCTTAACCCGGTAGAGCCGAATTAGGTGGGGGTTGTCCAGCTATATGTAGGTACATGTATGTACTAACTCTAGATACATGTAGGTACATGTAGGGATGCGACTGCTCTAAGCAGAGTTATTGGGGGCGATAGTCGAAGTGTAAGCGCGCGCCCCACTGCCACTGCCACTGCCACTGCCACTGCCACTGGTACTCTACTCTGGTGGGTGCTAGCTAGAAGAAAACTGTTACTGTAGGCGCCTATGCAAATTCCCAGCCACGCGCAGAAACCTAACCCTTGACACCACGCTACATCCCCCAAAGAAGAACAGATCGCGTTATTTCTTATATATCAAATAAAATAGCAGATTGTCCCTCCACTCCCATCTAATGAACACTCCACACACGCAAAAAGGACTACGATGAGTACATGTACTGTCTTCACTCTCCAGCTGTGCTTATTTAGCTAGCTAGCTAACCGGCGAATTTTCAACCCCAAGCCTTTAATTCTGATGGGCCCGGCAGCGGCGGTCATTGTGGGGGGTGATAGCTACGTATATTGTAACGCATCAAACTACCGCTGTATCGATCTCGAACGATAAGAAGTTTGAGTCTATGGACAATAGAGAGGTTCTGCAGGCAGTATACATACATGCATCCATGGCAACAGCAGGGGTTCAAGCTCCAAAGGTAATGCGAGACATGGGGTCTGCAAAGTATGTATCAATAGGGGTTACACGATGTTAGTGAAGAGGTCAGTCTGTACTAACTTTGTGCACAGGCCAAGTAAACGAGCAAGATGATTGGCTCAAGACGAAAACTTCACCAAATCCAGGCATGATATGCATATATGCTCCCGAGAAAGTGGGAGTCCACCTGCAAACCCTCTCTAATAGGGTGGTCAATGTGGAGAAGGAGGGCAAAGTGTCAAACACCCAGATGACGGTCCTACAGGAGAGGGTTAGCAATCTTAGTGCGAAAATCAACAATCTTGGTACGAGGATTGACAATCTTGATTTGAAGGTTGAGCAATCAAGAGCAAGCTCAGCCGCGTCGACCAAAAAGTGGATCTCACGCTCAACATCCTGTTTGGACAAACCATTCTGAAAGCTATTAGTGGCGACAGAAAACAACTACGTGATGTTTTACTCATGATCGAGGAGTTCGGCGAGAAGTCGTTAGTGAGGTGGTGAGGATTACGGTTCGGTGGGGTCAAAAAGGGAACGGGTTAGTGGCCCCATCACTCTTTCAACTACACAAGACCATCGGCCAGAGACTGACTAGAATCGGGGTGTCAGTTCTTCGTGTTTCCCGTGGGCTTACCAGCTGTTCGCTGCAGAATTTCACTGGCCCACTAGTGCGTAGGGGTTTTACCACTACAAAGACAATTCACAGCACTTGTCGGGTTATATATACTGACTCGGTGGCTAAGTGGAACCACATCCATGTTGGTCAGAACTCCCCGAAGTCCTCTGCTGGCCCTGCTCAGTCAGCATACGTTACCTGGGAGCGTTTTCTTTTATAGGTAAGGTGGGTTCTAAACTAGTCTTTGGAAACATGACATCGTATTAACGGTTTGTCAGGACGAGACCATTATGAAAGGCCAGCTAGGCGAGTTGATATATGTATTTCTGAGCATCGCAAGGTGGTCAACTTGCTCGTTGTATCCTTGGTCGAACAAACGGAGGGAGCTGGAGAGTGGTACGACCTGTGGGGCTTTTGGTCAGGAATGACCAAGCTTTCTGTACTTAAATTAGAACTTTGATTCTGATCTTTGAAAGTTTATCTAATCTCTTTGATCTCATCTACCAGTTAATCTCAGACAGGGGTCTTTCCCGAAGCGTAAGCGAAGGATTGGGGAGACTTCATAGACGCTAGACTGCCGGCAAGTGGCAACCGGCGCTTGAGCTGGTGCCAGAAGAAAACTGCCAGGGTGTCGCTAGGCACCTTTATGATTCTCCTGGTACCAGATATCAGTCCAAGAATTACGCAGTGATTCAGTCTTATGTTAGGGGATTTCCTGGCACCGGTCTGAAATCTACGTTCAAGCCACGCTGGAACCCCGCCCTTTCTCTGAAAGGCTAAATGACAGGCAGTAGACTAAAAGGATATGAATGACCCGGCTCCCTCCACGTCCCCACGTCTCGAATGGGAACGCATTTACTTTTTCTTCTCTTCCTTTCTCCGGGGCTCGGTGATGTTTCGGCAACCCGTGGGTGGGGGAGCAAGGGCCTCACGGTATACCATAAGGGTAGATATCGATATAGTCCGCGGCGTTGGACACTTCAAAACGGGCCGCTAAATCACAGATCGCGAGGACCTCCACGTAGGTGCTAGCACATGGGAAGGTCACGTCCATATTGGGTGCTCATTATGGAGGGTCACGTCTACTCTTGGGGATTTTTCCCCCATGAGTGGGGAGGAGTGGGGGGAAAGAAGTAGAGCGTGTCAAGGGGATTTAGATCGCGATGTCTCCTCGGACAAATACCGATATCCAACGGGCCAGACAGCTACATACATACATGAGAAGACCTGATTAGGAAGGCTCGAGGAGGAAAAGAAAACAAACATTTTGAAACATCAAACCCCCACACATTCACCATCCCCCACGATTTTGTACCTAATACGAGTGATATCTTGTGAATTTCATTTATCACTGGATTGGGGGTTGTTATTTGTCCGTTTTTTTATTTTTTTCATTTTTTTTTTGGCCCGATCGAGAGGGGGGGGGGGGGGTTAGGGTATCTTGTGATTTCTGAGACTGAATCTCCGAGCATTGTTTTCGACCATAGCAATTTATATGGTTATGAGACCGCATGTTGATTGATATATATCGCAGCAGAGTGTACATGGATCATGTTGATGAAACACACGAGGTACATCACACCGAACCATTCGCTGGGAGGGCTCAAGCCTGGAAGTGGTGGAAGTGGTGAGAACGAACCATGGACCTGTTTTATTTCATTTTTGCGGGAGGGAAAGCTGTGACTAAAGTTTTCAGACTAGGTCATCCAGTTGGGTGGCTAGGGGGGCACTGGTTGGGAGGCGCACGGTGGTAGTCGGTGGGGGAGGAGGAGAGGGGCGCGGAGAAGGATTGGAGGGAAGTGTATGGCTATCTTGGTACTCGCAAAGTAGGCAAGTAGGCATTTTGCTGCCTACCTTGCCTTTTTGCTTTAATTACTCCAAAAAGAAAATATATTTGTGGGGGAGAATTAGAAGCCTTGGTAAGCTTTGACCACAACACCAGGAATTCAGGATGTGGATTAGTTATGGTATATCGCACTAAACCCCTGGACGGTAAGCAGGGTTCCCGAATGGGATGTGAGGTGCAATTAATGTAAGATGGCCAAATTACTAACCGGCCTTGGTCGGTGTGTTTATATCAGTGTCCCAGCGTTTAACTGGGTGTTTGTTTCTTGGTACCTCCTGGCACCCGGGCCATGGTTCACCTATGATAGCTACCCTGGCTCATCTTGCCCATCTGCTTGCTCATCTCATGTCAATCAGTCGCAATTTCATAGGCAGAGAGTTGAAGTTAACCACTCTACCGCAGTACTTGGTTGACGACGACACCCCATGATGGCTACGACTACGGAAACGCCTCGCGCTCGGTGGTGGTTCCGTGATCCAGGTAAGGGAGCAAAAGCCAATCTCTGCTCGTTCTTTACCTATCACCCTCAATCAATCCCGTGCAGAATTCGCGCGGTGAAGAGAATCCTCGCCGACCACATTTTTTTATTATCGCAGTGAGGTGATTGTGATGGGATGTGATGTGCGAAAACGCAAGCCAAAATCACATTCCCTAGCTACCCGTACCCAAGAAACATCCATTCAAGCTTGTCGAGTGGGTTTGGTTGTAGACTTGAAAAAAAAGCGGGCAACCCCCACGAAAGCACCCCTTTTTTTCTGCCATTTAATTCCTATTTTCGTATTTATCTCTGTTTATCTATCTTACTCGGGGACATCTCGTGAGAGCTCACTCGGTCACAGGGCCGGAATAAAACTCTCATTGGTTCCTTTGATACTCACCGCAGGAGATGTGAATTGTAGTGCTTGAGTGGAGAGATAGGACTTTTTGAAACAAAATGAAGGCAGTAGCGAAGGAGAGAAAGACATTTCCCCACGAGTGCGAGTGAAGGTAGGTATGCGATTATCAACATGCACATGACGGCTTAATCCGGTCGACGAGTAGATACATACGCTTTTTCTTTTTCTTTCCTTTTGTCTCTCGCATGGGGAAAAAAGTAGGCAAGAAAAGTAGGCAACTGAGATTATGTTTCGCTCATCGCCTCCACCCCCCCCCGGCATCACTCTGTTGGTACTAGTCCTTTAATTCCCAGCGCCACAGCTATGGATCAGGTCCGCGATACCTAATTCAAACAACCGTCCTCTTTTCTAATTTCAATAGGCCCTTCTCCTCTAGATAATCCACGATGATCTTGACCGCTTCCTCAACGCTCACTTTGTCTGTCTCGATCCTAAGTTCCGGGTTCTCGGGCGCTTCATATGGCGCAGAAATCCCAGTGAAATCTTTGATTTCACCAGCACGAGCCTTCTTGTAGAGTCCCTTGGGATCGCGAGATTCGGCGACCGCAATGGGGATATCGATATGAATCTCGATGAAGGGGATTGATTCGTGGACCCTCCGGGCTGCGGCACGGTCCGCAACGTATGGGGAGATAAAAGAGGTGATTGCGACTGTGGAAGCGTCTGCAAACAGCTTGGATACCTAGTATAATCGTGGCTGTTAGCAACGGTGATCCTTGTGAGAGGGCTGTGGTGGCTGCCATGCTGATCATGGTGGTGGTGGTGGTGGTGGTGGTGGTGGTGGCGAATGCAAAAGGGGAGCGGGAGCGGGGGCGGGCACTAAGCTGCGGTGAACAGGTAACCTACTTCAGCTATGCGGCGAATATTCTCGTTGCGGTCCTTCTCGGAGAAACCGAGGTCTTTGTTTAGGCCGAAACGAACATTGTCCCCTGTGACCCTCGTGAACTGGGAGTCAGCCACTCGTTTTATCCCAATCAATTGGTCGTGTTCCAACGCTGATGTCGCGATCCCGAGCACCATCACCGTCCACTAATGAAAAAATAATAAAAGTCTCCCCTTGCGCGAGAAACAATTTCAAACAAGCGCTGCCCATGCGATGCAGTGATGCCATTGCAACTGAACCGCATAGCTCCATGCGCTCGATGGAAACATTCTCCAGAAAATCAAGGCATAAACAGGCAGAAACGAATTACACAATCGATACATACCGTCCAATCTGTAGGCAGCTACACCGTTGTGTAGCAAGTGCTGCTCCAGCGCTGTAGCGATTGTCGACTTCCCCGAGGCAGACAGACCCGTGAGCCATATCGTGAAGCCCTGTTGTCCACGAAGAGTATTACGCTCTTCACGTGTAAGACCCGCATGCCACGTAATATTGCTTTATTACCCACAGGGAAAAAGGAACGGAGAAAACGTTAGTAAATTATGTATTTCTTTAAATCTGGCAATTGACGATGATGATGATGGAGAGAGGACGCTCAGGCAGCAGCCACTCACGTTGCCATGATTCTATCGGAGGATGCTGCAGAAGGTATATGCGAAACCGTTAAATTCAATTGGGGGGGGTAAAACGATGAGGCTCGACGAGCGGGGTACTTGAAAGTTTTGCGAGGGTCAGCTGCAACGATCTGCAAGATTCAATACAGTAAACCAATTATTTCTGGGGGACATGGAAAGGCTCACTTTTTTTTATGATCCTGTCTATTTCCCTCTTTGACCTGGGGAGCAGTAGCAGTAGGCGAGAGTTACAAACTAGTACGCCAGAAGTTCAAAATGATGATGATGATGATGAGGAGGAGGAGGAGGAGGAGGGGTAGGTATCTTGAAGGAAACTTTTTCTTTTCCCCTTCGTTTTCCATTCATCCTTGAGGAGGTTGTTGTTTCCCCACCCGCTCTAGCATTCCCGTGCAATGACGTGCTTTTTGGACCCTGAAACGAAAGACGCCATATTGACCCCTACTCTACTGTAGTCAAGGGTACAGCAGGTACTACTACATACATCTACACACTACTTGAGCATAATTGATTGATTGATAATTGCATATTAATATACCTCCAACTTCCAAACTCTTATTCGGAGTTCCTATATCTTTAACTGAGTAGTACACGCGACTGTAGGTACGTGTATGCACCTTTTAGTAGGTGTAACCATCAACTATCACCGGCTTTCTCCCCAGCGCATGCAGTTGATGCAGGAAAAAAAAAATATGTATGTCCGTTGGTATGCAGTTTTCATATGTCATTCATATTGTGTCCCGATCAATTTTCCTCTCTGAAAGTTTCTCCACCACTGCTTACCACTACACACTCCTTCCTCCATCCATCCATCCATCCATCCATCCTAGGATCCTAGGAGCCAATGCGGCCATGTTTTTTTGGCAGCTTTCTCCACACGCGAGCACTCTAGCCAGACGCCGAATCGCTGGCGGCGGCGCTAAATAACACGTTTTGCGTTGTGTGTCCTGACTCCTCTGGTTGCCCTTTCGAGAGGTGGAGGCTTTTCACACCTAATCCCATTGCAGGGATATCGTTGCCTGTTGCTCCATAAGGACCGCAACTGAAGGTTGTTGAAAGTTTGGGATTCGGGTCCCGGGTCCATATTAAGCTTAGCCCTAGTCCTACCACCACACCCTCCTCCCCAGCCACAAAACCAGGGTTCGTTAGCTTGGTGTGTAAAATACTTGGAAACAGTAATCCAAACAAACCCTATCCCTGCAGCCTTATGTTGGGCCCAGGGATCCCTAACCCAGTGCCCAGATTTGTTTACGGCTCACGTGCATCAGTAATCATCAATAAAACACCTTTTTACGGAGCCATCCAGCACTAGGAGCCGTAGGGCCAGTAAGAAGTTGGTGATTTGAAAAAGAAATAAAAAAATTTCGCTTTGGGGTCTGATTCCTACCCGTAGCCAATCTCTTAAATTCCGTATCCTGCTAAGAAAAAAAGATGGAACTACCGAAACACGGACCATGTGGTACACTGAACATATGTATTAAGCAGCAAGAAGATCACACAAAAGTGGGAAGAAAATAAGCCCAATTTACCAAACTCTTTGTCTGCGAGAACCCGTTCCGCGGGACGGCAGTTCAAGTTGAATTTCGAATTTACCCTCAACATAGGGAAAGAGAGACTTTCAACACTTTTACACTCAGTGAGTAGATAGAAAAACCAGGGAAAGATGTCTAGCTTTTTACGCCGTGGCAGTTGCCTTCTCTTTTCCAAGGATCCTTTTGAAATTTTGTTTGACTGCCCACATTTGCCGTTCCGCTCTCGTCTCCCTTCACAGAGCATCCTTGGAAGCTCCCGCTCTTGAGCCGCTTTGGCAGTACCGGCACCATAGGAGAGGATGGGAGCCAAAGCCTGTCATCTTGCCCAGTCGTCCCTGCCTCAGCACCCTGAATTGTCTGTGCAAGCTTCGTTCTTTCGTGATTCTCAATTATGTTCCATGTTTCCGTTCAAGACAGACGGAGAGCGAAGCGAGACATAACTAACTATGTTATGTATGCAGGCGAAAGGAAAAAAAAAAGTGTTTTTAGATACCCCAGGACCCGTTTTCCAAGGTTATCAGCCTCATGCAGTCTCATTGGAAGTTTCCTAATCGGGAATGGGCGTCTTCCTGTGAGTATTGCATAAGATTAGTGCGATATGTATAGAGAGCTCTCTAGCTAGCTAGACCATGGTATTCTTTTTTTTCCCTCCTGCTGTCTCATAGCCGCGTCCTGATGGATCCGCTCTCCCATTCGTCCACTATCCGAGTCCTATCCGAGGGACAACGAAGGCTCAAGGAACTCCAGAAAAGCTTCTAGGAAGGTAGTCCAGGGAAAAATAAGCACGGATAGTTTGCAATTGGTATCGAAATACTCAATGGGGGAAGGACAATGATGTGTCATCCCTTCCTTGATCCCCTTCCCGGACGCATTGTTACAGACAGAGATATATCGTATTTTTATACAGCCCCTTCAGAAAGATCTGCCCTACAGATATGCTAGTCAGCGGCTCTCCATGATCACATTGAGTATGTTGTCTTGTCTGCCTGGGTCGACTAGACTTGTCTAGATTCCTATCTCTGCCTCACGGTTCCCCACCAACGATGATCGTAACATACTTACATCATATCGGTCTGCGTTGTTGTCAATCCGTCAGTAAGGGAAGGGAGCGTACGATAGTGGAAGGGTGTGTGGGGGGAGCTTTTGTCAGGAGCGACAAAATAGGGAAATAGCTTCTTGCGAAGGAAGGGTAGAGTGTGAAGGAGGCCGGTCGATTATCCATTGTGAAATTCCCGATTGCAGACCAGCCTGATGAGGTGTAGTGCTTCAGATCTTTTACTTTGCTTGATAGTTGCATGAATTGATACGGAGGCCGCGATTGTTGATTGCGGAGAGCTCACTAGAGCTGTGGATGGAAGTGGCGCCCATGAGACTGACCAATTGCTCCATGTGGTCGATGCAGCTATCCATACGTTGTAAGAAAACTAGTTACATATGGTGTAGAGGAAATCGAGTACGAAGCCTGAAGGGTAGGTAGGCCGTAGAGATCCTTCACACGCCTCAAACCACTTCAGACGAGCTATGATCATTGGCATTTATCATATTCCATAGAGAACTACATACTCGTGCCACCCAACACACATACGGGGAAGCTAGGAAGGATGGAACACGAAATAAGTGTGAGCTGAGGTGGGGAGGACAGATCATCGAATTATAGTTGCAATGCCCATCGTGGGTAACACTCTCACGATAATCACTGAGATCGAGGACCGGACCGTCGACGACCTCGGGGAGAAGAGTCAGCTGCTTGTGGATATGTCAATAGAGCTACAACTTGGATTGCCTGGAATGGGAATGTATTCATGTTTTGTACATACGTACATATGTCAATAATTGTAGCATCCGCTGCTGAAAACCCAAATGAAGGGCCCAAGCTATCTATCGTAACCCTCCCTGTCATGGGGAAGGCTGGTCCCAGCACATAGGAGGCAGAAGGAGCGAATCAAACGTCCCTTTCAGTGAGGACATCTGGAACAATCCCTTGTCTGCTTCTTTCAGGAGCATTACCCCAGAATTCTCCTGTTGTAGAATAGCTTGAAGGTTCATTAGTGCCATTCGGTACTTCGTATGTTGATACGTGCTAGGTACAGCCGCCAGCTGATTTGGGCATGTAAGGTATCAGTGTACCGCAACTAGCAACGCATCTCGCAACGCCGCTCAGAACACGCAACTTTTAGGCCCCACGAATGGTGAGGCGAGAAGGCTCCCTGTCAGGTCTTGATGTGCATTCCCTGATCTCCATGGATCCATTAGTATGTTGGTGATATTCTCTGATCTAGTATGAGAAAACGGTACGCGTTAATCTGCACCTGCTTGGCCGTACAAACAATTCGACCTAGTACTAGTGAAATTGTTTTTTGCTCCACAGGCCAAACAATTGCTACCAATATATGTAAGATCGTCGCTGCTTTCTTGTTTTAGGCCTTTTTTTTTTCCCCTTCAGCCTTTCGAAATTCCCTACAGGCTGCTAGCACTGTAGCCTGTAGAACTTGCAATATCAATTATCGAACACTACGAAGTCTGCAAGCATCCCCCTTCTTCATTAATTTGTGACCCTGTGCCATGACGGTCCAATATTGTGCAGGTATCCAGTCAATAGGCTTTCTCCCACTTTTATTTTTTTTTCCATATTCTTCCACCAGCGAGGCATGGGTGGTGGCATGTAACAGAACCGTAAAAAAGACGCGATGGTAACACAGATATAACCACATTCGACTCTGATATGCCGACGCCGAAAAACCATGAACGCACATATCAATGAAGAGTAGTGACATGGCCCAGAGCTCTCTCCGCCAACCGAGGACCTCAAAGGAGTATACTCATGGTCAGGACTTGCTGTAATGGCTCTGACACTTGGACGGTCGATCCAATGGCTAGCCTTACATAGGAACTTCCAACCCATTAATTCATTCAGTGGGGAACTGCGTGCTGCTGGTTAAAGTTTGGAATTGGCCTTTGAATGATTAAAGTCTCGTCCAAGAAATGTAAACCCAAAACACACGAAAAAAGATCTAAGTAACCTCCTTCGAGAAAAAACTTAGTCTGCGTGTACAGCTCATCTCAGCTTCCCCCCCTTTGTACTGTATCCCATACGCTCGCCCCGCATTAAGCTGCTGTAGCGTTATTCGCCTAGAGAGTCACATATTTTGACAATTGCTTGCTTACAGCTGCTTCTGCTGCTGCTGCGTGGGATCCCCGTTCTCCCCCGACTACTCTTCCTTCGTCGTCATCGCCGCATGGATATTATTCGCGTGCGAGATACCTTTTTTTTTTTTTTTTTTTTTTTTTACAGATCTCCCTTTCGTTGCCTATTGACTGCCTGTTCTGCCCTTGCGAGAAGGAGCTGCAGATTAATGCAATCGTGTCTTATCCTCCGCACTCCGATAGGGGAGAATAACTGCCTATCGGCCGGTCTCCTCGAACACCACCGTGCCACTTGTAGTGTCTGCCTATTCTCTACCTATGTATTCGCATCCACACATCCTTCTTACTCCGATGGTGACCCTGGTCCATCAATAACTTGTTTTGGGTTGTGTGTGGCGCCCCGAAAGAGCTGTCCCAGCCCACCGGGCGGGCTCAAGCCCCAAAAAAGAAATTCGAAATAACACCACCATTTTCAGACCAGGGGTGTGTTGTATAATCCTTCTGTGGTAGTAGTATGTAACACCAAGGGAGCTATGTAAAGGCCTAAGGATGATTATGATTATGATGATGATGGTTTGTTGATGATGATGGTGATGATGATGGTGATGGTGACGATGCTTGATGAGCATTTACAAGGAAGAAGAGTGGTATGTAGTTTCAGTGGATAG